ATTTCAATTATTCCCCTCCATCTCTGGAAAATGTACTTTGCAGATGATCTAATTAGGCAGCACATGAAATTCCACTCAGTCAGGATATAAATATTATGTGTGTGTTTGTGTGTGTGAGAGACAGACAAGACAGCTTGATGAGACAGCTACATTAAATGAAAGCACAGAGTGAGAGCCAACTTAATCATCAACAGCAAAGCTCCTGACAAACATCCACAAAAGGCATGATTTTTTGGAAACCCACACAAACTTCCACATATTTACACCAATATAGCAATAAGAAACAGAAACAAAATTAGACAGGAGTGTGAAAAATAAAGAGTCACCCGCTGCAGCCAAACACATACACACCTACAGAGCAAGTGCACTTAAGATCCGTATGTGCCACCCACCTGGCTGCAGCACATGCACATGTCCCCGGCTACAACTCCCAAAGGAGCGTGTGCATGAATAGCACAAGATTTAATCATGTTATATTATTCTTACTCTGTTGAGCAAATGTTTACAGCAGTAATTAACTTTCGCTCATTTCCACTGGAGGTTTAATTCAACAAAGAAAATGGCATACTGTGTGTTTTTTAGTATGCATGGCTGCAGATGGTGTATAATGAATTTTATTATATGCTACAACAGCAGGGCATTGCCATCAGTAGAATGTGTTTATATAAAAAGCATCTTGATTGACTTGCCGTTCATTACTTTACTGCTGTGACAGATCAGTGATAAATTTACAGGAAGAAATGCAGATCGTTTGTGCCCCCTAATGGAAAGATTAATTCTTGTAAACGTCAGTGTCATGGGATAAAATATATCTTTCCGTTTATTGAGCATGTCTGTCCAAGAGAGCTCCAGACAATTCAACTTTTGTTTTCCGGGCAAGACACCATTAAGTGCTCTTTGCTTAAGAGAAAAGTAATTGTATGCCTATCATTATTTGACTCATATTTACTGTACAGAGGAGGAAAGCAATCTGTAATCCTTTGTTACCCAGACAGTGGGTTGAACATCCCGAGGCATGTATCAACTTGCAGTAGTAGATAGACTAAAGCGTCATAATGGATTTCCTCAATCAACCTACACCTTAGTGTACTCATTGACGAGCTCTGTTTTGATTCCGGTGACCCCTTTGGAAGAAATCGTCACGTTTTTTCAGGATTAAGGCTGCATTTCCCATGAGCACCCACAGTCATAAAGATGTGGTTCTTGAATTGATTAAGTAAAAACATGAATAGAATGTAGATCTTTTAATATTATCCTACTTTTCTTTGTCAAGAAAGCTTTTCACAGGATAAAGAGTGATAAGGTTTTGATTTGTAGCTGCATAACAAAAACAGTGCGTTTACACACACATTCAGGTGACTTAATTTGTCCTAGTTTGCAAGCACCAAGTAAAATAATCCAAGTGTGGACAGAAGCATGTCCACTTCTACTACAGTAGGTGGCAACCATAGACTGGATATAGAATGGACGTAATCTGCCTCCTCACTTGGTGAAGCTGCCACAAGAACAGTACCCCCTGGTGACTGGTTGCAGCATAGGTCATCAACCCCACCTCCTCCAGCAAACGTAATGGAGCTGTGGACAAACTTTAATAATTAATTACACTGAATATTGATTAGAAATTTTGATCTTGGGATGCTTGCCAGACTATTCTAGTTGGACCAATGTGTTTACATGTTTATTTTAAAGTCCGCTTTCAGTCAGAAAGCGGACAAGTTATTTCTTGTTTTAACGTGTGCTTTGGTGTCCCGATATATGTCGAAATAATTTAAATATGCACACAGTTTAACTTTTAGACATTAAATCCTGTTCACAACCATTTTCCACTTTTACCTAACTTAACCCCAGCTGAAGCGTTTCTCCATTTAAAACACCACTCTAACAGAAAACATACATCTGCAGTATGAGACACAAGTGCAAAACCTAATGTCTGAAGAAAATAAACCTAAGAAAAAAAAATCTTATTCTTTAATAACTTATTTCACTCTGCCAAACTTTACGATAGTGGAGTTCTTAATAGTCACTGCTGGGTGAATGCCAAATTTCAGTCAGCATTAAAAATCCAACCCTATCACATGCACTACAATCCAGTATTCAAAAAGAACCAATAATAATGCTGATCACCTGTTTATTTGTCAGGCTCCCTGTTAACTGTGCTCTGGAGCAGTTAAAGAGTCAGACTATTTTAAATTAGTTTAAAACTTCTCACTGTGTCCTTAAAGCTCCTCCCATAAAAAAGCATTTGGCTTTATGAAACAGAGCGAAATGTAGACAGATATCCTTTTATGAGCTGAAAAACAATGCAGACAGAAAATGCTTTCAAGGTATATGTATCTGACAAGCTACCATGTAACACTACTTTTACACCAACAGCACAAAACCAACAAATAGGAAAAAATATCCCACTTTATCCACAGGAGGGTGCCAAAGTTTACACATCTTAAGTAGACCTAAAGTTTTTCAATGAATCTCATGATTATTACTGTGCATACTTCGGTTAAACTCATTCGTCCTTATCCTGAAAAAAAATTCAAATCATTACAAATTTTGTTCTTTTATATTTAAATTATAAAAGTTACAGGACTATACTTTTAAGACTATGTCTATCATGTCTGTTAATATGTTTTATAAACTTTCCTGAAGCTCCTAGGAGGAACTTTCAGTTGTTGTTAATCTTGACACCTCCTGTGGACAAAGTGTTCAGTGTCTTTTTTTGTCATGTATATCTGTAAGCCCTCCATGCATGTAAACGTGTGTTTTTGAAGTTATTTCTGGGGCATTTTTCCCGTAAAATGTTAGGACAGCTGAAGAAAGTCAAACAGTGCGTTACCCAGCAGATATGTGATCAAGCACTGAAATCAAATGGAAAAAATAAATGCGTTCATTCCAGACTATTCCTCTTTAGAAGACTTCCCTTTTACCTCATAATACCTCTTCAAAATACTTTGGATGAGTAAATCAGTAAAGCTGCCATGGCTTTTCCTGTACTGTTACACTGTCCTACCAAGCTACAAGTCTGCCCTCTGGTGGTAATAAAGATGAAACTGAGGAACTGTAAGACAGCTAAATAGTGGACTTGTCTCTACTTCATATCATACACAGGCATGGAAAAAATGACTTACAGGAACACTGAAACACAACCCAGAAAACAGCAGAACCAAAGAAAAGCATGTAGTGCAGCAGTCTCTGAAGATTTATGTTTGCACTTCATGTAGCCAAGGGCAACAGAGAATGAGTGATATATCTTGATGGTTTACCATCACTGATAAGGATGTAGAGCCAGGATGTGAAATAAAGCTACAGATAATACTGAGGAGGTAATATAGTCTTTCTTTTAGCTTTATGTGGTTTTGAATTACTCTCTAAAAGTAATTATTGTTAGCTTTCATTATTTATTTGTCTGTCAGGTTTGATCAATCTCACAAAGCTCAAATCTTGCTGTGTGCATTTGTCTATTTTCTTGTCAAATGATTTCATCTCGGTTGCTTTTAAATCTGTTCTCAAGATTTAACAAGCCAGGACAAAATATTGTATTTATTGTAATGAGTGAAAACGGCTGCCAGGAAGTGAGTTTTCTTCATTGGCATCTAAAGAAAAAAAATCATACCTCGTTTTCAAGAAATGTATCAACAGTATTTCCTCTTTTCTTGGCTCAAAACTAGAGAGATTTACATGATAAGATCTTAGCTTTTCTTGCAAGCTGGGTGTACTTATTTTTGTTGGGGGGGTATGTGGCGTCTGAATTTTACCAGTTAATTCTGAGCAACCTGTTTTTATTTCCTTTTAAATGTCTCTTCAATCTGCAAGTGCATCAATAATCTAAACCCCTTATCCCCTTTAAGGTCATAAAAAAGCCTGTTAGATAAGGCTGAGACATCCAAACTCAATCACACTTCCACTTGTAGGATTTTGCTCTGGACTGTAGGAGTAAGCTGCAGTACAGGGAAAAAAATTCAAAACTAAGCAAGTGTTTCTATGTTATTACTCGTAAAAATGGCTGATCAGACATCCTGATAAACATTCACCGGACATATCAGATAAGAATCTTGTTTAAAGATTGTACAAGCTAAAATAAGACCTAGACTGCCTGTACAAAGTAAATAAAAGTGGGAAAAACAAAATTTACTTCTTGAATTCCTTGAAATCAGATTAACATTTCTTAAAATTAATTAATTGTAAGATTTAAGTCTTATTGTATTTATTGATTTCCAAACATTTTGTGTTTCAAGAGTTTGCATGACTTTATCTCTTTCTACAGTTATGTAGAGAGACTACAGATCCACAAGAGCAGCTTTGAGTGGTGATTGTACAGTTTTATTCGACAGAACATCCCCTGCATGAGCAGTTTTCTGTGAAAACTCTGAAAATCACTGCCTGATCACTTTGACACAGGAAAAAGCAACAAAATCCTGAGTAACTAATCAATAAACCTGTTCTTATCTCTGATTTTCTGTGGCTCTGTCAACGCTAAATGTGTTTTTTGATTGTTATATGTTGTTTCTAGTTAACTTTTTTTTTCAGCCCTTGACTGAGTCTTTATCTTGGATCCTAATAAAAAGCCTCTCAGAGATTGGTGTAGCAAATTAGCATCTGCTAGAATAACTGTGACACTTGCACTGGATGGCTGTTTTCAGCTTGTCCGTTTCTGTGATCCCAATAACAATGTTTTCCAAGCAGTTCAGGTCTTAACGGTCTGTTATAACATGAAGTAAGATGCTAATCTGAATTTGTAAAGTGAATGTGGCTTACATTATGTTCATAAGACAATGGCAAAAGGAGACATAGCAAACTCGACACAGCCTGGATATGGACCTGTACCTTTTTTGCAGTAGTCACTCCCTCATGCTGCTTTCTCAAAGCCTTTTCAGAAGTTTTTACAAACTGCATCCTGGAAAAAATGTTCACCATGTGTCCGTGGCTGATTTATATTTTGTTATTTTGGTTTCATCGTGTACTTTCTTTGCTTCCACATATCTTTAAGAACAAAGGAGATCAATCAATCAAGTTACTGTAACACTTTATTTTCTTAAATACCACAGAATATTAGTACAGTCAGTCACACATATTTTAGGAGGCAGACGACATTCTGGTCCCTCTCACCCTGCTTTCATAAAAAGGAGGTAAAGGGAAGCATTGGGTGGCATCAGAGGCTACATTTTCACACATAGTTACTTTTACAGCACAGAGTACCAAACACAGTCCAGTTAGAAGGTTCAGTTGGCAACTTGGATAACCTGTGACAGTGTCTGTGTTGCAACAAACAATCTTTTGGTTATACATACTGTACTTACAGACCAAAGAAAGGGAGGTCATCTCTCACACGTAGGAAAGAAATTATAATCCTAGTAGTAACTCTTCTGGTCGGATCAATACATTTGTAATGGAAGGTTTTCGGGCTTCATTCACCAATTGGATATCATTAGCCTTTAAAGCAGCCTCCCTGTGAAACAGTGCACTGCATTTACAAAATTCCTCTTATGCAAAAGAGAAAAAAAATTCATGTTGCCATACAAGAAATGTCACAGGTTTGCACAGGTTTATCCAGGTTAATCAGAACTTTTCCAAGAGTCAACACAAACCAAAACAACCATATAAACAACAGAGCCCTCCATGCATGTAAACATAGCCTGTGTTGTCAGCTACAGTATGTACAGTGTTGATTCAGGCAGTGCATGATGAGACCAGGTCAGTAGTGCCAAAGTCAACAGTTAGAAAGTTCATATTTGAGGGACATTAAGGTTAAATCTCACAGGTTTTATGTATGCAGTTATGTAGACATCATTGAAATCACATCTGCCTTTTCAAGTCTCTGCATTCATCTCTCAGAAGTACCATCACTGAAGCAAAACAACAGATTCATTGGCACATTAAACACCATCATGAACAGAGAGTGCTGTAATGAATACAGATTTTGTGAGTTAAAATCTAAGCAACATTAACAGTGAGCCACATCTGTGCGGTATTTTTATAACAAAAGTTATCAAAGAAGGAGAAAAAAAACACAGAAGGGCTCTTTAGCCTAGCGCAGTGTGAAATGATGAATTCATAGCCATTAAAGTCTGAAGGGCGGGGAAGGGACACCGAACACAACATACACTCTTAAAGGATGCAGCAAAGTAGGAATGTGCTGAATTCCACCGGAAAAGGATGCATTCACTTCTGAGTGCATGGGGTGGAGAGGAAATGCAAATGCAAATGAATTCGGGGGGAAATAAAAGCTTATTTACAAGGTAAGAAAGGAGTGCAAGGCTAAGCTTTCATAGACATTCACACACTTAAATTCAACGTTATATACCAAAGGACATGCGTAGAGGCACATACATATTCATCGTACAAAAACAAAACATACCAAAAGCAGAACAACAGTCAGACACGGCTCCTGTGACTCAAATCTGATCAACCTACAAGAAAAACAAAGCGCGCCAATGCACTGACATCATGGGACGTGAAAAAGGCAAAAGCTGTAGTTCCAGCCCTTAGAATTAAAAAAAGATTAACATCATCATGGCGACAAAGAGACATCAGTGATCTTACCTCTGTGTTTTCACTGGTACTGAGTCTCAGCCTCATTTTTCAAATATGATTTCACAGAATGAGAAAGCCTTTTTCTTAGAAGAGGTTAAATATTTGGTTTTCAAATTGGGTTCTCAACTTTCTATGAATATTTCTGAATCTTTCAGTGGCACAGTGTTAATATAAATCAAAATTAAAATCCCTGCTTTGATCCCTAAAGAAAAAGGTAGAATCAAAAGAGGGAAAACATCATGTGCTAAGAAATTTTTGCCAGGATCCAAAATGCTAATTGGGTTGGAATCAGTATCTGACTGCAACAAACAGGCAGTTCAAGAACTGTAAACTGCAAAAATAAAAGCTTGAATTATTCATGCATTCTTAAACAGAGTCAAATTATTCAGAATAAAATTGATTAGAAGGAAACTAGCCTCTTACTTTGTTTGCTCCCTTTGTCAGGAGGTGTTTTTGTATTCTGAGGTAAGGGCATGCCTTTGGACTCTGCCTCAAAGATAAAAACTTGCAGACCAATAAAGAAGCAGAAAAAGATGCAAAAACTCATTCCAGTGTTTGACTTTTACATGAAATGCTACAGACAAATCATACCACTCTTTACTTCATTTCAAGTCACAACAACACCTTAAATTACTTTTTACTTGTCACTGGTAGTTTGGCAGATCACATGGAGGAGAAATGGAAGAAGTCATTGTCACAAACTAATAATTACCAACAAAAATAAATAAATGGTCACCACAGAGTGAAATAATTTAGACTTTCTTCTTCCTCATTTCATTTTTTACCGCTCCTTCTCGTGGATAGAGGCACGAACACGCTGGCGCACATAGAAAGCGGTCAGAGCACTGCAACAGGCAGTAAAGATGAAGAGTGCAACAGCGTCGTGTGCAAGGTCGCCATGGAGACCCTCGTAGAGTGGCCTGCGCTCCGTGAAGTCTGTTCGCAGCGCCTCAATCTGCGTCAGGGTGCACACCACCACGAACACGTGGAAAATCTGGTGGCCCTGCCCAATGAAGTCACACCTCCCGGGGAACAAACTCTCGGGGTGCGGGCAGCAGAAGAAGTAGGCGCTGATGAGGAAGAAGAGCACGTGGTAGAAATGGTATGCCACCACCGGGTCGGAGCAGCCCTCCTGGTAGCAGCTGTAGATACGGTGAACTACTGGGCTTATGTCTAAGCAATAAGCCAGGGCAGAGGGCACCACCTGGAAAAGCTTGTTAACAATCTTGGGCATCTCAGGACTGGCATATTTTCCATAGCAGCAGCCAAAGCAGGTGAGCCAAGCGAGGAACGCCGCAGCAGGTAAGTAGAAACCGTGCACTTTAGTATGCCACCCTTTCTCGATGGCGTAGTAATAGTGCGCAAGAGCACTGCCATACTGGTAGACAGCCACTCCCACATAGTCGAGGAAGTAGAAGGTGTAGTATGAGAGCTCAGACTTTGCAGAGAGAAGGTGAGCGAGAGCGCTGAAGGAGAGGTAGGTGAAGGCAGCCAGGAGCACAATGAAGAGCGGTTGAGCGTGGGGGTCTCGCAGGAAATCGACCGTCTCTGAGATTTCCTGCCACTTCACAAGGATGATGAGTGCGGCCAACAGATGGGTCCACACATTGAGGGTCTCATTGTGCCTTTGGAAGAGGGTCAGGAAGTAGTAGCGCCAGCTCTGTTCAGTCTGCCTGTAGCCGGCGAGGATGTGACGCTCGCGGAACACCCAGGGAACATCCGCCTTCTTCACAGTGCAAGGCAGCGTAGGAAAGGCCGACTCCAGCAGCTGAGGGATCTGACGCAGCTGCTGGGCATTGATGAACAGGCGACCGATCTGCTCCATCACCACTGTCGCCATGGCAACCTGGAGGCCACAGAGAAGGGCAGGAAATTGAAACAACAGTCCGTCAGTATCTGTCAAGCTGTTTCCAGGTCTATGTGTGTGTGTGTGTGTGTGTGTAAAGGCACTTATAGATTAACTTTTGTGCGTGTGTCCAGTGTGAGTGTGTGTGTTTGTGTGTTGCTTACCCACTACTACTACTGTTACCACAAAGCCAAAAAGTGATGCTGGAATCACACGGTAAATGAAGATTATCACTGACATTACTTTATTTATTTCTCTCTATAGTAAAGTTAGACAAATATCATGAATGTATGTCTTTTCTCTTGCTTTACAACAATGGATAGGTTTTATTGAGGATAAATTATTTACGCAGACATAGTCATAACATTTGCTGCTAAAAGGAAATATTGAGCTGTAACTTTTCACATCCATTCAAATGAAATAAAAATGTGTACTTATTCTTCAATGTTTTTTAAAGCTATGTTTTAGTATACTCTTACCACTTGGGGGCACCAAACAAACTAGTAATTAAGTGTTCATCTTCATAACCTGTTAAACCTGTTATAGTTCACCTTTTTATTGACATATGTATCTTTACAGCTGATAATTACTGTGCTTTGTAAAGTTCAGGACAGGTAGGCTGCACTGGGTTTGATACTTCAGTGGGCACTGACTTTAGGCAGAACTTGGTTTTTTCAAAGTGGATATCAAGGGCAGAAAACTGAAACAATTAACCACTGACAAAAAGGTTCTATAAGAATGAACAGAGGCGTTGTGTGATAACCCTGAGTGTTGAACACTCACAGTGACCTCATTCCCGCCAAACATCCATCATATGATGTGTTGCCAATGACAACTGTATTGATCGCAGCGGCCTTCAGCATTGGAAAATGATACATAATGGATTTTATACATGTTAATGGATATGACTCTAAGTGGTGGTTGTGGTAGGAGTTTTGTTGTTTGCTCTAATGTTGTTAGTTTGTCTGATTGGTGTCCCCAAGCTTCTCATCCATTACAACATGATGAATCATCTTGAAGGGCAGTTTCACCTCACAGGAGCTCAGGGGCCATAAAAATGCGACACCGTCCGCCCCCTTTACTGTCATAAATCCTGACAATAAGAGTTTCTTTCTCAGTCCTCAGGTTTTGCAAACAGGAAATTACTTCCTGAGGTGTTCACCTCTGTTGTAAAATCAATATTCCTACGACTGCCAAAGAGATGCAGACATTTTTAAAGAGGTGGCTTCGTGCTTTTAAATATTTTTCAAACAAATTCTCTGTTAAATTGCTGAATTTCATGGGAAGTTTTAAATTCTAAATCAAGCTCTGAACATTATTTGTTTTATAAATTGTCATTTTAAATAGAGAAACACAATTTGGCCAAAATATGATGTTATCAGCAGGTGTCTTCTCCTGGCTGAATTTGTCTAACATACCAAAAGATGTAAAAATATAGGTAACACAGTATACTTCCTTTAAATCTAGTTTATAATGATGGTGCAATTTAACATCTTTCTTATACTAAGCATTGAGCTGACAGAGAGTTTGTACATATTGCTGATTTTCAGCTGGTGTTCCTTGTCTTACAGTGTACTTAAAAAGAATACAGTGTCAAACCACAATTCACACTGGATATTGAAATACCAGCAAATGCAGGTTATAATTCTACCAATGCAACACACACACTGTAGCTCGTACACTTATGGAGCGACCTAATTTCCATTGGGTATGGGTTGAAGACAGATAGTGACTGTTGGTGGAGCAGCCCTCTGGATTACTCAATAAACTAATTCTGTTGTACCGACTTTTCTGTTGGGTTTAAGTGCGCACCTGCACACTCCACTCCACAGGGTGGAAATCAGTCATTACTAATTTGAAGATCTTACTTGCTGATCGTAATTATAATGCCTCGTGGGAAGGCGTGGATACAGCGGCTCCACAGACAGAGGCTGTGTGGGATGAACACAGGCCGAGGTTCAGGAGGAAAAGGCGTGGAGTGATGAATGGGAAGGGATTACGTAACATAACCCCATCCGCCGTCCACACCCTGAGCTTCCAGCGAAGGGTAGCAATCCTTTAAAATATTTATGGGTAAAAAAAAAATGCCTGGCTGAACAAAAGGTAGCATCATTCCCAGTTTGTGTGTTTAATTTTGGCCTTTATGGGCCCGATGCAGTAAATTCCTGCAAGCACATCTTGCACCTGATCGACATGTCTATGGATATATGAGATCCCACTGTTGGAAATCAATTTGCATCCCCCTTTTCCTCCTCCGAGCCTCGAGGCTTGTCTAAAATCTATGAGCATCACGAGTCTCCTTGGTGTGTGCGATGTGGTAAAATAAAACACCGCTGCACGCACGTTCACAGGCTCTCGCGTTCAAGGCGTATCTGACCATATTTCACGCTATGTCACAGTAAAATTTTATCTAAAAGGCTAATATTTCTCAGATTAGGTGGGTATCGCTGACAGAATTCACATACCTGCAGGTAGTAGAATCAACCCAGAGTCTGTCGGTTAGTCTTCGATGATTGATTCAGAGCCGTACAGGATATAGATAACATTGTTTGGAGGGGTGAACGGGTAGAGGATGGCCGTGACGGGAGCAGCGCCTGGCGGTTCTCTCAGCACAACTGCCGGGAGGATAAAAGAGAATTTGATGGGCGGCTATACGAGCCAATCAGAATTTACGATCCCGCTCATCACTGCGGACGTTTCAGGGGTTTTAGCCAATGACAGCTGTCGCTTGGCAGATCGGCCCACCTTGTCTTAACGGAAATTCTTCTACTAAGAGATGAGCGTCCATGGCACCACAGTGAGGCATTTCTATCAGATATGAGCAAGGCCTGTTGCCTGAAGCTGAAATGCTGAAGAAATATCCGTGAACAAGCGCGTGCCTCGTTAAATATAGTTCAAAAGCAACGTAGTGTAACTAAGAAGGCTTTATGATTGATGTTAACATAAACTCTATCATCATCATCCACGCTTACATAAAAGCTGTAGGGGAGAGTGGGGTAAGTTGAACCAAAGGGTAAGTTGAGCCACCCCCCTGTTGCTTGGAAATGGTCAAAGGAATTGATCATGTGGCCAAATATTAAGGAGATGGGCATCAATTCATGGAGTCTGTGAAGGTTAGAAGTACATGGGTGAAGAGGTTAGATATTTATCTCCAAAAAAAATCACTTTTCACTCTTGATAGTGAATTTAGTCTGTCATAAAGTTTTATTAGAATTGTGTTCAGACCAAAAAAGATCATTTTAAATTTGTTTTATACATCAATTTCAGTGTCTATGCTACAACATAGGTCAAAAACCTAGCATAAAAGTCCACCATTTTAGCTTCGAGGACAAAAAAGTCGTTGTAGTCGTTCTGGGGTAAGTTGAGCCATTTGGCCAGCCAGGGGTAAGTTAAACCAGTGGTTCAACTGAGAAAATAAAGGAGTCTGATGAGAGGATCAGAGTCTCAGTTCAGATTGTTGAAATGTGTTACTTTTTCTTTTCATTAATGTTCTGAATCACTTTAAGTCAGTGGTTCTCAAGTCCAGTCCTCGAGGCTCTGTAATGGCTTAATAACGAGCTAATCATTTGAATCAGGTGTGTTGGAGCAGGGAAACATCCAAAACATGCAGGACAGTGGAGGCTCGAGGACTGGATTGAGAACCACTGACTTAAAGACATTCTCATGTTAAAATGGCTTTTTACAAAACAGCTTTTTAGCAGTATATTGTACCAGTTGAATAGCGTATAATAGATAAAAATACACATGAATGTGAAGAAGTGACTGTTATTTAGGGAGAGAGAAGGTGAGGGAGGGCTGGGGTGGAGAGTGGGGGGGCAGTGGGGATACGGCTAAACTTACCCCGCTCCTATGGTCAACTTACCCCGTACACGGGGTAAGTTGACCATAGTTGACCCGTACACGGGGTAAGTTGACCATAGGAGACCACGTTTTTTGGCATGCTATATTATCAAGACAGTTATGTTTACACTCATTCGGTTGGTTTGCAGGGATGCACAACATCTTGAAATATATGCAGATACACTAGTTAGGGACAAAACTATTATTACCTTGATGTAGTGATCCGAAATATGAAAAATCGCTCATCTTATCCCACTCTCTCATAGGCCCTGTTTGTAATGGTCATATTTGACATGACTGATATTATTACAGTGAGTCTCTATTACCGGTTGCCATTTTTTGCTGCTGTCTGTATATATCCCTCTGCCTAACTGGTTGTCTGACTGGCAGATGGCCGCTCACCAGTGACTCTGGTTTGGTAAATTCAGCATGTCCTGAGGTATCTTTTGTTGTGATTTGGAGTTGTGTTGTGGTGGTGTCTACACTGCTGTTGGATGGAAACTCAAAATGAAAGAGTAACAAAGGATTTTGAGGTTGAAAGGGAATTTAAATTTTGCAAACATTATTCCTTTCAACATGTACAGATATTTCTACCCATGAGGAACAAGGGAAACTGACACCTGTCACCATCATGTAGATAATAAAACAGACAGTGGTGTAAATAATAGTTATACTGGAAGTTCCTACACGTAAATATTTGTACTTTGATATGACAGTATCCCTTTCTATGATATAACACTATTCCAAGCATGGCCCTTTTGGATGTATTGACATCCAAATCACAACAACTACCTCACTGAGTCTCTTGTGGTTCTCCAAACAGGCAATTTCCAATTGCTAGACCAGTTTGTTCAGATTGGTTTAATAGTGTGTGCCTGTCCCTTCTGCAGCAGTCAGCTACAAAGTTTCCTTTGTTAGATGCAGCATATCTGAAAGATCTTCATTGTTTTCTGATCCAACCATCTCAGAGTATATACATTCAACAGAGAGGGGGTCAGGGTTTATCCATAATAAATAAAGAACATGTTTTGGCTACCTGGGTTTCTATCTATTAAAGAGTGACCTGTACCAAGTTACTCTGAGCACATGAGCAAAAACAGAAGCTCATAAACTGGCTTAAATTGTTGAACAGAGCAGATCAAAAAATTCTGATTACTTAATTCATCTTGGATGGGCCATGATCATGAGCAAATTAAAAGAGAATACCAGCTAAGAAATTATTGTAAGGGCAGGGCCAGCCTCTGTCCAGTGTTTTCAGAGAAATACTGCATGTTGGGACAAGAATCCAGCAGTTTCTTCTTCACATGACAAAGGTGGGATTGTGCTCCACTGAGCATGCATAGCAATGACAATTTACTCCAAACACAACACACTACATTTCTGTGTTACTCGTTTGTTGTGGTCCTACCATGGATGCAGCTCAGTAAATTCCCTCCAATCCTGACTTTTGGTCCCTGAATTACAAAATCACCTCTTTATGTGACTCTTCTTGGAATGGTTATGACCCCAAGGTTCAAAGTTCAATTAGTTTCTCTTGAAATTGATCCTGTATTAAAGATTTTATAGGGCTGAAGAAATACCTATGTATAGTTCTCAGACTGGCTTAAAATTTAGCCCTCCCTCAGAATTACACCTTTTAACAATCACAGAACTTTCCTTTTTACTACCACTAGATGTCAGCAGTGTCAAATAATTACTTCCACTACGACATTACCACACATTCACACATCATCTCCACTTCAATCCCAGTAATGTATCTTCTGTTAGATAGCACTGACATCTCATCTTGCAAAAATGACCATGATTTTATAAGTCCCCATGCACCACAAATGAAAGATGATTATAGAAAAAGGCTTTAATGAAAGAACCTTGGTAACAGTGTAAACTTACAGTATGATCAACTGTTGGAGTATTATAACGAAATACATTTCAACAGTATGAAGTTTAAGGACCAAATAATATCAATGAAATGTCGCTAAGTGAAAAAATACAGTTTATAGTTTGGAAAATACAGTGTAGCTAGCTGCCAAGAAAAAACCTCCAGTAAAGAAAACCAGACAATATCAGGATGTCGTCTACACTGCATAACTAACTTCCATTTTACAGCATATTTAGAAAAAGTACAACAAACAAAGTATGGAAATGTCAGTTAAAGGTAAAGCTTATCTTTGGAGATGTAACAACTGCTTTTCAGATTATGAACAACTTAATTCTCTCTTCCTTGCATCGCCTTCTTGTTCGCCTTCACCTCTTCAAGCTTCTTGTCCTGTTGGAATGTAAATATAAAACAATCATATCACTGGGGAATTTATAGTTTCCATGTAAGGCATAAAGGCAGGATGATATGCTGTTATAAAATTACCTTCTCCTTGAATTTTTCATTGAGAGCTGCCTTCCGTACGGTGCAGTTCTCCTCATATGTCTCCATCTTCTGATTGAGTTTTTCCTGCGCTGTCTTTTGAAAGTTGCAGCTTTCCTCCATGGCTTTTTGCAGGACTTCTTTCACATGGTCCTGTTTCTCTGCCAACTGTTTGAGCACTTCAGCACACTGACTCTAAAAAAATAAGGAAAGAGATGATTAGCTGTAAATGAACTCAACTTTAACCCTAAACTCAAGTGCTCAGTTTTATAATACCTTGCGTCTCTCTGCTGCAGCATCCAGCTTCTTTTTAATCTCATCCAGGGATGTTTCCTTTTTCTTCAGAGGTGACAGAGGAAACTCCTTGGGATCTGTGTTTGAGGGGCTCAGGATGACCTCAAATGCATGACCTGAGGCCCTCTTGTTCAGCTCCTTTACTTGGATGTCTGCAAAAACACACAAATGTTTGATGAGCTGACTGGAAAATGTTGGTAAAGCTATTGCACATGTATGAAAATTTGTCGGTAAGAGTGAAGGATATAATCTCTAATACCAATTAAATATATCAGCTTTTGCATATTAATGAATAAAAGCAGGACTGATGACCAAAAATGATGCAATTTTTTTGTTAATATGTCAAATAAAGAATTATGTCAGTTTCACTTTAACACCCTTTGATAATACTTGTATCGAGATTGTGTAAGGATAATTAATTGAGCTTGAGCTGGCCTCGGCTTTATTACAGAGATCCCTGTTGTGTGGCAGTGGAGTTTGGGTAAGAGATGTTTAAACATTTTTTTTGTGTGTGTTCAATCTCTGGACAAGTACTGTTATGCCACATGCCACATGCCACATCAAATTTTCAAGTACATACGTTTTGTGTTGGTCTTGATCTGCAGTTTTGTGCTGCAATCAAGATATTTGGCTCAAAATGTTTTAGCTCTCTGTTTTTCAAAATGCACACCTTTACATCAAGACTAATCTCATTTACTCAGTGATTTAAAAAGTTAACCCTTACCGTCACACCTGTCCATTTTAGCAGAAATGATGGCTTTATGACCCCACTGGAAGAAAACATAACATAACATGAGCTGTACAAAAAAGAAAAAGAGCTTCAAGTTCACTGTGCTCAGATGAGAAGTGCATCATGAGAGAATGCAGTGCAGAATGCAGGAGGAGGTCTATGTGGGCTTATGGTGCTAGAGCAAACAGTTAGGGCCAGTGGCTTTGACAGATAACTGCTCAAGCATGCATGCTATCCATGACTTAGAAAAACATAAAGTTCACTAGTTTTACCACTTGCTTTGGCCTTTGGAATAAAACACTCTTCTAGATACACTGAGACAAGAAAATAAATGCTCCCCTATCAACTGTTTACCTTTGCGGATGTCAGGCAACACATAATGAGTCTAGCAACAATCTCAGGGTAGGTTGTACTCAACTGTCGGTTTGGTGGGGTTGCAAACTGCCACTTGTACAACATGCTAGACATGTTAGACTAGTCTCTAATCATGTCATGGCACGACTGGCAAAATAAATTCAGCACTTCACTCATCCTGACAAGCAGCAAAGTGGCTCAGGATTGTAAATCATTACTTTTCCCAGTTTAAATTCACAAACATGATATGTATGAAAGATAAAAAGTCCTTCATGTCATTTTTCTGCAGCAGATAAGCAAGTAACCAATAACTGCACTTCGTGAAAAATTTGAAGTTATAGCATCGATCGAATGATATTTGATGAGTAAAGTCATATATGTACACAAACAACAATTGCAGGGTACAATGATGATAAATCCCACTGCATTATGATATTCAGACGCGGGTTTAAGTAGAGATCTGCATGTGAGCCAATTTACTGTACGGAGAGGCAAAATCATTAAGGCCTGCTGTATGGAGTCTATACGTTCACATAACGGATGTGGTATTACAGAGAGGCGGGGGTGAGGCATGCAAAACAGTGTCTTTGAAACAAACAATGAAAAGCACGGGGATACGAAACACCAACTAAAAAATAAATAGTAAAAAAGTGCAATGGTGTTGATTGATTTAAACATTAGATAAAGCTGGGAAAACGTAACTTCGTGTTATTTCATGATTACATAATATCGACTAAAACCCAAACATTCACACAAACTAAGTGGTAATTGAAGTCTATGGCAAGATGTTAAAACAAACGATGTATAAACTCTACCGCACTTTAAAAGAAACATGCAAACTACCTTTTTTAAAATTTGCGCTAATGTTTTTACACATAGCGTTCACTGAACAGCGGCCATAACAATTCAGTCCGTCAACTGTTTGACTTTTACAGATGCAGAGTAAACTTCATAATGCTTCAAAAACCTGTCTAAATCCAAGTCTAGCCCTTTGGAGACCTCTTAAAATGGTCTGAAAGCCTGAAAATGCATTTGCATAAGACCATTGTTCTCACCGTCAAGTGTTTAACCTTGTAAGTCAGGCACGCGTCCTCCCCTGCTGCTCTCTGTTCACTCCAACAACATCTGCACCTTCGCGCGGAAACCTACATACCCTAGACGTCATCAATAATGTTTGCGTCGGTTGGCCTAGATCCACCAATCACAGCCCGAGTTTAAACTGTAAGCGCCAAAGACTGACTCCTGTACTGAGAGTGCCAGGAACAGAGCAGAGCAGCAGACGTCGGTCAGTCTGCAGGAACAACAGCCAGGAACAAAAATGGCACTCGGGCGCCCTGTTTCATTTCACCAAAACACATTTCACGCATGAGTGATTTAAATTATTTTTATGTTTTCACCCAGTTTGGACCGAAATGCTTAAGAATTTGATTAACAACTGCATGGAAAACTGTGGGGGATCAAATTTAAAGGGATATTCCGGCGTAAAATTAATTTAGCCACTCTATAGCCACAAATAATGCTCAGAACAGCACCTAACTTCATCAACAGTACATATAGGGTCCCAGCCACAGCACTAGCCACCAAACATCTTTTTAGCTTTGCCTAATTTCTTTAGCAAAGAGACTAAACACAACTCCGCCATTCTCTTCCAGCAGCCGCTTGTTTGTAGAGACCTCGGGCCAGTTCATTACAGATTGCTGTGTCAAGGAAAAACATTTCTGACCATTTCTTCATGGAAATGCATCAGACTGAGATGCTAAGGCAGACGAACTACCACGTCTGCAGTGTAAAGTAATTAATATGGTGATTATTACTTCAAGGGAATGACATAGTAGTGATCATTATTGTTCTTCCTTGAGCTGCGTCCCCCCGCTGTAGTCCGTAATGAACTGGCCCGAGGTCTCACTACAAACAAGCAGCTGCTGGAGGAGAGTGGCTGAGTTGTGTTTAGTCTCTTTGCTAAAGAAATCAGGCAAAGCTAAAAAGACGCTTGATGGCTAGTGCTATGGCTGGGACCCTTCATGTACTGTTGATGAAGTTAGGTGCTGTTCTGAGCATTATTTGTGGCTATAGAGTGGCTTTTTGGTTAAGGTTTGTGTTCGGCTCCTCAGACCACTATGTATTGCTATCCTGCAGTCATTATAAAGTTGGTATAACTCGAGAAGCAAGCTTGCAACATTAATCTCTTGACGGGGTGTCTAACTCTGTGTTATGGTGTGTTTGACCCTAAATTAATTTTACATCGGAAGATCCCTCTAATTAAGACTACAACAGCACATACTGCCACAGACGTTATATTTAAAGAATTATATTTACACCTGGCTGCCTTGGATTTGAACCTGAGACCATTTCCACAGGAGGCAATCCTATCATATGTGTGGCTGTGCTTGCCTGTAAAGGTCTTTTTGTGTCATCATTTGCAATGATTGCTTAAGATTACAGCTCAGATAGCAATTTAAAGAGATTATTACATTCCCACCTCACATGTAGTAGGATCCCTGACATGGATTGGAAATTGAAAAGTTTTATTGAAAAATAGCTGTACAAGAAACCAAAGTTTGTTCATTTGAGAATTTGATTATGGTTGTCCAGCTTATAGGTCAGAGCATAGTGCAAGGAAAAAAAATATTTTCTGCTCCAAACTACAATACGCTTAATAGATATGGCTTGAAATATTTTTAAGTTAATTTGTGTAACAGTTAAGAAACTCATTGACAAGATGATGGTATCCTCAAAGTGTTTTTGAAGTGTATTTAAGTGTTTGAGGGTCCCCATAGCTGATAGCTTCTTTAGCTGACATTATGAAGCACAACAGTATTTAAACACTTGATCTTCACCATACACCAAAAACCGCTCAGGTCCTCTGTAAAGGGCTGCTCCCTGTCTCCAGAGTCAGGAACAAACATGTAGAAGCAGCATTCAGTTTGTGTGCTGCACATCTGTAAAATGACCCCAGATGTTTGCTGAAATTGCTGAAACATTAATCCAGGTTGAAGGCTCTCTAGTTAACCACTAGGGGCATTTTATTAATCATTTTAACAGATGACCTGATTTATTTAGTCAATACTGCAGCTTATAATCTATACCTGTATTTTGAAATTTGCTTTACTGTATTTTAACCCTTTACTTTTCCTCTCTCTTATCCTATTTCCCTGTTGCTTTGGTGAGTTTTGTTGCTTTGGTGAGTTTTGTGTGCCTTTGTGTTTTGTGGATCTCTTTCCTTTTATCTTATTATCTTATGTGAAGCACTTTGAAATGCCCTGTTGCGAAATATGCTTGTAAATGAATTTGTCTGGTCTAAAACAATTTCCTTTCGTTCCTGTATCACGGTCGCTCTTATTTTGAAAGGCAGTATGATCGTTTCCGGTTGTTGTGTCTGGTGCCAGTATAAGCAGGAGTGGCATACATACGCTCACACCAGGAACTCGAAAGAAGACGGCAACCCTTTTCCTGGTACATCTATTGACAGTGTTATATTAAAATGGGGGCTTGTTTGGCCTTGTGCTCCCTTGCCAGCTGCGTAAGTATTTTTTTTAATACTATATTATCTGACTCTTAACGGCAGGCTTTAGTCGATGCTGTTTTTAAAACGTCAACGATCAACGCTTGGCCAACTAACTCCTAGCACAACGCAAATCGCTCAAAACCATGTGAAATAACTTTAAATATGTGACTGGGTTATTAAATGGATGTTGTTGGACACATACTGCATAATACACAAGTTGATTTAAAGGGTTTCGACGGGGCCAAAGAGAAGGGGGCGGAAGAATAGCGAGCTAAGCTAATGTTAGACTATTTGATGCTTACGGTTCGTCTTGATCGTCATATCAAACTTCAGGGTAATGGACCACTGTCTGCGACTACAGCCTTTTGACTGGTTGAACGATACCTAAACAGCCGAACACTATGCTTACTATGTCACAGTCAAAAGCCTGGTTTGACATGAATAAGGTGGAGCCTGTTCGTCTTTTGATATGTGTTATGACTGTATGCATAATAAAACAACTGTGCCCTAGAGTTGTTGACATACTGGTCTACATGGTTTGTTTTATAATTAATCGTTGGTATGAGTCAGTCATGTAGGTGATATTTTTGGACTTATCCTGGGATATTCACCGTCATGGTGTACCAGTATTATAAATGGAACAACCTCTTATAGATTTGGCACATCTCTAAAGCAAATGTCTACCTCCATTCACTGTCAGTCCTCCCTAATGCTTTGCCTTTATTAATCTGTGGATTTATTTATTTATGGTCCCTGTCACGATCACGCACAGGCCTCATGTCTGTGTGGCTCGGCACCATGCCTGCTGTGTGGCTGCTGTCCCTCCTCCAATAACTCCACCATCACACGGCTGGTTTTCTCCTTCTTCCTGCTGCTGGGGACAATGGTGTCTGTCATCATGATACTACCTGGAATGGAGGAACATCTCAATAAAGTAAGATCTTTGTCAATCGCCACTGTTAACAACATTATGCTGTCAATGTATTGATTATATTTGATCATTTCTTCAGATTGTTTGAACTCCCTATGGTGGTTACAGTGCATGATTTCTTGTCCATATTCGGTGTATGAGATGTATGAGTAGTTGTTGTGATGAACTTTTTAGATTAAATAACTAGGTCTCTGAGATAGGGTGGTTACTTATTAAAAGCCACACTGAGGTCAGACCTGTATAACATTACAGGAAATGGCTCACTTGTGATAAAGTGTCCTGAGTAATAAAGTGACAGCTCACCAGTACCATGTAATAACACTTACAGAGATGATAAGATACACCATCTCTACCTGGCACTTTCCAAAAATGATTTTCCTGTTTATTTTTTCCTGATGTGTAGATTCCAGGATTTTGCAAAGGAGGATCCTCTGTGATTGGTTTTGAAAATCAAGTCAAGTGTGATGTCATCGTGGGCTACAAGTCTGTGTACCGGATGTGTTTTGCCATGACCTGCTTCTTCTTCTTGTTCTGCCTCATCATGATTGGTGTTCGAAGCAGCAAAGATCCACGTGCGGGTATTCAAAATGGGTGCGTACAGATACAATTGGTCTTATTTAGTGTGCACAGGTATTTGAGGTACTCACATCAGGTTTCTATTGGTTTGATTACCCAGATTCTGGTTCTTCAAGTTCCTGATCCTGATTGGTATCACAGTGGGAGCCTTTTTCATTCCTGATGGGACCTTTCATACTGGTACTGACTTGCTCTGATAGTGAAGAATGAACATTTGTATTCTGTGTCAGTTCATTGAGGAGACTCAGACTATAAATATTTATCTTTAAATGTTTTGTGTCTTTTTCCTGTCCCAGTGTGGTTTTACTTTGGAGTGGTGGGATCCTTCATCTTCATTTTGATTCAGCTCATCCTTCTCATTGACTTTGCTCACTCCTGGAACAAGGTGTGGGTAGAAAATGCTGAAAGTAGAAACAACAAATGCTGGTTTGCAGGTACACTGTTCATTAAAAAATAAGGCTTTCTTGCCAATTTTTAAAAAGTAATTAGCACTGAAGTCTGTTGATGGCTGCTTTTTTTCTATCCAATTTCCAGGTCTTCTGTCTTTTACTGTCCTTCATTATGCCTTGGCTTTCTCTGCTGTGGTGCTTTTCTACGTTTACTACACTCAACCAGATGGCTGCACAGAGCACAAAGTCTTCATTAGCCTCAACCTTATCTTCTGCATCATCATCTCAATCGTGTCCATTCTACCTAAAGTACAGGTATAGTGTTCAGTAGCAATGTTCATGCAAGAGCTGCTGTTTCTCAAATTCACCAGAGGCTTTTGCTTCAACTCTGATGTCTAAGTCACATGTTTATACTTATGTATTAGCTCTACAGTCTACACTGCAGCCATTGTCACAACAAGCTATGTAAATAGGCTTCTGCGTAGGTACAAGGGTAAATGTACTGCAGGGCTACATGAACCTGCTGATGCTATCACGTAGATCCAAATTAGAAGTATAGTCTATAGTCTATATTTTACATGATGTCCCATTTCAGCTTATTAATATTAAGCACTTTTTGTCCCGTTCTACAGGAAGCCCAGCCACACTCAGGTTTGCTCCAGGCCTCACTTATCTCCCTCTACACCATGTATGTCACCTGGTCTGCAATGACCAACAACCCAAGTGAGTCTCCTTCCTGACTTACACTTTGCTCTCATCACTCCTGTGTAGCTCATGGTTGCGTGCTCGGTTGTGATCATACTCCCTGTTTTCTTTCAATGTATGTATTTGCTGATTGTCTTCTGCCGAAATTTGATTATAGTGGTAAGTTTCCAAAGACAAGCTTTAGGATCAAAGAGCTGTTTTTTCAGTAGGTAGACCATCTCCCTTGTCTTATCTTGTGTCTCCAGCTGAATAGCAACAATGGGCTAGATTGTGGTGACTGTAGGGTTAGATTTTTCTATACATAGTCACTGAGATCTATTTACAGTCATCAAGGCTGTAAATATGTCAAATTAGATTTCACCTTTCTATAAATGTGAGAAAGGTGCCAGAGATTCACTGTACAAGGTTAAAAGGTCTGTTAAAGCTTAGAATTTCAAAGATGTCCAAAGAACCAAAACTTAGGGAAATATAAGTGAAACTATACTGAAAGACAGTTACCCAAGCCACAGCTATTTAACCTACTGGGTGCATTAAGGGAGGTTTAACTGATGGGCAGAGTTCCACTAGAGGGCAGCACATCCCTGGCATAAGCCATATCTCAGTGAGGAAGAAGAAGTCAAGGTTATGATTTGTAATCAGATCATTAAAAAACAAAAATCTGTTCAACACAGACTGGGACTTTAAGGGGGCAAATAAGCTGGACTGTGGTTGTAACAGCAGTAGACAGGGATCAGCTTGTCTGGCCTGGCAGCTGAGAACACAGTGCAGAAGTAGAGGCTAAAGGGATGGGAAGGTGGGGGAGAAAAGTGTGAGCGCAGAGCAGCAACTCAGTGTCTGGAACCAGTAAACATGTGTTTGATTGCAAGTATTCGGGTACTGTTTATCCTAGCAGCATACATTCATTATAGTAACGATAAAACTCCAAATTATCCAGAGATATTTGAAGTACTTTCATAACCTCTCATATGCCAAAAATGTCTAATACTTGGATTGTATGCTCTGACATCTTAGATCGAAAGTGTAACCCAAGCCTGTTGAGTCTGGTGTCAAACGTCAACACCACTGTACCACCAGAGGGCAGCAACACAGAAGGAGTGCAGTGGTGGGATGCACAGGGCATCGTTGGTTTGGTAATCTTCCTCTTCTGCACTCTCTATGCCAGGTGGGTAAAACTCTCCAAGAGTCAGGTTTTTGTTCTGTCTCTATATCTCTGTATCTATAGTTAGATAAATGGACAGATGGATATTATTCTTAACTAAACATCCTCTCTTGATCTCTTTCTCAGTATCCGCTCATCCAGTAATGCCCAGGTAAACAAGCTGATGCAAACAGAGGAGGGTGGAGGTTCAGGTGGAGAGGGGGTCATGGGAGAGGATGGTATACGCAGGGCTGTGGACAATGAGGAAGATGGAGTCACCTACAACTACTCCTTCTTCCACTTCCACCTTTGCCTGGCATCTTTATACATCATGATGACTCTCACTAACTGGTACCAGTAAGTATTTCTCCCCATCAGACTTTTAGCCATAAAGGATTAGTTACAATTTGATATCGATATCTTGTAAAGTTTTGTTCTCCTTAGCTGACAAATGTTTTAACTCAAGGTTTTTAGTAGTTGTAGTCTTACAGTCTGGCCACCAGGGGTTGTAAGATGTCACCTAAAGCAGTGGTTCTCAAGTCCAGTCCTTGAGGCCCACTGTCCTGCATGTTTTGGATGTTTAACTGCTCCAACACACCTGATTCAAATGATCAGCTCGTTATCAAGCTCTGTAATGGCTTAATAACGAGCTGATCATTTAAATCAGGTGTGTTGGAGCAGGGACACATCCAAAACATGCAAGACAGTGGACCTCGAGGACTGGACTTGAGAACCACTGACCTTAAAGGTTATCCATCAATTTAACACAGATTCAATTTCTTGAAATCTTTAAAACTAAAAAAAATATGTGCTTTTCTTGATAACTCGTGAAAAAACACATGTGTATTAAGTTCTCAGTGTTATGTTGAGTTAATTTAACAGTGCCTTTCCCTCTGTCCCCCCCGCAGACCAGACACCACCACCCAGGCCATGCAGAGCAGCATGCCTGCTGTGTGGGTGAAGATGAGCTCCAGCTGGCTGGGTCTGGGACTCTACCTCTGGACCCTCATTGCCCCCCTCCTCTTTCCGGACAGGGATTTCAGCTGAGCAAGCACCCCTTGATTAGCTGTGCTTTTTTTTTCTTGCACAGGATAAGAGGCAGTCTGAAGGATACTTTGAAAATGAAGGAAGAAGGATAATACACACTAAGTATAAATGACTAAATTTTTGCTGTCTTTTTCTCTTAAATGTTTCTGCTTTTAGTTTTTTAGTTGTGCTCCTTTTAGAATGATTATTTAGTGCAGAAAATCACTGTAAGTGAGGTGTGTTTTTAAGTAAGCTTGATTGATAATGGTTTTGACTGTGAGAATTTGGTTTCTGTTCTTTTTTAAGCCCCCACCTTATCAAGCGTCTCCCTCTCCCTCTCCCTTCTGCCTGATGTGGTCGTGATATTGTGATATTGCTATATGAGCTCTGTTATCTTATTGCTGAATATTAGTTACTAGACTATCGCATTGACTCAGCAACCAGGCAGTTTGTCAATACCTCAGACATTTTGCCAACAGATTCCCCTTTAAAGGCCTATGACGTCAGACTTCTCTGATTGGCTGGGTCTGGAGTCCCTACGATTACAGTAGCTGGAATGTGTTAGAGCCAGGGGCGACAGGGGGAACCCTCCTAAGGAGCCTCAGAGTGAGGTGAGTGTGAGAGTCAGATAAGACTTTGATGACACACCCTACAGATAAGAACCGGGCTTCCCTTTTGCTGCTAGGCTGGATGTAAATCCACGTCCTCACACTTTCAGTCCTCACAGAGCATGAGTCTAATCTCAGCTCTCCTTCATCCAATGGTCATTTATCTGCGGTGCTAAGCCTATCTGTCGTCTGATGGGTATTGGCCATGTGCAGCCACGGGCAACAATCTGTACCTGTAAAACAAGTCTGTTTGCAGCCTGGAGACATGTATTGATCCTTAGCAGTCAGCATCGTGTGATGCGCAATGGTACGGCTCAAGAGGTGATCGCCTGAGATTCTGCAGAATGCCATTATGTCCAGAATGTTGTCGAGCGTGGTATTGAGTGAAGTAAAAAGGGACTTTTAATTGTCGCACCTTCAAGATGACGAAGCATTTCAGTGCTGATGAATTGCTGTTCAGTGGTGTTGATTTTCATAACCTGTTGATGGTTGTTTGCTGGTACAGTCATTTATGCATTATATAAAAGTTACCTCGATTTCAAAATGAATGGAATAAGTCAAAGTAGAAAACATTTTGTATCTATAGAGGAAAAAAGTTTTTGGAACAATCTTTAAAATGTGCAATTTTGTTTAATGTTCTTTTTAACATTTCAATTGCCACGCAAATCAAACACAAGTATTGTGAATTAACTCGTGATAACTTCTGTTTTTGCTATGTTTCAATTGAATCTTGTGACGTGTATGCACATTTAATCAACACTACCCTACTTAAAGAGATTGTTAATGTAGAATTGCAATGTTAGTGTATAACATGTAACATTTCCAAACACTATTAAGTGCCTTTTTGTAGTCCTGGGTTTCAAAATGAATCAATCTCTAATGCCGATATGTGCTTGTCATGCCTTGCCTTACATAGTGGTGACTGAATCATTGCATGCCATATAACAAGGCACAGGCCTATGACTGGTATCAATATTGTAAGTTATGTATAAACACTGTTTTTAATAAACCTTGAAATCTGCCAATCACTGTCTTCATGAAGCTTTCATAGAAACTTCACCAGTCCAAAAGTTCTATGGATATTGAAATACGTAAGATACAGTGATTATCAATTCACAGAGGAGACAAAGGGTAGATATTTCAAAAGATTCAATAAAGTTTGATGACAGCTAGTTATTTGTTAATGGACACTAATTATTAGACAGAGAGTAAAGACTATTATGTTATTGCTACCCCATGAAAGACATTTACACTACACTAACATCTCAGTATCTCCTGAATGTTAGCAGGTTACTGCTGCTAGATTGATAGCACCCGCCTTCACCTCAGAGAACTAGGTCATGAGGTACCAGAGTTGGGGACTGAGGACGAGATAAAAAGAAAAGAACACATAACATGAACAAGAACATGCGACCAACTCTCATAAACAAGCAAACTGTATCCCAGCGTTGAGCTTTATCTTTGTTCTGATCTGTTGGGGGATTACTGTGTGAATGTGGATACGCTCACTCAAGCCCCTCATGTCTTGACCCTCATCTTAGTGTTTGCTCTTCCAGTTAGCCTCCTCTGACTGAAGTCCAAGGTGAAATTGAATGAACATGACTTGCATATCCTGTAAATAACAATAACACATCTGAGCAGATTTTGGCTCTTTTTCCTGGCACTAAATTTAAGCAGTAATGTTCCTGACCTGTCCCTAGTGCGGCTCGTGCCAGAGCTCGCTGCCTCTACTGTGTTATTTCCTCCTTTCCTGGCTGGCAGACAGGGCCTTGCTGGTTTTGGCGGCTCGTCACTCAATCCAGTTGGCAGTGTCTAGAAAAGTTCAGGACACACCAACTCATGTCGAGTCTCACCCTCCCACAAACCCTCCCCTTGCTCAGCCTATCCATGACCATCCTGGGGTTGATGAATTGTTGCACAGTTTCGCTGGCAGAATGATCGTCACTTCCTTTGCATGTAAGTGAAGAAAACAAAGACTTTTCCTGGCAGTGTTTGGAGAAACGCAGCACAGAACTCTCAGCATAAATCTCAACTATGACATGGGAAAGAAACAACATGGAAAAACTATTTCAAAGTCAGTCTTGGCTCCATTTTTGTCAAATGTGCTGCTGTTGTAACTTCATTTTAAACCTATGTTTTGATATCATATTTCTCTTACAACTTTCGGTGTTTCATTTTCACTTACATTACTACAATCTCACTTTTCACTCTATGAAAACTGCCCTCTCTCTTGTAAACATACCTCAATTGTTGTGTTAATGTCATTGACTGTAGTTTTAAAAGCACAGGGCTGATTTCACGAGATTAAACAAGGTTATGCGCCTTGCTCTTACGTTACTCCCACCTGAATTAAACAGTCTCAGGTAAAAGCATCTGGGAACACATTATCAAAATGTCATGAACTGTTCTTTCATTTCCCCTGTTATCATCAGGTGTACGAATCTGAACTAATTTTTTCTCTCCTTCAGAGCAGATTGAAGACCCTCTCCGCTTTTGGCCATTGGCTCTAGTGTCATAAACCCAATCTTTATTTCCTCTGTTATCATAACATGCAATTTGTCGCTGTAATGAGAGATCAGAGGCTTTAATGTGCTGATTATGAACCACTTAGCGCAGCTCTGCAGCCAAGCTTGGTTTGGCACCCTGAGGTTTTTTTTTAATTGCAGATTGACTCAAACAATAGTTATCAGTTGCAGTGTTATGCCTGACCTTAATCTTCACTTCTCTCTTTCCCACATTAGTCTGAAAATGTCAGCGTTTAGTGCTCACTTTTCAGGGAAAAGGTCATTGTCTGGAGTAGATCATCTCTCTATTTCAGCTTTGTTTCTGTGTTCATCAACTGTCCCAATGCTGATTTGGATAAATGTTGTTTTAGTGCATCCCTGACCACCTCTTTGACAGAATGGCTTGAAAAGCCTAAGGTGTAATTGGGTTTTAAAAGTAGAACCCAGGCCCATTAAATTATGTGCTGCATGCAGGGGAGCTAATTGAGTTGAAGCCCTGCTGGCACACTGCATGTGCACTGGAAACATTTACCCAACATTAAGCCCCAATTAGGCTTTAAGGATGGGAGATTTGTTGTTGGATGATGGGAAGAGAAGATACTGATGCCTGTCAGACTCACAGCAGAGTCTCTCTGGTGAGTAAAATCTGAGCACTGTTGTACCTCCGTGTTTTGGCAAATAAAAACTGTAAAGATTTCTAGATTTTCTCATTTGGTTTAACTGCTTTTGTTCTCTCGCTCTGGCTACAGTGCATTGCGGTCAAACTCAGTCAAAAAGTTTAAAAGTATGGTTGTGTTTATGAGTGTGTATGTGTGTGTGTAGTGCTATCCACTGCGCATGCTCCCTCTCAGCTCAGAGGAGCGGCTAATGCAGTTATATAACAGTGAGTGCAGCCGGCGTCTGCTGTGAGCCAAATGCCAGGACAGTCTGGTTACATAAGCCTGTCAGAGTCATATTGTAGCAGCACGGAGCGCTCGCACCACGGCGTGTCCCTGCACTCCATCCACCGTTTCCTGCTCTGTCTTTCACCTCCTCCCACTTAGCTGTCTTTCTTTGCTTTTCTCAAATCTTTGCACCCCCCCCCCCCCTCCCCACCCCGCGCGCGCCTCCTCCTCCTCCTTCTCTCACACTTTCTTTTCCTTCTCTCTTCCTCCCTTCTTCGCTTCTTTGTGGAGCTGTTGTCAACACCAGAAACAAAGCGATAACGTGCTGGATGAAGATGCATTGGTAGTTCTCATGGAAAAAAGTACTAAATGCTGAGGGAGTTAAGTGTATTCTTCTTCTATTGTCCTCTCCATAATTTCTAAGCAACTTTCCTTCTCCAGGTGACAACATGAGTGTGGCAGACCACCCCCCAACCTGTGAGCTCTGCTGCACGAGGGCCTTTAGAGCACCTTTACTGTATCACTCCCACCACCACCACTACCCCCCAGATCTGAGGAGGTCACCACATCAGCAGGAAATCCACTCATAGCTTTGAGAGTAGTGGTGGGCATGGCTGTTCTTTTAGATGTACTGAATCACTAGAATCAGTTGACTAAAAAGATTTGTTCAAAAGATTCGTTCACCAAATCACTTAACACTTGGCGGGAGAGGCCTGCGATCCCGACCTCCTGAACTGATACACAGCTGAACAATTCAGGATTCAGTTCAATTCATAGTTTCTGGGACTGGGAGAGTGTTTGGCTGTGTTGCTTTGGCAAAGGTCATGATGCTTCAAGTGTACTGTCCTATGGTATGCTATTTATCAGGTCTGCTCGGCAAATTGGGCTCAGTGAGTGATTCGTTCACTGAATGTTTAGAAGAATTCAAACTGAACATGCACCATTCCCTCGCAAACCGCTGCAATGATAGGATGCTGCAGGTTAAATGCACTATTTATTACATGCTGTGTCCTATTGTATGCAAGTTATTGTGATGGTAATTTAGCAGTAAAAACAAAAAAGAGGAAGTTTTATCTGACAAAAATTATTCCCGATAGTGTAGCTCTATGCGTGATTCGTTCACCAAGTGATTCAGGCGTCGGTGCATATGATTCCTCGTTCACCGGCTGCTGGCCTGGCAATGCTGTTTCTCACTTCAGTTGAGCTGAAGTGAGAAACGAAAGAATCACTTGAGGAAGTGATTTGGTTCAGTACATTCACTTAAAAGATTCGGTTCTTCTTAACGAATCGTTCGCGAACGGCACAACACTATTTGAGAGATGTGTGCAAAGGACTGCAAACACTGCGTCTGTGACCCCTCAGTAGTTCACACAGTCACCAAGGAGAGGTTAATTGATTTGCCTCAGATCCTGACCTCCATTACATCTCCCCAGGGTGAGATGCAGTGTCAGCATCACTTTAGATGGGGTTATTTGCTCTTGCGGTGAAGAAACAAAGACATGAGTTGAAGTGTGGTGGTGAAATATTGCAGAGGTGAAAAAAAAGTGAGGTGATGGAGCTTGGACGAGTGTGTGCATCATGATTACCCCAACCAGCCTCGATTTAAAGCGGCCGCATCAAGCTGCCTGGCTAATAGGATAAATTGCATTAACCAGGAACTGCTTCTTTAAACCAATGGCTGCCTCTGCCTCCTCATGATTATTCATGAAACGGGCTCGACGCGCGAGCGCACTGGTGGAGGCAGATAGGGGGGCGGCGCCCACCGGACCTGCCGTGCGGGGTGGTGCGGCGCCGCGGAGTGTGTTTGGCGTAGGGCGAGATGTTGTTTTGTTGTGGCGATCAGCTGAATGTGGCATCGCTGTCCAGTCTGACACAACAGTGGGAAGCACTCAGAGCCCCTCCGGCTCTCCCTGCGCACAAACGCGGGCATCGAGAGCAGCTCTATCAGGCTCAGCGCTATCCAGGAAATGCGGACTTCTGGCCCTTTTCGTTAAATGGCTGCAGCGGACGCTCTGAAGCAAGCTGGTAAGTAAGAACTGTCATATTGCTCCTTTTTAATTCTTACTCTTAAGGATGTTGTAATGGGTGTCACATGGGGAGGGAGTACGGTGCGAAGTTGCGCGCAGGATCCCACCCGTGCTTTCACAGTTAGAGTGTGCCATGAAGTTGTGCCGTTTTGTCATGTGTTACAATTGAACGTGATGAGAAAAAAATACCGGGGTGAAATATACCTACAGGAGCAGCTGGATGAGAGGGATTTTTCAAGATTGCTTTAGCCTCGTGTATCGCGCGTGCAGAAGTAGTGACGAGGACGCTGCACACGTCCAGCTGACAGCATATGCTTCATCATGTTCCTCCATTCACCCCGTTTGTCCTTTGTAATAAACCGGCTGAGGAGAGCAACAGTGCGCGAGGACGCAGGCAGGCTGCGCACAAGTTTAAGATTCACGATGAACTCCTTTGTTACTGGCTACACCTACACGAGGATGATTTTTAGTGGATGACATCATACTTTCCTGCACAGATGATCGATTGTTTATTTGATTAAGACGTAAACTGGTTTATTTTGAAACTGGACACGTAGAAACATCTTCTCTGTCACTTTACTTATCAATATCCATACCAGATAATCTATCTATCTATCTATCTATCTATCTATCTATCTATCTATCTATCTATCTATCTATCCTGGCAGTAAATCAGGCTGTGAACTAAGGACAGCTCTTCAAGTGTGTCTCTCTCTGCAGATGAAGACCTCAGTGGCAGCTGTCTGCCCTGAAGCTAGGTGCTGCAAAAACATATTTTTCATCATATCGTTGGAGGTCAACTATCTTCTCCATGCAACAGCCCATCCAATCCAATCCACACAGCAGTGCCCTCGCCTTCAGTCTGTGTCTGTACTGTTAACTTTAACTTCCAGCACACACATATAGAGTAAAGTGTCAGAGCGTGGTGCTGTTGGTCTTGGTGGTAAAAGGGGAATGAGTGGAGAGTGGCCAATATGCAATTATTTCTTATTGAATCAGCACAAAGTGGCAGGGCTCCGCTCAGCTCTGGATCGAGACCACTTGTGGTGCTGGCTGGAGAAAGGCACTAGCTCAGCAGGCAACCCAAGGAGAGCACAGCTTCATTTTCTCGCAAATTTTCAAAATTGTTTGACTTCATGAAGCATTTTAGGATTGAAGAAAGTCTGAGCTGGAGGGATTACTGCCACTTTTTGGTTTTAGCATGGATGTGGATAAAAGCTGCGAGTCAGACGCACTTTGATGTTTTTATACCATTGTTATTTGGCTGAAATTTAAGAAGGTGGCGTGTTGGGAATAAATACAGCTCTCTGTAAAGTTGGAAGTGATTGTGCTATTATCTGTGTGGCGGTGGGACCAGTTTTCATTTCAGTCAAAAGTTTAGCAGTGACAAATAGCTTTGGTATTAAGAGTCATAGCAGGAGACTTGCACGGCAAGTTTGTTAAGGAGACAAAAGTTAAACTTCAATTTCTGATTGCTGGAGACTCCTCTCAAGGAGGCAGACAGGCATACAGAGAAGGCCTGATCTCTGCCATTAAGCTGCTGAAGCTGTTCGAAGCTTTATAGTACATCACACAAACTCACCTGGCGTACCCTCTTCAGTCCACCATCTCTTACACTCTAAGTCAGTCTTGCAGGTGGCAACGTGTTGACTCAAACGCATGAGATGCACTTGGCAGGGACAGGATCATGTGGAGTTCCTGCTCAGACATTCAGACACACCTCCCTTTCTGATAACAAGATTTAATAACAGCAGCCACAACGGGGCAAAGGATCATGGGATGGTCGGCAGAGTCAGAGTGACAGTTAAGCCTGAACCTTTGATGTGAAACTCGTAGGTGTTACACAGATGCTGTGCTGCTTGTAGAGCTGCTGCGAAAGTGAACAGACGTGGTCGCTGGCGGTCCGTTCTGCTTCATGCATGACTGCCTGCTGACAGATTACACCAAGTGTAAAAGAAATGGCATGTACCGGCATGTTTAAGTGTCGATGCATGTATGAAGGGTACCATTGTTAGCAGCCCCCTACAAGGAAAATACACACTCACATACAGTGATACACACACCCAGGCTGTAAAATCCTGGTGACTGGTGGACACAACCTTTTCATGTCTCTGCTCTGCTCATTAATCCTGCTCTCTGAAGCACCCGAGAAGAATAGACCCACTGTAGTGCTGGAGACCAGAGCGAACCAGGAACAAGACCCTGGACACACACACAGAAGCAGACACACATAAAATGCAAAATGGAGGCCAGGAGTGCCAGTCTGGCAGCTTAGCAAATGCCCCACTACCCTAATAATTGTATTGCGTGCATTCAGTTGTGATTTATTTTGAAGGGACAGTTTATTTTCTGTTGTTTCTTCTGTAGCTTGGTCTGCAGCCAAGGGTTCATATTCAGTATCATTTCAATATGTGTGTGTGTGTGTGTGTGTGTGTGTGTGTGTGTGTGTGTGTGTGTGTGTGTGTGTGTGTGTGTGTGTGTGTTTATGTTAGAGTTGTGATTGTCTATTTGTCTATCAGTGTCTGGCCTCAGCTCAACGTCTCACTCAGGCCAGTGTGTTGGTCGCTCTTTCAAATGCAGATAGAATTTCCTCCTGTTTGCCAAAAGGGAGAGTACATTATGAGTGTGTGTGTGTGTGTGTGTGTGTGTGAGAGAGAGAGAGAGAGAGAGAGAGAGAGAGAGAGAGAGAGAGAGAGAGAGAGAGAGAGCGATTATGTCAGGGACTTTGTAAGGAAGGTGTTTTGCAGTAATAGGCAGTCTGTAGTTCACATATATTTGCAATTCTACATATAAGTCGTTTGCAGTGTGAGCACCAGTGTGGCTGTGTACATGTGAAGTGAGGGATGATGTTTAGTGAGCAGGTGGTTGGTGCAAATCAAAAATCTTGACAGGGTGAGCAAGACTGTAATGGTAAGGACAAGAGGTCTTGTCTCAACCTCACGTGAAACAGACTCACCTGTAACAATACATTATCGCACTTTGCAATTCACAGTCGCATACAGTGATCCCACTCAAGATCAATCCAATAAAAGGTAGTTTTAGTTAGCTCATTGCGAGGAAAACAACATCAGATCAGCAGAGCAAGTTACTGTCTACCTCAGAAATCAGAAGAACTGAATCAGGCTGAAGTGTTCTTTATTTTATTGTATTGCTCCTGGTATTTTCAGCTGTTATCAGTTAGAAAGCCAGTGTACTGGTGACTGTGTTTTGTGAGTGATTGCTATTGCTTTGTGGGTTTAAGTGACTCAGTGGTGTATGCCTGTCACAGTCCAGTATATGTATGTTGCTGAGTGTGTAAAGAAAACTGTAGTGAATGTCTTATTGTGTGTTTGTCTTAGTGTATTTGCTCTTAAGGGTTTTTGTTAATTAGTCTTTTTGTGTTTGAGTGGGTCTGTATGTGTATTAGCGTATCTACAGTGTATGTGTGTCAGTGGCTGTATAGAACGGTGTGTGTTGTAGCTGGTCTGTAGTGTATGTGTGTTAGTGGTGTATTAGTGTCTTTGTAGTGTTTGCGTGTCAGTGAGGTTGTAGTGTTTTTGTTTCCCTGTAGTTTATGTGTGTTAGGAGGTCTGTATTGAATCAGTGCTATTCTGCTGAGTGTGTATGTGTGTGTGTGTTTTTTCTGCAGCGCTTGTGTGTTAATGTAACAGTCTGGTTACGTAATGTTAAACACTAGAGTTCATACTTAAGAGGGCAGCATGTAGAGTCAGAGCGGTTACTCATTCACACTCGGTCTTCATGCTGGTTAATCATTAGCTCGCTCTCTTCTGTTAGCTTCCTGGTCAAATACTGAGGGGGTTTACTGTTTGGGATGGCAATAGGCCACAAGTTCATACCATCCAAACAGCTTTCCAGTGTCATTGTGTCACCCTGATCACATGGTCATCCTTAATTCCCTTTCCTTGATACATCTTCATTCCCTCTTGTATCATGGTTTTTGTGCAGGTGTTCACTCTCCACAGTAGTCGGTGTTGTATAACAGTGATTGTTGCATTGTGATTGTAAGCTTCAGCACTGCTTACCACAGGTATGTCTGCCAGTATCTCGTTGTTGAGTGTGTGTCATTCTTGGGAGAGGCTGATAATGACTGCATGAAAACAGTGATAACACACGTAGCAGCTTATCAATCATGCTGAGAATTCAGATTTGAGTCAAATAAAGCCTCCAAAGCTTCCTTCTATTTTGTTTTAGGTGATTTGCTTCAGATGAATTTCAAGTGTGTATCGATCGATGATGGAAGCGTGGTATTGTGTTTCATGGCTTGATATCTACACCTCTTCCAAATCTCTCTCTCTCTTTCTCTCTCTCAATTTTTTTTTCCTCTGGGTCCCTGGACGCCTGTCTGACCACACCCTGGAGCTCACACAGCATCTGTGCAGATCATAATGATCTCCAGGTGTCGCTCCTTCAAACCAATCTGTTAGTATTAACTGACACCTGCAAAGACAATTTAGGTATTCTGCTCCTGCAGCTTGGAATTTACTGAATGTTTTTAAAGGCTGTTTGAAGGCTTTGGAGGAAGATGCATCAGTTGAAAATGCTTTGTTTGATGACTTCTGTCATATGTCCCTGAACATTTTACCAAATTTTAAACAGTGTGTTTGTATGTTTGTAACTTTGTTGGAGTGTGCTGATGCTGTGTTGGCCAGAGCGGTGTTCATTTTTGTTTTTTATTTTTTAATTCTCAATGAGGCTTGTCTGTTTTTTTTTTGTTTGTTTGTTTTTTTCTGAGGCTTTCTTATCTCTGCCTCACCTTTACAAACGTTCTACTTACATTTAATGAAACCTGTTTAAAGGAACAGCAGCAATTTATTGTGTCTCTTCTTGTTCTTTTCAATGAGGGTCTCTGTCAATATTTTATTTCCACCTTATTCCTGCAGGGAGTTACTTCTGTTTACGATTATGGGCAAAACTGCTGGTGATGTAACAGAAATAGAATTAAAGTTGTTTGTTGTAGTGGCTAATCTTAGTGACAGAGCATTGATAGCAGTTGTTTCGAAAACAAAATACCTCATTCTGTCTAGTTTTTAATGTGTGCTAGGTTTTTATTGAGTGAGCATAATGAATGAGGAAACACATAAGAAATACCAATTATTACAAAAAAAGTCACTGTGATTTAAAATGTGATTATTTAATAAGTTTGTTAATACACCTTCCAAAGTATTTCAGCTGCACGGCTGAAAGATCTCCCTGGCACACAAGCAGTCAGCTGTGTGTTTTTCACCAGGAGTTGACACTGAAACCCAGGCATGGTGACGTGGGACATTAAGGCTTTGACTCACCCCCACATCTGCTTTTATGTATTAAGATTGTGTCCAACCTCTTGAAACACAAAGTGACCGATCTCGTTGCTATAGAAGAACTGAAAACATTCGCCTCCCTATCTACTGCAACAGAGCTGACAAAGTAGCTAAATATGCAAGTAAAGAATATTTGAGGCCATTTCTTTACACCGTTCTCCCATCCCTCGATAGATCTGCGATCTTTCTAATAATTATTATGAATTATTATGAATTCTGTTACCACAGAAAATGCCAGCTCTACATCCAGTGGCAGAAGGCACTGGAAGACACTCCCATAACTCACGCAAGGTATCATGGGGGCTTGGAATAAGGTGGACAAAGGATCTATGATATTGTAGACCAATCTTCTCTTCAAGTGTGAGAGGATGAGGGAGAGGAACTAACGCATTAAAACTCATCTCCTTAATTAAATAAGTTTTCCATCAATATTTCCTTTTTTTCATGTCTTCTGTTATTTTTTCTCATAAGGGCAGATTCCTCTTGTTTCTTTTCCTGTTTCATCTTCTTATCTCACTTCTTCTTGCCCTACCTTTTGTTCTCCTTCCTGAAAAATGACTCAGTTAATCTCCCCATCTTTTCCTGCAGTTGTCTTCCCTTTCCCCTGTTCTTTAGTTTGTCTCTACTCTTCATCTGTTCACACCTCTTCTTTCCTCTTCCCCACATTCATATCGTCTCACATTTTGTGATTCCTCCTTTTCCTTGCCTTCTTTCTTTTATTTTTCTCATCCTCTCATCTTATTAACTTTCCCCTAAATCCTCCCCACCCCATCTGCCGAACCGTACTCCTCCTCCTCTCCTCTTTCCTTCCCTCTCCTCTCTCCCCCTCTTCCTTGGAAGTCCTTTGTCTCGGTGAGTAAGGCATCCCTGTTGTAAGATCGAAAGTGAAAGGGGTTTTGGAGTGAATTCTTTAAACTCTGATGCAGATCTTCCAAATAAGTTCAGGTTGTGTGGGCAAGTCTGAAGCACGATGGTCTGTGGACATGCCTCTGAGGCAGAACAGTGACCCCTGGACCCTCTCCTTTAGGTCTCTTTGAAGACCCTGTGAAATGTGTAGATACGGCATACAGTAGAATTCAGATGAGTCAGGTCCAGTGTATAACACAGTGGGTTACTAAGAGAGTCAGGTGAAGCCTTCTCCACTCAAAAGCTTCATCATATATTGAATTAGCTGGAAAAATCACATCATGTGATTGGTGGTTTTTTTTGACATCTGTATCTGAAACTGTAGAAGAGAAGTAGGTCTATGAGTGTGCCGCATTTGTTATTTTCTACATGGTCCCTGAAGGCGCGCTGCAGTGCCCTGACATTGTCAGGTAAGGTCGCATGGAGAACACCTCATTTTAGATACTGTTAATTATGCAGGAGTGTGGTCATCTGCCATCACTAGGGAAGGTCATTTACTTCTCACCCTGTTTAAGGGCACAAAATTCCACAGACTGAGGTCTCTTTGCGTGTTGTGTAAGAGTAGAAGTGAATTTTTGTTGTGGTTTTGTGATGCTACAGAGGTTGTGCTGACATCTTGTTCGGGTCATTAAGAGGCTTCAGCTGTCTTGTATTTAAAGTCAGTTCACCCTGTAGGAAAAACGGCATTAATACTGGATGTGTTTCTGTTCACAGTGTGGGTATGTCCCTGTGTGTTTATATATATTCAGCGAATGTTTAGGTGAATGGTGTTCTGCTGATGCTTCCATATTGCAGCCTCTGAGCGAGGGCGTCTGTTTCACCTAATTGAAGGTCAATATTTATGCGAGCGCTCATACAAACAACTTTTCTAGCTTGGTCTAGACAGAACACAGACTTCCACTGTACTCCAATAAAATCAGATTGCATGTCATGTTCTGGTCTGGCACGTCTGGGCCTACAGTATTTCCCCACTCTGCGGTGCACTTTTACTGTGCTAAAGCAGTGGAAAGCTTTCTCATAGACTGCATTATTCTGCAAGATAAACACTTTCCTGGCTGTTTGATCTATAAAAGCAATAAGAAGTTTGTCCCTTAAACTTTCCAAAAAGCTTATTAAATTTAACAAATATGGGAATTTCCGTATTTGATGACAGATTTTCTAACTTAAAGTAGAGACTCTAAAAGCAGAAACAGTGAGTGGAGGAGAGCCATGTCAGAAAACTAAATGTATTTCAGAAGTTTTGCACTTTTTACAGATGTCAGCTACTCAGAACTATTTCAATAATTAGTCGATTGTTTGAGGCATTTCAAACAGTGATAAATACCCCAAACTAATTTGTTGAAGCAGCTGCTTGAAGAGGCTCCCTAGGGCCTGTTCTACGAAGCAAGTTCAACCTAGCAAGGTAGCCTTGGAGCTACCTCGCTCGACTTAGCGCGGTAGCCAGCGGTCTCGCTAAATGGTCTTACGACGCTGGTTATCAACCTTGTCAGTGGATCCAGCTTTGCTATGAGCGCATGCACGCATGTAAGGCGGAGCCCGCCGCGTCATAGAACAGGAAACCCTGAACTTACCCTTGAAGTTACCTCGCTAAGCAGTAATCCTGCTCTGTAGAATAGGCCGCTGTAGTTTTACACGTTTAGCTTACTAACCATAAATATTTAATAATAATTCATTATTTTATAAACTAAATGTTGTATTGAAAAATGTGCTAATACTCTTGAACACATCCATTTCTATGTTATTAGGGTTGTCCCGATACGATATTAATATCTGATATTGATCCGATATCAGCAAAAAAAAAAAAAAAAAAAAAAAAAAGAGTATCAGATTATATCAGCCTGCATCTAAATCAGGTGCTTGTATTAGCACTCTGATACAAGCAGTCCATTCCAGACTCCGTTCCGGCACCTCTATCTAGCAGCGCCCAGATCCAGCAAGCTGAGCCCACAAAATCACAACAACAGTGTGAAGTACCGAGGAGTAAGAGTGATGTTGGCCTTGGGACACTGTTTTTTGTTTAAGTCAGAGAAAGACATTGCAGCTGAGTGAAAAACTTGTCATGCACAATTTTGTGCCAATATTGGATCAATATCGGTATCGGTCAATATTGAAGGCTAAAATAACGGTATTGGAAGTCAAAAAGTTGTATCGGGACACCCCTATAAGTTATATCATGTTAGGACAAAATATTGTTGTTACCGGCATCCTGACTCATGTAATCGTATCGCTGGCTCCAAATATTGATGTTTTAACTAAAGAATGATACACATATTTACCTTTTCATTCACCTCACCATGTCACTACTTCATGAATCTCACAGTGCTGCTCATGTCGTTCATCCTGTTCTTCAACTTTTGGGGCTGTTTTTATTCTCCGGTAACTGAGGCGTATTTTTGTACGATTGTGTCACAGTTTATCAGTCACCCAAAATAACTTTATGGCGATGTTATCGTCAGCATACTGAGTCACCCAGCGATTCTCAGACTTTCTAGCAGAGTGTTGAGAAATGCTTGTGAGGTTCATTGTCTTTCTCTGAATACCAAGTCCCTTTTACGTTTTGTAGCCAGAGTGGGTCAGAAGACTGGTGGTTTAATCCCAGTTGTCAGACTTTTACTCTACTGCTGTTTCATCTTATAGTGTTATGAGGAAAGTAATCAACTTTCTTCTCTTGGAAAAATGAAAGGATGTATGTTGAAACCAAAGCCAGACACAGATCACAACAGAGCCGGGGAAGAAAAGCTGAGGAAAGAGTTTGGTTTTGTTAATGTTGAGCTGCTGACACAGACTCGGCCAGCATAATTGAGTAAATAAACATATGATATGATGTGGCGAAAAGGGCCTCTGATGTTGAGTTTACATATTTACACACTGCCGCTTTTGACTAAAGCCATGGTTTTCAGCACTTTTGAGGGGGGCGAAGGATAGATGAGGTGGGTGAAGCTAAGAAAGATTAAAGGTGAGCGCAAACAGTTGGGGCTACCACATGACAGTCCTGCACATGAGAACCATCCATCATTCCTTGCATTTACTGCACCTGTTTAGATGGTGCAAGGTCAGGAGATCTGCTGTGTATCTCAGGATGTGCAGGGCTAGAGGCACACAAGGGTGAAGTTTACCAAGGGTACAAGGAAGATGGATGATAAGACATCTGTTTCTATTTCTGCCAAGGTTAGTAGATGTCAGTGATTCATTTTTATCTATCGAGAAGATGGTTTATTTGATTCTTCTAGCATCATTAATATGCATTAGGAATATACAGTAATAATGAAAACAAAGGTTTCCTATCCGAAGATATAGTTGCAAACATTTGGGGTAGAAGAGGAGACCATGGCTTCCCCTAAACATAGCATTTCCAATCATTTCAATTATGTAATCCTAATGTCCTCAACAACCTCAAACAGTCAGCAGTCCCTGTGTTTACACCCAGGTAGTCCCCCACCTCCTCTCTTCTCTACTGCTCTGCACCGTCAGCACACTGTGAGGAAGCAACCCTCAGCTTAGTCACCGCAGGCCAGGACTTTTCATCACTTCTGTGCCACTCCAATATGCTTAATGGTGTTACACCTGTCCTCTAAGGGACCCCCTTCTTGTCCTGATGTCAGCTGACAGGTATCCAGGCCAGTGAGGACTCTGGTTGTCCAGTGGGGACACACTGCTCTCATGTGGGGGACATATTTTCTTCTAATGCTGCAGAGAGACCAGGAGCTGTACAGCTGAGATCAGCTGACGGTGGATAGGGACATCCCTCTTGCTTTTCTTGTCATAAAAAGAGGCCGGTAAGAGTGAGCTATTTGAGAATTGGATTGGGATTCTTTGGGAGTACCGTAGCATGAGCAGCAGGGCTGGGCTCCCGCTCGCTGCTCCTGAGTGAGGGTGTCCATTACTGTGGAAGAGTCTAAATTACACTGAAGAGGAGGATGAGGAGAAACCCCAGAGATGGTTTTGAAGGGGGCTGAGATTGGGTGAAAAAGAAATCAGTTTTTCTCTGAGTGAAAAAGCTAGTTTGATACACACAAATACATCGTTGCAGGGGTGAAATACTCAGTGTGTGATTACAGAGGTTCACTTTCTCCTTTTAAGGGTGTAAATCATGATTTCTGGAGGTAAATTTCCAGGCAGGGTTTTCCTTTCGCAGTGAAAGTGTTTGTCAGCCAGCCCGATGGATGGCCTCTCCGGTTTTATGAGAGCAAGCTTTTCCTGCAACAGTCTTTCTTTCACAGGTCATAGCTGTGTGTTTTGGCTCGCATGCTCGGCCATGTTGTCATCAGCATAACAAACACACCAGTCATAGGTTGTGTGGCCAATCAATGGCTGCGGAGTCACTGCAAAACTGCATGAAAGTATGTGTTTCCCGGACTTTCAGTTTCAGCATTTCTTTCTTTTGTTGCTCAAGTGTAGCCACAAACACTCAGAAACTGTAAGTTTTCTCTGCAGAGAGTATCAGTGTTTCATCCCATCAATCTATGTAATCCGCTGTTTATTGCTTCTCTGTGTATATGGCGTTATCAGATTATCCCCAGTGCAGTTTCTTATGGCAAACATTGTGTTTTATTGTGCTCTGCCTCTCATCGGCCAAGTCTTTACTGCTCGGCTCTGTGTGTCAGCAAACAAGCCTGTATGAAGATGGTGAGAAATGCTATCCCAGTAAATCCAATGCAGGCCTTTCATTTTAGGATGAGGTTTTGTTGATGTATTTATGTAATCCTCTATTTCAGGTCATTCACCTTTAGCAGTTTGGCTCTGTGACACACTGAACATAAGGAACAAGTGTTTTTGCTGTAACCGAGTTAGCATGCTGGCATTAGCTCACTGAAAACTCATTACTCACTGTGTTTCTTTGCCACTTGGTATTTCTACTGTAAACATCATTATCTGTTGTTGATGGTATCACAAACTATATAAAGGTGGTAGTCTCTGTGACGTCACCATTAGTGTCTCAATAGTGGTTTATGGAGATGGCGCTCACCATGTTGGAAATACTGAAGTTTCGGTCAGCTGATTAGCAGATATAGAGGTGAAGTTGAGGCGGACCATAAGCCTCAAACAGCTACAGCTTGTCAGTCAGCTCACCTAAGCTCCTAACTGTGGAAATCTTTGCAGTAATCCATCCCTGTGGCATTTCAATATGCTGGTAAACTTGTTATTTTGCCTGGTTTTGTAAAGACATTCTATTCTCGATGTGTGTTCCACTTTTATTTTAGCAGACAACTTTAACTTGTCTGGACGTTTTATGTCCTGTTTTGGCTTTGATGAGTATCGTTTTACTCCAGCCCAAGAGCCTTATCAACATGTATGAGTGTACCATGAGCCGGGTTGGGTTACCTGCAGCCAGAGATGAACATTCACAGACAATTTGTCCTTTGTAAACACTGACAGCAGAACATGCTTTATCTAATCAACAGGTGATAGTACAGAGCAATAACTGCATCGTAGAGCAACACATGTTAAACACGTCTAAACTTAGTGTTCGACAACACATTGCCCAATTGTTGAATTAGCTTGAAAAGGTAACACTGGTCTACCTCGTTGTATCGCAAACTGTATGCCCTCCAAATTATCTCAAACATATGAAATAGTCTTGGGCTAAAGTTCCAGTATTTCCTCCACCAAATTAGAAAAACTCTTCGTTTGGAATATTTCAATTTTCAGATTCATATCAGGAATGCAAATATGAAAACAATTTATGATACTGTGTCAGAATTTTACGAAACAAGGTTTGATCACATTTAGATTACTTTACCCTAAAATGCTCCAAAATCAGCATTTGCATACTACAATGACATTGTTCTTCTAGGTGAGGATTCCTTCAAAGCCCTGATACCTGCATGTTTTTTTCACCTATTATTCTTCACCTCTCTAGTGTTATTTATTTGAGCGTATCACAGGTGACAGCTAGTTTTGCATAGTATTTGGCTATAGGCCATTTATTCAAGTCAGGCCATATCTGTTACCTTTTATCCGGAGGTTGCAAATGAAAAAGTACCAGTTTGATATTATTTAAAGGAAAAAAAAAAAACATTGAAATATGATCAGGACTCATATCCAAAGCTCCTCTGCAACTTGTTTTATATACCAAGACTTTTCAGGCAACTTTTTTGTTTGTTTTAATCCTTGGACTTCTGCATTAGCTCCGCTTTTCAACACCAGAGACTGGGGCTTGGTTATAACTTTATTACAAGAAATTTTATTGCATTTGCTAATATGATCAACTTAATGTTAGAGGGACTATTGACTTTTACAAGGTTGACATTTATCCAGACAGGTGCATTATGTTTTTATTTTTCTGCACTTGAACCTTTTAAACGAGTGAAGGTTTATGTTGATGTTCGAGTGACGCTGGGACCTGTCAATCGTACTCGGTGTGATGACGTTCTTTCAAACCAAAGACCTGTTGAGTCTTGCCAGACCACAATGAGCAGAGAGAAACCTGTGGGCTAACGAGACCTGGTCTGCCAAGACCTGCCTAATGTGATTTTCCGGTGTTTGTGACAGAGTGGTAGGTGCCATTGCATATGTGCATTTATATGGCTGTCTGGCTAAAAACTCCTGGATCGTTCTCACTGAATCCCCATCTTCCTAATCACGGGCCTGAACTTTTCCTCTTCCACTTTTTTCCTGTTTTCTTAGAGCCGTAAAACTGATGGTGTGCCTTGTTTCCTTGGTTAGTCATCAGACTTCTTTGAGAACAGAGGTTACATTCCCCAGGCCCCTAGATCAGATTTTCCAGGTCCTCTGATGAGATTTCCCCCCACGTATTGCCATTTGTTTATATTTGTTGTCTCAGGCTTAAGACTTCCTCATCTGCTGTTTAAACGGACTATAAACACATCTTTGCTCACCGTCAAGTTGTGTTCTTTGTTGTGGGTTTTACCAAGATATGTGGCCAGATGTAGCTCTCTCCTGTCTTCATCTAGTACATGGAAGACAAAAACATTAAAACTTGACAAACAAACCACTTCAATATTTTCCAGCCTAGCATGAAAGTATAACACACCAGGCACTCCAGCTGTTTCTGGTCAGGTCCTACTTTCCTTTAACTTGTAGTTTTTAACAGCTAAATTCTTGTTACTCTTGTTACTTGTTTTCTTGTTGGCAACCTTGTTGATTTGATAAACAGCTCATTAGTGCTTCAAAGAGATATCACAAAGATATCATCCAACCAGAATCCAAGTTTATCACAACTAAGGATGAAAATCATAATCCCATTCAATTTGATTGTATTTGAGTTTATCAATACAACTATCAAGTCTCTTGGTTGTCAATATGTCAAGCTGAGTCGCGTCGTCCAAATCAGATCATTGGTGCACAAACGTACATCAATTTTCCAACAAAGTTCCTACATCAGATTTATCAGCCAACAGGTACAACATTAAACAAAGACGATGCTTTTGGGTGTCTTTGGGTTTAAGTAAAGAAAAAAAAAAAACTCCATTAACATTTGGTCACTGCTGCTGCTGCAGGTCAGCCGTCCTCCTTCAAACTTTATAACTCCTGGTAATTTAATGGTGATCCAAATTAACAATTTGTCATAATCAACAGGACAAAGACTAGTTAGTACAGTTCCGGTCAGTAAAATGACTCGTAGTTGAGGGTAGGTAAAAAGTCATGGATATATTTATGTGAGATAAGACAAGGGGAAAATTTAGGGTTAGGTGAAAAAATTGAATAATGCATTTATTTAGAGGAGAGATCTGTTTGCCATGAAAACATGGTAGTTTTACAGTTAAACGTTGGCAAAGAGAGTTAATATACAGCGTTGTGTCACAAAGCTCTTGAAGTGAACATCCCTGGTGGAGGCACAGCCCCTGTACATTGTGTGTACATGAATACAGAGAGGACTGCAATCTGTATTGGATGACAAATCAGCCGTACGTAAACAGGCAAGGGGTAACAGGAAATCAATGCATCCAGCCACCTCTCCTCCATCAATACAGTGTCTCACTCCTCTGTTCATCTCACTGTCTTTCTCTTTCTCTCTTGTTTCCTTCTTTTTCTTCTCTGTTTTGTTGCTGCTCTTCTGCTTCTTGAAAGCCACAGCATCTCTATTTTAAGGATAACTGTTCCTCTGCTTTGTATTCAAATGAACATGGAGCAAACAGCTCGGCGGGTGAATAAGAAAGGGAGGTGGCCAGCCAGCTTTTGGAGTCGTGTTTCTCCTAACCAGATCTTTATAGGGTGATGACAGCTGGAGGAATGCAATGCTAATTCCCTTAGCTCGAGTCATGTGACCTTTGGGGCTCACTTACTCTCCAGTGTGATGTGAGCAGGCTGGGTGGTCAAGAGGAAAGAAAACTGTCCATCTACAGTGAGTGTGTCATATAGTTTACATGCATAACATGATTTGATCTCAGTCAGAGGGTGTGTGTGTGTTTGTTAGCAGGATATGCTACTGTACTGTGGTGCCAGACGGTGCGACTGTGTGCGGCCTTCCCTCATGGCCAAACTAGACTGCACCTCCCAACAATGAGTTCAGCTAGTGACACATTTCTGTCTATCACAAAGTGGGCCACTGGATTTGTGATCATGTAGGCTGGGTTCCACCACCTTCAGAAACACTAAGGTGGCTCATAATTTACATATATCCTCTTACATATATGAATTTGTTGCAAGAAAAAGAGCACCATTGTGTGTTTGCTTTTCTGAATGTTGTGTTGCTGAGCAGTGAACATTAACACAAGTCTTGACATCTTGCCATCCAACCCCAGGTATTACTCCAAAATCCTAGATAGTGGTTTGCCCTGTCAGAGATGGGACTTAAGATCAAATCTACCATTTAAGATGTGATGAATTGGCTTTTTTTAATTTGAATGTAGCCCATTGTCTTTTGTTGGATTTGTGGGTCGTGTTGTGAAGGCTGTTTTGACTTTCTGTCTAATAAACCATATGATTAATAACTAGAAAAGCACTCGGAGAGCGCAGACCTCCGCCAAGCAACTCATGTCCCCCCTTAAACAAGAAATGCCCTTACCGGGATTTGAACCCAGGACCTTTTGGTTGTGACAGTGCTAACCACTACACCACTGTGTGTTAGTTCCAATGACACCCTTATTTTGTTTGTTCTGGATCACAGTATCCAGAATTTTGTCCGGATCACCACCAAAATGTAATGGGATCCTCCTGGGGTTGACAAGCACCTCTGGTGAAAGTTTCAGGTCAATCCATTTGTTACTTTCTCCGTAAAGTTGCTAACAGACAAACAAACAAACAAACAAACCAACGCTACCGAAAACATAACCTCCTTGGCGGAGGTAAAAAAGAAAAGGTTAGAAAGGTAGATTATTTTTTAAACAGCCAACTCATCTTTTTAAGACAGAGAGGTTGAATACTTACGAATAATAAGTGCATGCACAGGACACTTTTTCCAACATATTCTTGTTGACACAACCCATGATGCACTGTGGTTGTATGGTCACACTCACCACATTTAAACTACTGCTAGGAAATAGTTTTTAAATGAAGGTTCTCACAAAATCCCCTTTAACTCCTAAAATAAAAAATCAATGAGAATCTTGACACATAATAGGTTTTCTGACACATCATCATATGAACCCAAACCCTAATTATGACCACATTTTGATGTTGAAATCCCGATGCTCACTGGGCTGTGTCTTTCATTATTGCTGGATCAGCAATAATGCTCATACTTAAAAATGTTGAAGTCAAATAAATGAAATCAATGTAATCGTATGACCAAACATGAATCTTATTTTTGAGAAAGTACAGTCTAACCAGGATTTTTGATCATGTCCATACTTTCACGTTTTTCCATGAGCACTCTGACTGAAAACATAGATTTCCTCCCTATTGCCGACAAAAATCTCAGACAGCCAAAACCATCAGCAGCAGGAGCAGACACCAGCAGAGATGAGTGAGAAACTATGTTTGGTTGCACTTTAATTGTCTTTATAATGGTGTATAGAGGAGATGTTGAGGACATTGGGATGGAGGGGATTAGAAGATTAGGCTTAAACATGAATGTACAGCGACAAAAACAGACAACAACACCCTTGTTTAACCTATAGAGTATTCATGCAGTAGGCAGCCTTGTTATGCAGTAAGTATTGACATGTATTATGCTGATTAGGCATTTCACATATCTACAAATACACGCAGATTAACAAAGGAACTGTTTTTGCTGCTCGATTGTTGTGTGTGATTGATGAGCTGTCTCACTCTGCTCAGAGCTGCAGAGTAAAGATAGCGAGGCTGCAAACTGCGTACGCTTTTGATAGCCTTATACAAGATTGTCCCAGCAGCCAGATAGAGTCTCTACAGGAGGTCAGAACCTTGTACTAAGTAGATGAAATGACCGCACACAAGAGCTTCATCTCCCTCTATGTCTCAGTCTCTCTCCTACACATTTGCACATGCTGCTTTATTCTGTTTCTCTCTCTCTTCTATGAATCACACATGTCAACTTTAAAAGAAGCAGTCACATAAAGAGAGGCGTTATTGCACATGGAGTTTGTGTATTAGGTTTAAAGAGCAGCTGACGAGGCGTTGATGCATCAGGAGTCTCTGTTGACAGGCTGTTAATGCGGCTCGGCACCGGGCAGAATGGGCAGCGAGGGCGCACAGAGGAAGGGGAGGGAGAGTAAACTGTAAACCCACACTTAGCCTGAATGGAGTTGTTTGTCACTATGGGTAGCAATTACTCGGACTGGCCTTGCTTTGAGTAAACCCCCTCATCAGAAGTTTGCCCCCTCCACCAGGCCGGGAGGAGAAGGAGGAGGAGGAGGACATGTTGACACATTCTGCGGCCTGGTCCTCGTGTTTGAACACACTCAGGCCCAGCTTCCACCTGTTGACTCTTCCTCCCCCCCGTGTCTGTGTTTGAGCAGGCAGTGCTCAGCTCCATCCGAACAGCTTAAGTTAAAATAGTCACAGGTACCGAAATGTGCAGATAAGACAGGGCCCCATGTCATGGTCAGTGTCACAGCAGGGCTTGTTGTAGCTGCTGCAGCTTCACACAGGATGCACTGACACAGCTGCAGAAAGAGGAACTAGAACAGGCTTTCCCAGCACTGGGGAGGACTCCACATGTGTGACTTCTTATACAAAAGAAACAGTGAATTGTTACTGATTTGCAAGTACAAGCAGATCTTCAAGTAGTTGTCTGGTTTTTCACTTTGGATCTAAATTATACTTTCTAACTCTCACCTTCCAAACAAGATAAGCTATTTTGCCCGAGTAGTTTCTTGTTGAAGGTGGATATTTTTTTTTTCTTTGGCTGATTCAGTGTAGCCTTAGTCCCCAATGAGCTCTATGTTTGCCCGCCCTAACCGAAGATGTTCATCTCATCGCAGGTTTGCCGCATTCTGATGACTGAAAGAGCAAGTATAAAGCAGCCGACTGTGAACGGCAGGTACAGTAAGCTGCGTGGGAGAGTTCGCTCTGTGATCTTGACATCCACGCATCAGTGAAACTTGTGGGTGCAGGGAGGACAGCTTTCAAAAATGTCAGTTCCTCTTTCTATATTTATCTGCTCATGCTCCCCCTTTGCCTTGTCACTCTTTTCAGTTCATTTGCACATTGCTCGTGCAGCGTTTTGATGTTAGATGTCAAGCTGTCAGAAGGCAGATGAGGTTTTGTTGACGGACAATTGGTCTCTTGATTCTTTCTGTTACGGTAACTCTGTCTGCCGTCTTTAATGTAGCTGTTTGTTTTATGTCAACAGACCTTCTTGCCAGGAAAGCTGTGAATCAGACCCTATTTCTCAGACTAAGGAGGCACTATTATTGCATAACTATAACAGCTGGGTTTGCACTGCTGTTGCAAATTGTTAATGATACATCAGCTCTATAAATGGTATCACTTACCAATCAGCGACTTTTACTCAAGGCCACACTATTTTCCATAAACACTACCCACTGAAATCTAGAGACGCGGTTTCCTGTCAGCCTTACTCATACCCATCGAAAGTTTACTATGCTGCACAAAAAGACAACATTGCTTATTAATGCTTCAACCCCCAGAGCAAAGAAATAAATAACAGCGGTGCCGAGAGCCCAAGAATGATGAAAAAAATGTAGGAAGAGGCTGCAAAGAGGGGGCTGTCGACTTCTGCATGACTCTGAGAAATGGTGGCTGAAATAAGAGACAAAGAAGGAGGGATGCTGAGAGACACAGATCAGATATCACTACAGCTGAGGATACTTATTGATGAGTATTAACTCAAGACTGGCATGTTCAACTCCAATAGCAGATCAGTTGGTTACGTGCTCCACCAGCGGTGTTATATCTGTCTTTATGAAAATATGTGGATTTAAGAAAATTAATGTCTTTTTTGCTGCTATTCAATATGTTCGAGTACTAACAAAATTGACTATATGTCAGGATATATCAATCTAAGTGTTAAGTGGGAAAGCTGGTGCATTTTTTTTTTTTAAATCCAGGTTAAAATATTAAATACTTTCTGTCATAATCCAGTTGTAAAAGTGAGTGTTGATCCAGAGCAGTATTTTAGTCTTAGAGTTGAAAGCTCATGTAAGTATGCAAACATACATAAAAAGATAATGCACACATGCTAATATAAAGCAGTTGTTGAGTAATCTATGATCAATTTATTGATTTTGGAGGTCAGCCTTAAACACAGGGTTCATTGGTGTATCTTTCATAGTGCTGTGTCTGTTCTCAAAAAGCTGGTCATGGTTACATTTAATTAGAAAAAAATGTGAGTGCTTAGGTTCATTAATATTGTATGATTTTTAAGGTAAAACAATTATGAAAATATGAAAATAAACCTTTAAATATTTATACATTAAATTATCCGAATTTGATCTGCTATTGAACAATATTTATTTGTATCGTACAGTGAGAACAGACCAACAACAAGGTGTTAAATTATGATTTGTAACATGATTCACAGCAAAATAGATATCTGGACTCTAACAGCAATTGTGGAGAGATGCTAGAATCAGCTGTTATCATACAAGCTTTGTGTATTGGTGAGGATGTGCATTAAGATTTATTAAATAGATAAGTTAAAAACAGATGCATGGTATACTTGTGAGGACATGAATGAAAAAAAAGGAATCCAGTGAATGGATTTAAATCTACTAAAAGCCAGCTCTGGTGAGTGGGTATGAGTGGGTATAAACAGTTCTTCAATGGATGACATAGTGTGTACAGAGGATAAATAAATACTTAACAGACTTGTGTGTGCAGAACAAGATTAGAAAGTGAAAGGCTTAAAGGCAAGGCATCGGAGCATTTGATGACCTGATGTCAGGACCAACCAATCAACAGGCCCAATATAACTCCAGCACTGCTAGCATTAAGCAAGGCTTTAAGCAAGTCCTTCAGCATTAAAGGTTATCCTCTATCAATGCACCTGCATCAAAGTATACTGGACATTACTCTAGCATCATAAAGTTTGACTCAAAAATATTTATCAGGATAAAAATGTTGAGGTCAGACTGATGTCAAATAACTTTATGTATTTACATTTTCAAGTGGAGGTGGAGAGGGTAGTGATGATACAGCCACCTCCACCCAAGTCAACATGCAGTTCCCAAAAGACTCAGCCCACTTGGGTATGGGTCCTATATTTTGAGGTCCATTTTTTTCTAAGTAAACACAAACAGGTACAGTAATAATGAGCTACAGTGGCTTCATACACTAGGTGGGCTCCCTCCTAGAATGGATTTTGTTTCTATCATAACACCACAGCCATAAGGACAGAGGAGGGTCAGTTTACTGGAAGACCACAGGTCTGAAATAATCCTCCCTCAGGACAGAGAGAACCCTCTCTGAATGCTCCCAAATCTGCCCGTTTTACTGCCTGTGTCTGCAGTTTACAGGGTGAAAGTCCAAAAATATGCCATCTGTATGGCTGTCTGTAAATGTGCAAACCACTCATTTGGTCTAAATTATAGTCTCTGGCTTCTCCAAAACAACATGGAGTCTCTTATGAAGCATGATGTTTGCATTTTAGGTGTTTCTTGCCTTTGCATATTATTGTATAGATGTGTGGGTGTCTTATGAGTGAAACTCCCTCGTGTGACCATACCACAGGGGAAAGCTTGTTTCCATTTACTGTAAATGAGTCCAGCTTTGCATACCGTGAGCTTGACATGTAGGCTAGAGAGTAAGCATATAGTTATCTTTTATTCCACTACCATGAAAACTTGTTTTTACACCTTCATGATGGTTGAACTTTCCATTTTGATCCCAGTCTTCACAATATTTTCTCCTTGTTTGTCACTTGCAAGGCTGTTGAACCTCCTCCGAGCTACCCTCTAACCAGTCTGTGCGTCTGCAGCGCGGTCCCCGGCCTTGCTAATCGTTACGTCTGTGTAGAGCAACTTTCCTGTCAATCATTGCCACAGTGGCACTTTTGTTCCCAGCCCTCTGCCCCCTCCCATCCACCTTCCCGTCAGAAGCTCTCAGTCTGAGAAACACAAGACAAAGGAATGACGGATGGGTGAAGGTCCCTCGCAGGGAAGTACAGTATAGAAGGTGTGTGCTGTAAAGGGTGACAATGAACACATTCAGGCAGACACAGTAACGAGGCTGGGCTAGAGAAGGCTGCAGGCTGTGAGAGAAGCCCAGCATCAGGGCAGCACGGTCCCGTACAGCAGTCAGCCAGCAGCCGCACAGAGCCAGGGGTAATCACCCAGTGCTGAACAACACTGCTATTGAGTGGGAGCAAATAAAACGAGAGACAAAACAGAGCAGAAGAGAAAGAATAGAGGAACGTGGACAATTCAGAGGCAGGAGAAGAGAGGGAAAAAAACAAGTGACCTGAGTAAAAACAAATGAGAGGGTGTTTGACAGATGAGGTTGAAAAGAAAAAGGGAAAGAAACAGAGCAGTCTCCTTAGAGTGCACATTTTGATCCCTCAGCGGTGTAGAAGCATTTTTTAATCAAATCCCTGCACTTTTTTTTTTTAGCTGCGTCATTACACAGAGCAATGTAGGGGTAACCACATGGTAGACTGTAAACTTTGTTAGCAACTGAATCTCAAAATGCACTCCAGTGCTGATTTGGGGCTTCTGACCTGGTGTCAAGTTATAGGCAGAGGTCTCCTCGTCTTTAAAATAAACTTAACAGATAATTAAAACTGGAAAATACACTTTGACATAAAAAATAAACACCTCTCTGACACAGGAGGCTCTGCCAGCTACTCAGCTGGTTTAAAGGGATATTCCAGCATAAAATAAGTTTAGGGTCAAACACACTGTGACATCGAGTTAGACACCCCCTCAAGAGATGAGTTTTGCCGACTGCTTGCTTCTCTAGTTATACCAACTTTGGTAATGACCACACGATAGCAATACACAGTGGTCTGAGGAGCTACACACAAACCTCAACCAAAACGCCACTCTATAGCCACAAATAATGCTCAGAACAGCACCTAACTTCATCAACAGTACATATAGGTTCCCAGCCATAGTACTAGCCATTTTCTTTTTACTTTGCCTAATTTCTTTAGCAAAGAGACGAAACACAACTCTCCTACTCTCTCCCAGCAGCCGCTTGTTTGTAGCAAGACCTCAGGCCAGTACATTACTGACTACAGCGGGTGATGCAGCTCAAGGAAGAACATTTATGATCATTTCTTTATCATTTCCTTGGGGTAATAAACATCATATTAATCATTTTGCGCTGCAGACACGGTAGTTCTTCTGCCTTAGTGTTTCAGTCTAATTGCATTTCCATGAAGTAAAAATCATACGTGTTTTTCCTTGAGCTGCAAAACTCCACTGTAGTCTGAAATGGACTGGCCCGAGGTCTCGCTACAAACAAGCAGCTGCTGGAAGAGAGCGAGTTGTGTTTAGTCTCTTTGCTAAATAAATTAGGCAAAGCTAAAAAGATGTTTGGTGGCTAGTACTATGGCTGGGACCCTATATGTACTGTTGATGAAGTTAGGTGCTGTTCTGAGTATTATTTGTTGCTATAGAGTGGTGTTTTGGTTGAAGTTTGAGTATGGCTCCTCAGACTTCTGTGTATTGCTATACTGCGGTCGTTATAAAGTTGGTATAACTAGAGAAGCAAGCGGTCGGCAACATTCATCTCTCGACGGTCGTCTAACTGGGTGTTACGGTGTGTTAGACCCTTAATTAATTTTATGTCGGAATATCCCTTTATTGATTCCTTAGTCATCAAACTCAGTTTTTCTCAGAACGGTCTACAGCCCTTTATGTGGTTAGGAGTTTAAGAAGAAGTTGTGGGCTGTAAGTAGTAAGAATTATTTTAATTCAATATTAATTGGTAGTGTGCTCAATATACTGTATTATAGGTACAAGTGCGGCCTTGAACAGACTAAAATAGGTTTAATAAAAACTGAAACCTCATTGCCAGATAAACTCCATAGAAATGCTGTATAATTAAGCATTTAGAGGGAGGAACTTAATCTCTACACCTTGCATGTCATCCGTTTTGAGTCCCACCTGGTCTCCACGTGTTGCCTCACCCCCTGATCATACGACCGGCCATCCACTCATTCTGTGTGCCGACTCGTCGCTGTGTGAGTGTTTATTTTAGAGCGTGTGACTCACACTTCCTGTGCTCTGCCAATAAGGCGAGGCTGTATGGAACAGCAGGGGCTCCGTTCATTCTCAATTCTCTCTTTCTCTTTCTTTTTCTCTCTGCGTCTCTCCCTCTCTCGTGCTGCAACACTGATAGGAGCAGCCGGAGTTCTGCGTAATGCGGGGGTTTGCTTGAATGGATGCCACTCTGGAATCCATTATACGGACGCAGCACAGTGACACTCAGTCTGCAAGTGGAGGGGATATTTTCAAGGAGATATAAGGATTATCACTGAGGGAAACTGCTGCATCTGCCCCGATAGATAACTGCTGATAATGAGGGGACTGTTTTAAGGAATAGCCTTCAGAGCTTGGTGTTTCGGGGAAACCCTTGCAAAACCAGCCTTTCCACTGACAGTGTGTCACCAACAAAATAATGCATAAAACTGGAAATACTCCTGTTTCTGTGGGTGCATGGTTGTCTCCTTATCTTGGTTTGCTGTGTATTTTGGTTGCATCAGAAATAACAAGAACATGACAATTTGATGCTTTTACTATAGATCCAAAAAGGATGCTCTTATCAGGCGCGATGGGAATATGAGTTTTTATTCATTTCTTCCTGATGCTGCATCTTCAACCCCCCTGTACATTTGTACAGTGGAAATATTCATTTAGTGTGCTCCTCTCGCACCCTCCCTCTTCTGCCTTACCCCCAGCCTCTCTCTCTCCCTCCCTCTCCTTCTCTCTGTCTCTCTCTCTCTCTCTCTCCCTCTCTCCTTCTCCCTCTCTCAGCAACACACCCACTCAAACAGTCATATCCGCTCTCACTCTCTGGCTCTCCCTGCTTGTCTCGCAGTGCCTGTGAAGCGTCTCTGAGGGGGAAGACCAGACTGCTCTGTCAGGTAATCCAAACTCAGCCCCCCCACCCCCCCCCACCCCTTCTCTCTCCTCACTTCACTTGCTTCCTTTTCTTTCTGTCTTCCACCACCTTCACACCTGTCTCTGTCTTCTTCCTCCCTCTCTTCCCTCTTCCTTTTCCTCCTTTTTGTCACTTGACTCGTCAGCTGTGGTTAATGAGATGTAATGAGTTAATGAGTCTACTTGCATAGACTTTGTTCATTCATTTGTTACTTTTACAAGAATTTTTCATTTCAGACTTCATCATCTGGCACACAAGCACCTTGAAGGGATAGTTGGATAAAAGTTTGTCCTTCATGTGAATGTAGAAAATTGGTTTCACTTTCCTTAAGTTCATGTCCAAGGATGTCACTTCTCATATGGACACTGTTGTACAAAGGTATTTTTAAGCCAGGGAGACTTCTCTAAAATTGTGTACTGTATATTCTAATGGAGAGATGTTGATTTTTTTTTTTTTGGTCAACGATTTCTTTCCTTTTCCTGAATTAATTGAATTTTTAACGAACTTTTCTGTTCTTGAGAACTATCAGCACTTTCCCAGTCAGAGGTTAAGCAATGAGGAAAATGAGACGACGAAACATTGCGACAACAAGCTGATGTTTTCCATTAGTGAAGGTTCTGGTGAGGAAGATGGACACCGGCCTCTTGCACTTTAATCAAAGTTGTGACAAGTTTATTGTTTTCGCAGATGACCACGTCGCCTATAGAGCAGATTTACCTTCGTTAGAGTTGTAATTAAAAGTTTCAGCACAATCTCCTCCTGCCGCCAATGTGTACTTTACCCGGCTTCTCTATGTCGATCCCTCTTACTTTAAAGGCTGTGTTGACCTGCAGGTTACAGGCTTGTGTTTAATCAAAGTGAACACTGCAGTGGCTGTGATCTGCTAGTCTTATCAAAGCCTTGTGAAATCCCTCTCAGCACCCTCATGCCTCAGAGGTGCAGCAATCCCGAGGAAACATCCCTCGCAGAGCTGAGAGAGTGAGTGAGTTTGTGTGTGAGAGTGAGTGTGTGTGTGAGTGAGTGAGTGAGTGTACGAGGGCTCTGGTATGTGGTGTTTTCTCAGACTGCGTCCTCTTATGTGCACAGCTACCTCTGTCAGCAGTGAGATCCCTGAGTGAGTGCAAGTGTTGGCCTCTTGGATTTTCTGCTCTTTCTGGCATCTGGTTCTGTCCTCAAGATTTTCTCTCCCAGTTTCTTTGATACTGTGTCTCCCTGTGGTTCTGAGACGAGTTGGTGTGACTCTGGGACTTGATTGACAGCTCTGTTTTTGTAGCTGGTGACACAGGAAGGATTGTGATTTAACTTTCTTTATGCAGAGCTGCAGAATAGAACTGCACAAAAAAATGCAATTTCATCCTTCTTGCAATGTTGGTATTTAACACATTGCTTAAGCCTAGACTTTTTGCAATAAAAAGGAAAATTACAGATTTGGGCAACTGGATGGAGACCTGAATATAACTGCCATGCTTTCACACTATTTTGGTACCAAGTCTGTGATAAGATAAATCCTGCAGTTTGGATTACAGTTTTGAACGTGGTGTGGCTTCGCTGAGATTTTGTGGTTTGCAGCCGAAGCTGTCAAAGAGAGTTCTGCATGTGTTCATGTGATGTAATATCAATCAGTTGTCAGTCAAGGGGGTTAGATGTCAAAGGTCATGCCAACTTGTCAATACATGCAGAGGCCAAACATTTCACTTCTTGCTTCCTGCTGCCACTGTGCGTATGTAGTCAGAAAGGATGCTGGGAGATAAATTTAGACCTCCAGCTCCCTCTCCATCTGCCGTTGCTCGGAGTAGGCTGGTTTCCATGGGAACCTGCACCGGGCTGCTGCCAGTAACAGAGAAAGGGGAGAGCGACTTGAGTGTGTGTGTGTATGTGTGTGTTTGTGCATGTGTTTTGAGGAGGGGTATGACAGCAGATTTTTTAAAAACCACTTCAGAGGGTTTATGTGTTCCCAGGGCACGAGGTAATTTAATGTTTAGCCCATATTTCCATCCGTCATTACTGGCTGCATGAACACCTCAGGGTATTGATGAGGAAATGAACACAAACTGCCGGCCGTACTCTCCCGCGCATGATAATGAAGTTTTTACTGTAAATCTGCTGCAAAGCTCCGGCGCTGATTATTGAGCTAGAGTTGAGCTAAATGTTAGCTTTATTGGATTTAGTGTATTAGGAGTATAACTGCTGGAGTTAATACACTCAACAGAGAGGATGGAGGGAGACAGAGTGTTTGTGACAGCATGGACGGGGAGTTTGAGATCCTCTGTGTGTCAGGGCTCCCTGGGGTACCTGCTTCAGAGTCTGTTTCTGCTGACCAGGCACGCACATCCACACACATACAAACACATGTAACAGATATATTCCATGCTCTCTTTGGACCGGCGGGTAATCACAATTACGAAGGATTGCACGATAAGAGAAAAACATGCAATAGCTCACGTAAACTTTATTCAGCTGCATCAAAATGACAGGAGAACATGACCATTAAACTCAGACCTCCATCTGGTAGTTTGAGTATACACCTGGAGAGGTAAAAAGTGTGATCAGATCAGTTTTCCTGAAACAGGGTTGTACAATGCACATTTCAATTGTTGGTGTATTACCCACAGGGAAAAACTCCCCCAGACCCTGCAGAAAAGTAAGGCTGTCAACTGCTGCAGGTGAGGTCAACTGTACCATGTAGTTAAGTTCACGTAAAGAAAGTCTAAAACAGTAATATCAGTGTTAGTGTGCTCTATTCAGACCTTTACTTCGATCTCAGAAAGCCACTTTAGCAACATTTTCTGATGCAGCAAATACATGTTCCTCAGCTTGCAGTGCACTGATCAGCTCTTCTATAATGTTGCCTCTTTTCATTGGAGTTATACTGTAAGTTTCTGTATGAGTTTGAGATTATTTATGTGCCAGAATCTGAACAGTCTCTGGCTCGCAATTTATTATTTTAGTTGAATCTTGTGTTTCTACCAAACGCAGTATATTTTGATCAGAGCCAGACCAACATGTAATGCAGACTATTGGTTGTTTCATTCTGGATTAGAAAATAGTGCAGGTGTAAAACTTACCTTAAAGCTGCACTTACATTCAGTTTTTCTGGTTGTCTAACTTAGGGATAAAACGTTGGCGTTCAGTGAGGCAGGGAACTCTGTATGACTGATGCAGACTGAAGCCGTATGTCAGCTGCTGGTGTCCTCTGATTCAGAGAGGTTCTGGACGACTACAACCAAACCAAGTCTCACCAGAGACAGCAGTAGCTCTTTTGGTTCCTGGACATACAGACTCAGAGTTTACACAAAGTTTCTCTCCTTTCTCCTTTAGTCTGTTGAGGCTCATTTTCCCTCTCTGTGCTGCATTAGTTTTGCTGTTTGTTTTCCTCTCGCTTGGTCCTGAAAGCTTCAGACTTAAACAACTGAACAGTTTTCACCAGCTGCCAACTAGAAACTGTGTCCAGGCAGACCAGCTTCTCTTGTGAGTAGCACCTTAACTAGATAAGTACCGAATATAACCCCACTTTAGAGACACTCAGCTGTCCGTATGACTCTCTTTTTCATAACAAATCAATGTCGGTTGTCTTGACTTAACACTAGGTGATGGATGAACATGATTTGTGTACCTAAAAAAAGGCTTAACAACTCATTATGTCATGTTATGTGGTCTTGCTCCTCAGTGACCTGCCTATTGTTGTGTTTTGTATATCCCTGTACGCTGACCCTTTGACCACATGACAACAAAAAATGTGTGGACTAATGTCTGCTTTGACCTCATTTACCTTTTGTTCCTGCTTTTACCTGAGCACAGTTAAGACCCCGTCTCAAAACAACTGAATTGATATTGTTTTGAAGAAGAATTACATCTTCACTGACTAGATATAGGTAAGGTTTTAAGTTAAACGAGGGGATATTCCTTCTGCATTATACTTCTGCATTATACATGAAGGATCACGCTCAACAGATTGAGACAGCAAATTAAGGTGTGTGCTTAGATCTTAGATGACATCAAGATAGAAGCTTTTGAAATGCAGAGTTTATAATGTTGTTGTCTGAGTAGGAATCAAATTTACAAAGCATGTTAAGCAGTATTAGGTCCTGTGTTGCAGAATTACAAAAAGACTCAGACCAGGGCACAAGTCATGCACATCAGCAAGAAAGGTATGAGAAGAAGCACAAAGAGTTTGTTTTGTGGCGTATAAACACTTGGGTTTCTTGCTTGATGAATTTATGAACTGTGAAGTTGGTGTCTTGTCCATTCTGCTAGGAAAGCTTTGGGATCTATAACCAACATAGTGAAAATACTTAAAAATCATAGATATGCATTTTGCCTACTCTCCACTGTAGGGTGCATGAATTATGAGCAGTGAGGTGTGGGGTGGGAGAGTGAGGTTTGAAAGACCACAAAACTGTAGATCCTTTTTAGAATAGAGCTATTCAGTATTCCTAAAGGGTTTTGTAGATTTACTCCAGTCCAAGCTGCTGAGGGAGACATGAGCTCAGTACTGGGATCTGAATCATTTCACAAAAATTTGAAAAGATACGATGTGGGTCTGAGTAATAAAAATGGCAGAGCACACAAAAAACAAAAGTATGTACGTATTTTGCACAATATACTTGAAGCTCCTGTGAGAAACTTTGCGTTTTTGTCCATTTTGAACCTCCTGTGGATGAAGCAGTTTTTGTTTAGCTTATAATCTGCGCTTAAAGGTGGGGTAGGCAGGATCTGAGAAAGTGCTAGTTTTGGGGAGACATCTTGAATGTAAGCATGACCCCTCCCAACCAGTTTTCCCCTCAGCTCCTCCTCTCCCCTTGGTCTCTGCTCCAGAAAGCCCTGCCCACAAACAGACGCTCCTGCTCGCTTGCATCAGTTCAATCAAATTCATATTTAATGCAGATAAATACTTCAGATAATTAAAAATGGGGCCCAGTCAACGTGAAAGTAAACAGAATTGGTGCTACTGTAGATGCCAACAGACGACCAGCAAACACAATGTTTGCAGGACTTCTACAACTAGAATAAAGTGACATAGTCCAGGACCTGAGTATAAACAGTTTAGTGGCGCTACAACATGCAGCAGGTCCCATTTGACAAGAAACACTTTTGTTACACTTGGCTTACTTTGTTAAAGCGGTTTACCTGTCAAGCAGAAAGGTTACAGGGTCGGTAAGATCCTGAAGCGTCCCCCATCATTGTTGACCCGCTTTTTTTAGCTCTTGTCCGGTCTACCTCCTTTTTAGGCTCCCAATATTCTGCCAGAGTCTCTGGTATTTACTTTGTTTTCTTGCTTGTGTTGGCAGTTGTGGCTAAAGGAGGATTCAGACAATTTTCTGTACTTTCTGGTTGGTTTCTACTGTCCGATATTGTAGCACGCTAACTTTGTTTGGGCTCCTGAACGACACGGGGGAGCAGCGTCTGCCTCGCAACCAATCAGGTCGGGGGAGGCGGGGAATGGCTTTGTTTACAGTCAGAAAGAGCGGGCCGCTCAAAAATTTTTTAAATGTTGGACTACACAGACATAACAAAACACAGTGATATTGTTATATTACCGAATGTCATTAATAACTCATAGCTATTCACTAATATTAAAAGCTTTTTTGTATGTACACCACAAAAAAGATGCTCCTTTAAAGGATTCCTGCCTACCCCACATTTAAGTAGTGTCTTCAGACATAAAATCTCATCATTCTGATTTTTGACTGTAAATTGATCAGTTTTAATGTGAAAGATGTAAAAACAGGACTGTTTCTCCAGCTCCCATACAAGTTTCAGGCATTAAAAATTAGGATATAGAAATAATCAATCTTGTTTCTGCTGTTCTTAGTTGCTTTTATATGTCCTCAAATGCATGTATGTGAATTTCAGTCCATTTCATCAATGTCTACAAAACCCTCACAGGAGCTTGAAGAGTTCAGGAAATCCTGCTTCAACAGTCTGAAATATTGAGGTGGCCAGATGAGCAAATACTAGAACAGCTGTTTAAGTTTAAGGTGTTTGAATGAGCAAATTTGGTCCTGGAAAATTAGACCAAAAAATCTGTTTTTGTTTTTTTCATTTTCTTTTGTTGCATGCCAATGATCCTCTATGAAATGTAAAGGTCATGGTCTCATATAAAACCATGTAGGCTTGGCATATACAGTGAAATGTATGTATGTTTGACACAACACTTCAAACTGGTTTGACAGATTCATAAAGCCTGTGAGCGAGTTTTCTACAGGTGCTCTTCTCATTATAACATCTGTGACTGTAGCGTGTGTGAGTCCACATCGTTGAGTGTAAAAGGTGCCGTGAACAAGTCATGCCTGTGGAATGAGGATGATGAGGGAGGAAAGCCCCTTGTCAGACAGCAGGAGGACCGGCTGACTGGAATTGTAGAGGGTCACCTCAGGGCGCTGTGGCTGATTTGCTGGTTTGATGTGTCAGAGTAGATTTAGGACTGATGTTTTGTGAGTGGGTTTACTCTGGGCAGTGCAGTACTCTTCACTGTATGTGCGCTGTCGTGAATGTGTGTGTGTGTATGTGTGTGTTTCAGCTTTTGTAGGCTCGACTCTTGCATTCCTCTCCCTTGTCTTCCTGGCAAGGCTCTGACTGTGTGTTTCCCCGCTCAGAGCTGGCAGTCTAGACGGCCATGAATAATGTAAGCAATGCTCTCCCAAAACCTTAAAACCATCTAATCGGCCTGTTTAAGGGCTGCATCAACTGCTCTGCCAGAGATCATTAAACTTACACCCTGATAACCAACTACATGAAAAAGACATTCATTACAGCAGGATTGGGAAGGACAATTTGTTGTTTTTGTGTTTTTCCTCTGCTGCTCGATTCTATTTTCTATGCACAGCATCCTCCTTATTCTCCTTCATATCCAGGCCCACTCTCTTTTTTGCACATTTCGTCGCCCCCTCCCCCAAATATATATCTACTGTTTCTTTATTCTAATCGTTTCACCGCCTAAAGCTTGCCCAAAGTAAAGCTTGTTCTTAATCGTCATTATCTCTTTACCTAAGTCATCCTCATGTTTTCATAGAGAGTCCTGTATTACTCTGGAACAACAACTCAAGGCAGTAAAAGCTCTAGCTGGCACCACCTACAAGACTTCTCCACAGCAGTGAATTTTAATTGTGTTGATTTGCTTTGTTACACTGCCTAATTGCTCGGTGCTGATGGTGAAAGTCTGCTGTAATCATAGTGCTGGGCTGCCTGGAGGAACACACACTGAACAGATGATCGGCTCTCAACAGATGTGGGGGAACGTAGAGATGGGAGAATCTGTCAAGTTGTTTCCGAGAGGAAGACCGACTCTCCTCTTTTCTTTCACTGTAAACTGACTCTAATGAAGGCTGACTGTGCAGGGTTTATTTTAGACACATGGTGAGAGCAAAAGTGTGGCTCATTAAAGAAAAAACTTGTCAGTGCTGCCTCACTACCACAGGCACTGTATGCTGCAGTCTTCGTCTGGACCGGTTCATTCAGCCATTAGATCGGTGATTCACTTTTTAAATCTTATTTTGCTCTGTTTTTCACTCCTGCTCCCCAATGCATTTTTTTGTAATATAGCATTAAGAAATAGTTAATAAGCCACTTATAATTCCTTATAAGGTGCTTATAAACATCAATAATCATCAATAAGTGTTACTAAAGCATAATATACACAGTTATTATTAGGGCGATCCCGATACGATATTGATATCGGTCCAATATCAGCCAAAAAACAAACATTGGATTATATCAGCCTGTATCTAAAATCTCCAATATCAGCACTCCAATACAAGCAGTCTATTCCAGACTCCACTCCAGCACCTGCCAGCATGTGATCACAACAACAGTGTGTACTAAGGTACTAACAAAGTAGCAAGGAGTAAGAGTGATGTCGGCTGTGTGGCAGTATTTTTCGCTAAAGTCCAAAAAAAAAACATTGCAGCTGAGTGCAAAACTTGTCATGCACAAGTTTGTGCCAAAATCAGATCAATATCAGTTATTGGTCAATACTGAAGGCTACAGTATCGGTATTGTATCAGAGGTAAAAAAGTTGTATTGGGGCACCTCTAGTTATTATTCCTTATGAGACACTTAGAGACTCTCATTAGAGACGTGGAAAGTGTTTATATACCTGTAATAACCATCAATAGGATGCTTATTTATCATGAATTAGACTTTAAAAGAGTTCATTAAAAATTGATCATTTCTGTTATTAGCTTTTGACACACTTGATAGAAAACAGGATACCAATCACAGTATATACAACTTTTAAAATGTAGATATTTTTCAACATGAATGATGTACAAGCCTTTATGATAATTATAACTAACATTTGTTATAAGTTATTACTTAGAAGCCCCTGTATAAGCTCACATCTGGATCATGTTGATAATTTAAATACCACTTTTCGACTTAAGATATTGTTACACTAATAAACATTCCAATGATCAGGGGCATTTTGGCCTGTTTTCAGTGATCAGTGGATTTTTTTAGGCCAATATTTGACACCACATGTAAGACACTACATGGTACCAATACAGGTACAAGTTTAAGGACGACTCTGCTTCCACCTCTCTATACTCAGTTTCTTAACCCCTGTATGTGTGAACTAATAGCAGCTCTCTATGTCCTCTTATCTGGCTCATTCTTGGCTGACACAGGTGGTGCGCGCTGTCTACTTCATCACAAAGATCCATAGCTGTAAGGTGAACACACTCCCTCAGAGAGCTGTGATCTCCAGAGCCTGAGCTGGGGGGAGCGTTGGAGTACTCTCAATATCTAAGACGATGATTGATACTCAGTATGAGTTTGCACAGAGACTGTCAGCGGTTGGGCATGGCTGCTCAGTGAAAATGTTATGATTGGCCTCATCCATTCCTAGAATGTGTTTTGATTGGCTGTGATACAAGAGCCCCCTCCTGGAGTTGAGACTGAGTGTAGGCTTTGTCGTAAGTGGGACATATTACAGAGCATACATCTTGATAAAAGAGGAGATTTCATCGTACCCTGATTGCCTACTCTTAGCTCCTCACAAATACAGTTCTCTAGCAGTGTGTGAGCTGGAACTATTACGATAGATTAATCTTGATACAAGTCTTTCACAGCAGGCTGTGTAACGAGCCAAAGTCTCGGCCCAATCAGAAACACCGCACCCTGGTGGTAGGACAACCAGAGCTAAGGACAGACAAGTTTCTTTATTCACTACAGCAACCATTCCTCTCTTTTAACTCCTATCGTGCTGGATCACAAAAATAAAAGCTGTGTTTCCAACATTTGTTTTGACTTTTCGCTCTGACACTGTGGTTGCCTCTCTCGTTGCTTTTCCTCTGGATTTTGCCAGGCTGGTTGTCTGACTCCTGGAGTTCAGGCAAGTTGTGATCAAACACTAATCACGTGTTTCGGAAGAGGTTCTTTTTTATTTTCCAAAAGTTTTGTATTTTTTTGTTATGTGTTCATATAATGTCTGATCATGCTCAGACATTAAGGAAAATGATCAGATTTATTGAGGTCTAAAGGGCCTCTGTTGCCCAAATCACTGTCTGTTTCAAGACAACTGAAGCCAGGGCAGCATTAAGAGAGCACTAACATGTTGAGAAAGCACTTGCCTTGTTTATGTACAACAATGATCCAACTTATTACTTCCTCTTTTGAATTTTTGACATATTATAATGCATGGGGGCAATGTTTCATAGAAAATTAGATGATAAGCTCTCCCGATATAAGCCATCTTCTCTACAGTGATGACTCTTTGTCAAACCATGTCACAGGATTTTATACTCCCCTTGGGTTTTACACAGAGAGGATATTCTTCACAGGACAGGGCAGAATCTTTCTTTTTAGTTTTTTATGAAGAAAAGTTCATATTACTGTGTTTCCTCTCAAACTGAGAGAAAAAATGTGTAATTCTGGCAGTACTTAGTGACAAAATCTTGTTTAAGAAATCCAATAAATGCATGGATTTTTTTCCATTTTTGACAACCAGAACTTTTTTTTTCTGTTTCTCCAGACCCATTCAGATGCTGAGCGGCTACCACAACAAACAAAGGAGATGCAAGGAAGTCTTTGAGAGAGATGTTAGGATGGCTGAGGCTGGACTGCAGCGAGGCTACCTTGGACAGAGAGATGTTTCATGTTTACGTGCATCCATGCAGCTCCAGGGCACCGTCTAATGATGCCTCACTTGGTCCTTCGTGAAAACTCTTGGCCCACACTGAAAAAGGCCCTCTTTTGTCATTTAAAACTCAGTCTGCTGATGAACCGCTGCCTCTGACCTCGCTGCCATGCGGTTAGTCTCATGAGGCTCAGGGAGACTTACCTTGTGTGTTTTTAAGGCCTCCTCCCCACTCTATGGAGGCTGAGCCTAGCCGTCCAGCTGATGGGGAGCGCCCTGGAAGACAAGAACAGCAGCATGCCACAGCTGAGTCCTCACTAGGATCTTGTCCACCACTGCAGCCCCAGCAGCCTCCGAACCCTCGGCCTGTACACAGAGCCTTGGGCCGCCTGCAGAGTCGGCAACCAAAACGCACTGACCTTCTGCTTAGGTTACAGCAGCAGCAAGCAGTAGCATGGCAGCATTCAGATACTCCAGGTACCTCAGGAGGAAGCTTCTGCTCTCCAACCCCCTCATCAACCTCATCCCTCCCCTCTACTTCCAGCCAGGGTGAGCATGGTCATGGAGTCCCATCTCAGTCAAGCCAAGAAAACCCTGAAGTGGTTAGCTCACCCAGAAAAGGGGAGAAAAAAAACCCAAAACCAGGGAAATATGTGTGCTCTTATTGTGGCCGTCCATGTGCAAAGCCAAGTGTTCTCCAGAAACACATTCGCTCTCATACAGGAGAAAGACCCTACCCTTGTGGCCCCTGTGGCTTTTCTTTTAAAACCAAGAGCAACCTGTACAAGCACCGCAAGTCCCATGCCCATCGAATCAAAGCAGGCCTGGCGTCCAGTCGCGATGAGCCCAGTTTGAGTGGACCAGAGGGTAGCGGTGTCGGAGAGGAGCCTGAGGAACATACAGAAGGAGAAAGCACTGAGTCTGAAGAAGAGACGGGCCAACACAAGAAATCCTCCTCAAAAGAAATGCTGGGCCACCAAAGAAAAGGTAGCAAGGAGCCACTGGCTGGCTTGGAGGAGAGCCAGAGACCTGAAGATTCCCAGGCTGTCAAGCAGAGGCTTGCACTCAGGCTTAGTGAAAGGAAACGTGGCCCGATGGCGTCCCCAGATGACCCTCCTTCCTCTCTCTCCACCTCATCTTCTTCCCTTGGCCCTGGGAGTAAAGGCAGCACAGAATCTGGCTACTTTTCTGGATCAGGTAGCACTGACTTGTGCCAGGTTAGCCCTCCCAGTGCCAGTGCCAAATCATATGCAGAAATTATTCTTGGGAAATATGGAAGGCTGGGAGGGCAGCAGCGTAGTCCCCATCAACAGCATCCTCATTCTTCACTTTCATCATCCTCAGGGACAGAGGACAAGAGCATACCTTTTAATGTACCCAAAACTCAAGTCATTGAACACATCACTAAGCTCATTACCATCAATGAAGCTGTAGTAGACACCAGTGAGATTGACAGTGTCAAGCCAAGGCGCTCTTCTCTATCCAGGAAGAGCAGCTTAGAGTCTCCTAAATTATCTACCCAAAAAGACCCCTACATATTTGATCCCAAAGGAGAAGTCCCTGGCCCCAGTGGTTTGGGGCACCTTCGCAATCCTGAGGCAGAGCCATCAGGAACCCAAGAGCTGTCAGCAGTCCCTCTGCTCAGAAGCCACTCAATGCCATCACCTACCAGCCAAGGAGAACCCACCACCTCTGGCACCATGTCCCCCAGAAGTTACCGTCTCTGCCAGTCATTCGATGAACAGCAAGCAGTCGTAGCAGAGATGAGAGTCGGCCACGCCCAGCGTATGCTGCGGCGCCAACCTGCCATAGAAGTCCCAATAGGAGCTGAGGTAATGCTTGAGGAGGCCAGTCCCACTTCTTCCACCTCAGCCAGACGCTCTGAATTAGCCAGACAGCCACGACAACAACAGCAACAGCAACAGCAACAGCAAAGAAGTCCAAGCCTGTTTGTATGTGAAGCCTGTGGGGCCCCTTTTCACTACAGCGAAGTCTATGAGGCCCACAAAGGCCTGTGCCCTGTGCGGAAAAAAGCAGAACAAAAGAGCAGGGATGAAGGCAAAACTTCCAGGGAGGATCGCCCCCAGATGATGATGCACTATAAATTCAGAGCACTTGCAATGGCTGTGAGAAAGAGGAGGAAAGAGGAGAGTCTGGAGGAAGATCCTCCAAGCCCTGGATCTGTGGCCATGTCAGGCAGCTCTGCAGGACTCACTCCTGTGCCAAGCAGACCAGAGCACAGCCAGGTCCTCTCAGGTTTGTTTATGGATCCTTGCAGTAGCTACTACAGTGATAGCATGAGCCTTTGTGAGTGATACATCTCTCATTGTTAATAATGGTCTTCTATACTCTGTAAAGGGATATTCCAACGTAAAATTAATTTAGGGTCAAACACACTGTAACACCAAGTTAGACACCCCCTCGAGAGATGAATGTTGCCGACCACTTGCTTCTCTAGTTATACCAACTTTGGTAACGACCACACAATAGCAATACAAAGCGGTCTGAGGAGCCATAAACAAACCTCAACCAAAAGGCCACTCTATAGCCACAAATAATGCTCAGAACAGCACCTAACTTCATCAACAGTACATACAGGGTCCTAGCGTCAGCACTAGCCACCAAATATCTTTTTAGCTTTGCCTGATTCCTTTAGCAAAGAGACTAAACACAATTCACCCACTCTCCTCCAGCAGCCGCTTGTTTGTAGCGAGACCTCAGGCCAGTCCATTACAGACTGCTGTGGGGTAACGCAGCTCAAGGAAGAAGATTCATGATCGTTTATTCATGGAAATGCAATCAGCAGAAATGATCATAAATGTTCTTCCTTAAACTGCGTCCCCCCCACAGCAGTCTGTAATAGACTGGCCCGAGGTCTCGCTACAAACAAGCAGCTGCTGGAAGAGAGTGAGTTGTGTTTAGTCTCTTTGCTAAAGAAATTAGGCAAAGCTAAAAAGATGTTTGGTGGCTAATGCTGACGCTAGGGCCCAATATGTACTGTTGATGAAGTTAGGTGCTGTTCTGAGCATTATTTGTGGCTACAGAGTGTTGTTTTGGTTGAGGTTTGTGTGTGGCTCCTCAGACTGCTGTGTATTGCTATCATGCGGTCATTACTAAAGTTGGTAAAACTAGAGAAGCAAGCGGTCCCAAACATTCATCTCTCAAGAGGGTGTCTAACTAGGTGTTATGCAAGATATGCATGATAAATCAATCGATGTAGAAAGAGGCAAAGACAGCTCTGTGAAATTACAAAATACACGCAAAATTTAAAAAAACTGTCACAACTGACAGGCAGTACACCAGTATGGCATGGTTGAAAATCATATGTTTGTTTTGTTTATTTCTAGGTGTTCCTTTACAGACTGATCCAAAACCACAGCAAGACAGAAAGGGTGTGTCTGTGATCCAACACACAAGCTCGTTTGAAAAGCAAGAGAGCATATCCACAGAAAGTCAAGAAGCAGAGCTCAAAGAGAGTCAGCAAAGGCAACAACCTGAGCCAAAACCATCACCCACTACATCTCGCCTCATACGCCAGCCGAACATCCAAGTGCCAGAGATTCTTGTTACTGTGGAGCCTGATGCTGACATGCCATCTGTGTCACCACCAGTAACGGCATCCTCGTCCAAGGTATGCATTTCAGTAGCATTTGGTTTCATATGTTAAAATATTGAGCAGATTTTCCTTGCTTCTGTTTGCATGTGTCATCCCCAAAACAAAGCCCAAAATAATTGTTTTATGTGAAATACATGTGTAAACTCCTTTATATGAGTCCCAATTTCCCCTGTCGGCATTAGCATCTCGAGACATATTTAGACATACCTACTTATCGTTTATCTCTCCTAGGAGGGAGAGAGGGTGGAGGAGTTCCAGTGGCCTCAGCGTAGCGAGACTCTGGCCAAGCTTCCAGCAGAGAAGCTGCCACCAAAGAAGAAGAGACTTCGCCTGGCAGAAGCAGCCCAGTCTTCTGGCGAGTCAAGCTTTGAGTCTGTGTCTCTGCCTCGCAGCCCCAGTCAAGAGAGCAACATCTCACACACGTCAAGCCTTTCTGCTTCTTTTGAGGACACGGCAAGATCAGATCCTGTCATCTGGGCATCCAGTAGCCAAAGTTCCCAGATGTTGATGGTACCATCAGCTTCCCACCAACACCACCAAAGCCAAAAGGAGATGAGGCGCTCAGCCTCCGAGCAGACCCCACCTAGCCCCCAACAAACAGAGCAGATCTCAGAGACTAGAAGTAAGTCATTTGACTATGGCTCCTTGTCTCCTCAGCAGTCTTCATCTTCCTGGAAAGAGAGGAGGAAATGTCTTCTTGTGAAGCATGCCACTCTTGGGGAACCTGAGCAGGAGGAGGGAACCAGCATGAGTCACTTGTCTAGAGCAGAAAGTCACTTGTCTAGACCAGAAAGTCCAAAGCCTGGGCCTTCCCACTCAATCCATCCACCACCCTACTCTACTGAGGCGAGCACCTACTTCAGCCCTGAGGCTGCAGGGAAAGCACTGCAGCTTCTTCCACGACAAATCTTCCCACCCTCTCAGGATGTGCTCCTTTATCACCCCAGCAGCCAACAAAGGTTTCCCCAAGGACAGCTATCACAGCTACTCCCTGTCACTACAGCTATCTCAGATGTACTGTCTACCCAAATGATCCACAGAACATTCTTACATTCACAAACAGGACCACCACCTATACAGTTACACCAAGCACAGATCCACATGGCTGAACAGTTGGGCATACCTTTTCATCGGTTTCCTGCTCTTGTTCCCCTTCAGTTCTCTTCCAGGACTAGAGCTAGTCAGGCACTGTTTTTACCGCTGCCTTCAAGACTTACCACACAAGTTCCTTCTATTTCAGCCACGGAGAACCGACACTCCATCGCTGCTGTGTCATCTGCCTTTCCACGTCAAACACTTGTAAGAATCTCCTACCACCACCCAAGGCCAGTCATTGCTACATGCCTAGCCCAGCTCACGCCGTTAGTGTCCCTTGTGGTGCCAGTGCGACTACAGACTCATATACCTACCTATGCCAGTGCCATGTACACAACTCTGTCCCAGATCCTGGCTTCTACCTGTTCACAAGGACCCATTTCTTGCACAGCTATGGTCATTATGGGACAGGTAGAGCAAAGCAAGATTCAAAGATCCTACTTGAAAGTCCCCTCCCCTGACATTAAAAGCTTTCTTCCTCTGTCTCTGCCCTCAGAGATGGCCTCAGGCTCTGGGGAAGGGTATGGCCCCCTGGGGGCTGGAGGAAGTAAGCGCATGCTTTCACCTGCAGCCAGCCTGGGGGCTGGAGGAAGTAAGCGCATGCTTTCACCTGCAGCCAGTCTGGAGCTCAGCACAGAGGCCCAGCGTCACCAAAAAAGGGTAAAAGAGGAAGGAGAAAAGGAACAAAATAAAGCAGAGGAGGATGAGGAAGAGGAGACTGTGGAACAGACATTTGGACAGGAGCAGGAAGCCACCAGGAGAAATCAAGAAGAGGGAGAGGAGAAACAGGCACAGAGGGTGGAGCTGGTGGCTGTTAAAGTGGAGTGTCAACAGGAGCAAGAACCAAGGAAACAATACAGGGAGAGGAAGGAGGAAGAGGAGGGGAAGAAGGAGTCAACAAGCCAAAAAAAGGAGGAGGTGCCAATTGTAAAGGAAGCTGTCGATAGGCAGCAAACCCCCTCATACCCCAGCCTCAACACCTCCACCTCAGTCAACTGGTGCTACCTGAACTACGTCAAACCCAACCCATCTGCCCTGACGGACCCTCGCACCTCAGTTTATTCCACCTGGAGTGTCAGTGCGCACAACCCAAACCTACCTGGTCTCAGCACCAAGATGGTCTTGTCTCTACTGTGCTCCAAACAAAAGCACAGTGCAGAAACATACACCATGGCAACTGCCCCAACCCTAGCCGAAAGCCAGTTGGTCCCTGCCAGTAGCAGCAGCCCACGTGTGTCAGAGGTAAACAGAGCCACTAAAATCACTGTCTGAATATGGTACAAATTAACTTTTTACAAGCTAAGAGTTGGATTATATTTTCAAAGATACCGCTACTGTTTACACTATATGGCAAGCTGCCCATTGCCAAAGGTTTTCTGTTTAGCTTAGCACACTTATTAATTTTGCTATCTGGACATAACTTGGAGAATGTTACTTTATAAACTGTATAAATTTATAACTTTATAAACACTGTTGTGCACAGAAATTGCAGGGAAAGAGATTTCCGTAGATCACTGTCTTTTGACAAAAATATTTATGAAAAAAGTGGTAATGATTCTGGATGTGTTGAAACATCCAGCAAAGAGCCCAAAGGCGTGTTTCTCCTGTGAAGTGTAATTGGGAGGTCACTGAAAACCTGAAAAAAATAAAAATCAGGTCAACCAATATCGAAGTTAACCTTTGGTTGACTATAAATGGACAGACCTGTGGCTACAGAGGGAACTGGGCTAGAACTATCATTTTGCAAAGAGTGACAGTTTTCAGGAGGCTAAGCTCATAAGCATATAAAAGGTGCTATTAACACCATCTCAAAACCTGTAGGCAATCTTCTGGTGACAGTAGCCCTTCAGAGCAACAGGTTATCCTTTTTATAAGGTTTTTCGCTGGTGTATCCAGCAGAGATAAAAGACTTCCTACCACCACTTTCTTTTACGTATTGCCATTATTTACAGTCTCAACAGCTACTTGAGTTGAGGGAGAATTTTGGTTAAGGTACATTGCAGTGATTGAGCAGATTGTGAGTGGCCCATGCTTGCAGAAATCTGTCTTAAAATCATGAATCAAGCTCAGTCATTATTATAATCTGCTTGATTTCCAGGGCTGTATTGTGGCTTTTTTGTTCCCCCTCTTTTGCTCCCCACATTGACCTTTGTCCGGCACTGAAACTCTTATGTTACCAAAATTTGGTGCTGCACTTTTAAATCTTCTTGCTTTATGCAGAATCTATAAAAAAGTATAACTATGACAACACGTCAAATTTTCTGGATAAAAAATGACCTTTGCTTTCCACTCCACTTTCTATTCCTCATATTTGCACTATCCAGCTGTCACATCAATACAGGCAAAAATTCCATGAATAAATCCTTTCAAAGGATGTGAGTGTTAACAATTTAATTGAAGTTGTTTTGAATCTTCCACTGTGTCTCGAGTGTAGGTACATGCCACCGCACCCAGCACCGTCACCAGAGTAAAGGATGAACAGCAGCATGAAAAGGAAGAGAAAAAGGAGATGACGGAGGAAGCACCCTCCACCTCCAAACAGAGTGAAGCCCCCCGGGTCCGCATCTTCGAAGGCGGGTAAGGTCTTTAAAGAGCAAGATAGTTAAAACTTGACTCTGTTAACTTGAAATATAACGTTAGTGAAAAATGACGGTGCCTCTTTTGCTGAGGAATGTGCAGTTCTGTCACAAACCAATGACTAAAGACGGTGAAACAGCAACCATGGAGAACTGACAAGAGTACACAGAGAATTACAGTAACAGATGGGAAGCAGTGAAACCCGCAGAGACTTCATTTGTACCTGCAGCCAGGCTTTTTTTTCCCCCTCATATTGCTGGCATGATTGCTGTGTTTAAGAAGTGTTAATTTAGAGAGGTGGCAGAGAGAGAGAGAGAGAGGGAGAGAGAGGGAGAGAGAGAAAGAGGAGGGGTTGTCTCTGGCTTCACTTTGTGAAACTCTCATTAATACCTATTTTATGGTTACATAAGCTTAGGAGGAGCAGTGTGGAAAAAAAATCTGCAAGCTCTCAGTGTCATTGCTATGATTGTCATATTTGCTTGCAGCATGTGTTTATCGCTATCCTTGTACCTATATGCGGGTATATTTACATCAATGTGATTTCCTATTGGTATTTGGATGATTGTTTCCAGTGCAGATTCTGCTTTTTCTATGCTGTGAGACAGAGGATGGAGCACAGGATAGATTAAAGGTTCTGAATGATGTACATCTCTAACAAGTATATGTGCTGATATTTAGAGGGATAACCGGGATGGTTACACTTATACTTTCTGTATTTATATGTCTGTAAGTGCATGTATGTGTGTCAAAACTTGCAGATTAAGACTTGCATGCACACAAATTGAGTCTTGAAGAGTTGTCTGGTTAATGTTAGATAAGGGACTAATTACCAGTCTGTATCACTCTGCAGCTATGCATTACACACATCTAGGGGAAAAAAATGTAACCATAAAAACAGTCCTTTAGCTTCCTCCCTTCTCTGTTTCCATCACACCAGCCTTCTGTTCATGCTGGCCGTGCCACTCTGGCAGCTTTTTTACTTTTACTTACACATCTATTATTCTCTCTTGAGTCTCTCCTTCTGTGTCCTGTCTCTCTCTGTTTTCCTGCACCCTTGACGTCCCATTGTCTTTGCCCCGTGCATGCAAATAAACACAGCAGCTCTTTCATGCACACAGTGTGGGTATGTTCTGCTTCCTACTTTAATGTCATCATTTTGAGAGGGTCCTTCAAGAAAGAGGGTTACAGATATCCCTAAAGTGTGTTGATATATACAGCTAAAGAAACATATTGAATAAGGGGAGCTTTTTGTCAATAATATATTCCTTATTGTATCTGTTTCTTCTTATCAGCAGCAAGAGTCAGTTGAATATCATCTTTAATCCCTTCCTTTCTGATTCCTTGTTTTGGATATTAATTAAACTCTGACCTTACGTTTTCTGCTCACAAATGCAGTTTGATTTCCATTCTCTACAACACTTTAACTTTGCTTATTGAATGGACATTGGCATTCCTATGAGCAAAATACAGCATCTGTTTAAATGGATTATTTAAAAAAAAGATCCTTCAAGTCAGCTGTTTTTTTCCCCCTCTTGTCCTTTTGCTTATTTAATTTATTCAATCTTTCCACCCTGTTTGAAAGCAGTATTTATCATCAGCTCTTTTGTCTGGATCAAAATGTTGCAAACTGGACCTTGATACAAGGTGCCACCTGTGCTTGTTTACATTAAGGTAGTTAAGCTTTAGAGTGTTTTTTGGAGTAGCTATTAACCTGAGCTACAACCTCAGCTAGTGCCAGCAGTGGATGTCTATGCTACAGCTGGGACATGACTGTCATTTCAGGCCCACAATATTGAAACCATTAATAATGTGTTTGACAGACGAGTAAGATGGGGATAATGTTTGATGGTTTAGTCAACTAAATTCTCCCAGTACAATCATTAGAGTCTGTCAGAAGTTAAAATAGATGGAATAAGATGAGACAGAAGATGGAAATAAATACTATTTATTTATTTGGGTAGACAAACTCTATGCTACCGGAACATAAATCATCAATCAAGTAGGGCTGTTGTCAATATCTGCCCTGATGGTCTTTGAGATACAGAACAACCAGAGGCAGATTACTGGTTGAGTTCACTGAGAGAGAGACAGCTGATATAAAGCTGTGGATTGTAAAGTGTAACTTCTGTCTTGTTTTCCTGAGATGTGCATGGATATTTTTAGCAGTGGTAAGGATAACATGCCAGTAAACAGTAGCGAGCTGGTGAATAAATTCACCATAAAGCCACTGTTGAGACTATTTTAGAGTGGTGCAACTATTTGTTATGATTTGCTGTTGTGGGTTGTGTTATGAAATGGGGAAAATTCACAGTCTGGCTTCTTGTTGATAGGGTGGACTTCCTGTAATTTATCATGGTCAGCACACAATAGTTATTTACAGTATAGGCTGGATTGTGTAGCTCTTCATTAGCAGCAAGAGCAGATGGAGTTTTCAGTGGAGGACAATTCATTCAAATATAAAATGTCTACGGTCCACTTTGTCCACAAATAGCCTTTTGGTAAACACCAAGACTGTGTGCAAACAATGTTTTTATAGACTTAGTCTAAATGTGTTGCTTGATTTTTATATATAGTGTCTATTTTAGGTTGTGGGCCACTTCCAGGCTTCCCTGCCCTCTTTTTAGCTGCTGCTGTTGTTGGCAGGTTGGACCGTTGCTTCAGAATAGTCGTATTCTCTGCGCTCAGGGTGTAGTGGTGGGAACAGTCAAGGAGCTCAGTGCTGCTGGGGTTTGGTGGGGCTTCCCTGACCCGCCTCCATAAAGAAGGCCTTGTTTCCAGTTTAGTCGTGTTTGCGTGTCTGTAAATGTGTGTGGATGAATTTTTTGGGTGCAAATGTATGAATTTGTTTGTGCTGCACACAGACCAGCGTCTTATTTTGGTAAAAGCTGCACGTGTCAATAATTCTGTGAGAATAATTGGTAACATAAAGGTGAAAGTGATGTGTGTTTTTATTGTGATAGAGCCACAGAGATTAAAGGACATTTATGACTATATTTCACAGTTCGCTAAACTGGTTTGAGCATCTTGTTAAACATATTGTTTTGCATCTCAAAGGCAGTGTCATCGGTTTTGTTTGTAGCAGAGGATAGCTGAATTAAAGCTCCTGCAAGGAACTTTTAGTTTGTGTCAACTTTGGCGCCTCCTGTGGACAAATCAGTTTTTGTTGATCTCCTTCTTAACATGCTCAAGAAGTGTCTTTTAACCAAAAAAGCAAGTATCCTGTGGACTTTTGAGGGTGTAATGTATAATTTATTGTGAATAATTTGTGTGGAAATTGTATAAACAGGGCTGTTTCATATTTTGCTCTTACTGTTCTCAGGCATACAAATTAAGACATGAAGATTGCCAATCTTGTTTCTAATGGTCTTGTTTATTTTCAGATATCATGAAAATGCATCAATATAAATTTCAGTCTATTTGATGAACATCAAAAAATTCCCCACAGAAGCTTCTTGAAACCCAGGTATACAATAGTCTGTTGAAAAAAAGCTGTAGACAGTGATCGTACATTTTATATATAGAAATTTAAAAAATACCCCAATTTTAAATGGCTCTTTGTGTTTAGTCTGAACTTTGTTTAGTTTACATATTTATTTTAAAACATTTCACAATAACTTCCGTGAACCAGTTATAGGAACAGTCACACTGCAGCTATTTATGTCCAGCATTAGCTCAGTCTGCTGGTGGCTATAAACAGCTGTGGTTGTCTGTTTTCAGCTTTGGGAAGTAGGTGTAGACTGTTGATGATTTTTATTCAATGGCTGGAGTCAACTAGTGGTAAGATTTTAGTTCACCTGATACTAAAGTATCAGTTTTAGATACACAACCCTGTATTTTTATTGGCTTAACAACAAACTAGGGCATTTTAGTTACTGTTGTATGTGTATGCTAAATTTTGATACAGATAGAAGAGCACTTGTATGTAACCATTCTGTAACAGATTGAAATAAATGATTTTCAGATTGTAAGGCTCATGCCTCTATAAAGCTGTTGGGCATTTATCATAAACAGGTGCTTTTCAACCAAAGGTACCTGCGACTTTTAGTTCCAGAGACTTCTTTTCAAGGTACTAAATGGTAAATGGTTCCAGTGGCCAATTGTTACTTGTGTTTTAACCAGGGCCTGAAGTCCCAGACTGTTTTTTGGAAATGAATTGACTTGCGCAGCTTGTAATTTAAAGTTCTGTTGAACTTGCAGTTACTACGTTTGTTTGATGGGGTTTCCTTTTACCAAAAACTGAAACCACATTATTTCAACACTCAGTACAGAGAAAGGAAAAAAAAATCACTTCAGGATGATATTCAACAATCAAATACTCTGTAAAGTTTTCTTGAGTCTGTTGAGGGAAGGAAGGTGAATGTGCAAATTGTTCACCATAGAAAGGTGGATGGGAAAATCTGTGTCTCTTGGTGGATATCGTAAAACAGATGTTGTTGCTGTAGATATTAGAAAAGTGCAGGATGCTTTGATTTCAGATTTAGTTTAGTTAAAAATTGACTTGGACTGTCAGTGAGTCTCATATTGATGCATTCCCAAACGTCCATTTTCTGGTAGATATGAAAGAAACCCTGTGATTTCTGAGATGATTTTTTTCTGGTTGAAAAATCTCCTTTTCCTCTTTCTCTCTCTGTTTTCTTTCAGGTATAAGTCAAATGAAGAGTATGTTTACGTGCGAGGTCGTGGCAGGGGAAAATACATATGTGGAGAGTGTGGTATCCGTTGTAAGAAGCCGAGCATGCTAAAAAAGCACATCCGAACACACACAGATGTCCGACCGTACGTCTGCAAACACTGCAACTTTGCCTTCAAAACCAAAGGTAAGGAGACAGCGACATGAATATTGGAACCTTCTTCTTTATTCCCAGGGGTCATGTTTTACTTCTGTTGTCCAAACTCTCGCACTTTTAATGTGATTTTCTTGTTCCTTTCTAGGGAACCTTACCAAACACATGAAGTCAAAGGCTCATGGGAAAAAATGCCAAGCGATGGGAGTGTCTGAGTCATCTCTGGACGAGCCAGAAAGTGAGGAAACAGGTATTTGGAGAGGCATCTTTCCTATCCAGTGTAGAGAAATGTTTGGTACACAGCTGGCTGAACTTCTGCCTGTGAAGAATGGTAGCTGCTCAGCACCGACAGCTTATGCAACACCATGTTCTATTCTTTTCCCCGTGGCCTTGCATAAAAAATATGAAAGAACAGAAGATAAATGAAGACAGAATTCAGGACTATTTGGCCAGCACACCTTGTTGTCAAGGATGTGTCCCTACAAAGCCCACTATTTCTTCTCTCTTCTTCTCATCACAGCTAAGGATGTGCCATTTAAAATGTCTATCTATGTACAGAGGCTGCTGAGATCATTTGTGAATAGTGCTTTTCATTGAAAGCGCGGTCTTTTCAACCTCAGTCTATTTATAAAGTGGATATGATAGGTGGGGTTAGGTGTTGTAAGAAACATACTGTATGCTGCCCTTTGTGCATGTCTAAAATTATTCAGTATGAGGATTTTTTTTCCAACTTTTTTACATTCAGCACAGAGAGTTTTGACTGAATGATGTGGATGAAAAAACTGTGAAAGGTACTTTTTATTAGTTTGCATACAACCTCCTGTAGATGCTGGTGTGTTCGACGCGGTAGTTCTTCTGCCTCAGCGTCTCGGTTTGATTGCATTTCCATGAAGAAATAATCATAAATGTTCTTCCTTGATCTGCATCACCCTGCAGCAGTTTGTTGGCTTTATTTGTGGCTATAGAGAGGCTTTTTGGTTGAGGTTTGTGTGTGGCTCCTGAGACCGCTGTGAATTGCTGTTGTGCAGTTGTTACTAAAGTTGGTAGAACTAGAGAAGCAAGCGGTTGGCAGCATTCATTTCTTGAGGGGGATGTCTAACTCTGTGTTACGGTGTGTTTGACCCTAACTTAGTTTTACGCTATAATATCCCTTTAAAGTGAGGTTATATTTTCAGTTGGGGCGCATGTATGGTTTGCTACAGCTAAGTTATAGTGGTGAAAAGTTAAGCTCCTCCACTCAAGGCCAAGCTAACTTCTACATACTGTAGGTAATAGAGTGATAGGGACCTTTTTTAAACCTGCTTAAAAAAGTGTGTCCTTGCCCTTTAGATGTGTGTGTTTAAGTGTGTGTGTTTCCCTGTATCTGCACCAACAGCAGGAAGTGATGAGCGTGTGTGTGGCTCAGAAGAACAGGAGGAACACCAGTTTTCCGACGTGGAGGAGTCAGAGGATGATGATGACAACGACGATGACGATGATGAGGAGGAGGAGGAGTCTGCATCCCATGATGACCCACCGTCTTCCTGCTCCTCAGACACCCACCCATCAACAGGAGGGCTCTCTTTGCACTCTCAACAAGGCACTCCTGAAGCCGAGCCCCTGGGTGCTGGTCTCAGCCCCTGTCAGGATCCTTCTCCTAGAGGGGTTTGGCCCAGCAGACGAGCCGCCTCTCCAGGCAGCAGGCGGGCGCTGTTTTCTCGACGGGGTTGGAAGGCATCACCAAGAGCCTTCTCACCAAGTAGTGAGAGCTGCTCTCCCAGCCGCAGCCTCTCCCCCCGGCTAGAACTGTCCTCATCTATCCACAGCCTCTCCCCCAGGACAGAGTTATCCTCACCTACCCAGCATGTCTCACCCTCCCCTGAGAAAGGATCTTCTCCCATCAGAGCCCTTTCCCCTCTGAGGCCTATTTCGCCGAGCTGCCACCGCCCATCACAAGTAAGGGCCCTCCCTTCCCCTTTGGTGTACCAGCACAGGACCCTTGGGTACATGCCTTGGGAGACCCCAGAGACAAAGGGTGGTCATGTGAAACAGGTGAGTCTTTTATATTTGCTTTTTGAAAACAAATTCAGAACATAGTCTGTATATAGAATGGACAGCGTCTGCGTCCTCACTGGGTGAAGCCACTCCGAGAACAGCACCCTCTGGTGACGGGCTGCAGTATAAGTTATAAATCCCGCCTCTGCCAGCAAAGCCTATGGTGCTGTGGACAAACTTTAGAAATTTATTACACAGAATATAATTTTTTTTCCCCCTGCTTGCGGTGTTGACATGTAGTTACTGTAAGACTGGTTTGTGCTCAAGTCCTCTTTTTTTCTGTACAGCTCCATTTTTAAAAGTTATTAGGGGTTCATGTTTTCTATGATTGACACCTGGTACAGCCCATGGGTGTACAAGGATTGCATAGCTCACCCGTGGGGAACGCCATTTGAGTCAAGCGTCATCACAGCGACTCTCAGTGACTCTCCCGCCAAATGCACACAATGCTACTGCACAGTGTTGGTTTCAGGAAATAGAGAGAAAACGCTGAATTATCGAGAGCTTTTTGGCTTCAGAGCCGTATACTGGCGGAAGGCGAAACCAAGTTGTCCAAAGTATAAACAGTCTATGATTCAGATTTAGGCAGCTTCCTGATTCATCTGCTCCTCTCTTCTGTGAGAAAAATCTTCAGGAAAGCCTGTTCCATGTAACTGTGAGGTTTTTGTGCCCTCTACAGGACAAAAGTGGAACTGAGGGACCAACATTGCCAGACTCCAGCTTGTTCCCACCTGCTTTCCGTCTCTCCACCTGCGAGGGTTATCCTGGCCTTCAAACAGCAGACACCACCTTCAGCCACCTTCCCATGCACTCCCAACAAGCCAGGGTCCCCTATCCCATGATCCCCATTGGAGGGATCCAAATAGTGCAAGCCAGACCGAGGTCCCATCCCACCACCCCTTCATCCCCAACCTCTCCCCCCATGGAGGGGCCATCATTTGCCAGGTTTGAATCATACTGGGGCGGGACCCCGAGAACTCAAGGGCTCAGGACTCCTGGAGACCCCTGGTCAGAGCACCAGGCAGCAGGAGCCAGCCAATCAGTGTGGTGCATTCACAGCACAGCGCTCACATGTCCCAAACAGGAGGTGGAGATCACAGACTCGAAGCAATATGGCAGCTCACATGGCTCCGCCCACACCCGCAGCTCTGCAACCGAGACACCTGAATGCAGCTTCAGAGACAGTCATTCAAGAGCACCCTCAAGTGTCACAGCCCCTGTAGCTTCGCCTGTCATTGGACAGCAGCCAAAAGGGGAGGAGCCCCAGTCTGGTGGCAGGGTGGAAAAAGGAGAAGCTAAAGGTGACAGAACAGACCCGAGCACTTAAAGTGTCACACCTTGATGCATCATGCATCATAGTTTGCTTTATTGGTTGCTACACTAGTCTTGTTTTTTTATTACTTTGTTTTTATACAGTTTTCAATACTATTGTTAACTTAAATGTTTGGCAATATTCAGGTTTGTTATTGAAAATGCACTTTTTCTTTGTAAAAATAATGTCTATCTATATATATTAATTATATATACACAAATATATCCCTCCTTTATCTGTATTGATACTGGCAATCGTAATGTTTGTTCAAATAATGTAAATGAAAAATGGATAAATTTGTAAATGACCAAAATCTTTAATCAAAAATAATTCCATTTTTTTTTTGTCCAGTATTACTCAAATCGTAGTTACTTGTGCCTTTTCTGTCCAGGTTTCCGTTTTGACATGTACAGTACAGAGAGAAGGCTGTGAATTTTTATACTCTTTTTTTTTTTTTTTTTTTTTTTTTCTTGAGCGTTAGTATTTGGTGTTTTGAATGTTTCTGTTCTAATGGCCATTGCTTTAAAGACAGGGTAACAGAGAACAGAGATTTTTGAAGGAGCAGCAGAAACATGTCAAAGGAATTGCACTGAAGTTCTATTTTTTATTACAGAAGATTTTAGAGTAGAGTTTATCTCTGTACAGGGAAGAGTGCTCCTTATTTATTGTTGTTCAATGAAAAGATCATTGTTACAAGATGTTTCTTTTTTTTTTTACATTTTTTAATCGAAAAAGGTTGTTTTTTTCTGTTTTTTTCATGATATTTCTGTGACTTGAAATGTTTAAAAACAGATGAGGGATGGAGTTGAGCTAATACAGGAGGTTTAAGTGCCCTGCAGATTTCACACACAGCAAAATTTCTAGTCATTGAAAAAATAAAAAAATACACCAGACTCACATGAGGTTGTGCCTTTTTTTCCATTCAGTTATACATGTTATGGTTACAGTCTTTTTCCCTTCAATAAATTATGTACTTTGGTTTGTTCACAGCAGTTAAAGCTCCTGTAAGGATTTTATAGATTGTGTCAAGTCTATGGACAAAGCCTCTTGTTTTTTCACTGATTTTGTCCTGTACGTGGGCAGGTCTTTTTTTCAACAAGAGTCTCATCCTGCTTTCTAAACACTCAGATTTATCACTCATTAATTCTGTTTGCCATGTGAAGAGTAAACAAAGGCTGCCTTAGTAACGCTGCTAGAGTTTTATTTATTTATTTATTTATTTTTACAAAGAAAATAACTTCACAGAAATTGCCTATGTGTGGATGATCTTGCTCTCTTTTGTAGATCATAAAGATACTTCAGTATTGATGTCAGGCTTCCTGTTCCCTAGTTTCCCACATCCTACTTGTAAATGATTTGTAAATGATAAATTTCCAAATCATTGGTGAGGTTAAACATGAAAAACAAAACATAGAAACCACATTAAAAAACCACATAAAATAAAAATCAAATGTCAGTTTCCCTGAAGTTGTGCCAAGCTAGAACTTTTTATGGTACTGTTCAGCTTGATCATTTGAAACCATAGCGTGAATTTTGGGGGATTTTGTGGTCTTGGCTTCTACGATTTTGAAACAATTTAAATGAACGTTTCACCTTCATTTGACAAATTAGACAAGATAATGACCACTGACCAAAGTTATGTCTATGTGGAGACTTTTGATTATTCACAGCATTTGTTGTTTGCCAATTGCTGATTTAAAAGCGCTTGCATAACAAATCTGAGCAGAAAAATATGACGAGTTTCAAAGTAACTTAAACAACTTCTTTTGAGTTAGCTTAACTTTTGCACAGGGTCTTTCATTTGTCTCTACAGAGGAGACTGTGCAGCTTTGTTGTGCTGACCCTAAAAGTGATTGTCAACCATGTTGCATTTCACCCCAGTCTGAAACCTCACATGAATATTTAGATGGGAAGAGATTTGGTAGCTGTTGTTGATACGACTTGATTTTTGCATTCACCTCACTTTTTATCTTCCATGGAAGCTTTTGATTTTATTCAAGCTGCTTTATTTGGTATTTTCTAAGAGCTTTATAACTAAATCACATAACACACTTAACTTAAAAATCATCCAAGTAATCTATTCTGTTCTTGCACAACTGTGACACTTCAGTGTTGCCACTAGATGCCCCTAACGAGTAACCGCACTATCAGAAATTGGTCAAAATATTATGTTACAATTCACTATCTGAGTACTGATGTCATCTGTATTCTTGTGTCCTTGGTTTCAATTTTCATTGGGGTCAAAGGTAAAAAGACTGCACACACCTTTCTCAAGAAAATCCATCTTATCAAACGTGATTCATTTAGATAGATACTGTAATAAATTCCTAAATGGTGATTGCCTAACTGGGTCAGCTCTGTTCTGCTACTCTGTCCATGAAACACCCATTTTTCAACTTCAAAAAGCTGAATTTGATCGTACAAAGATTAAATCCTCAATGATTCATTTTCTCACATCTGTCAAAGATAATTATTCACTCGTGAAAATCAAGGTCTCAACATCAATAGCCACATAAATGTATCCCTCCCATCCTCGGCGTGTTGTCTGTCCTCAGTTTGTTCTGGTGCACTTCGCACAACATGTCTGACAACACAGCAAGCAGTGGATTACATAAAGCTGACTCGAGGACAGCCAGCGAGTGTGTTGACAAGAAGCCAAAGGATGTCTTCTGCTGTGACTTGACATTCCTCAAAAGATGTTACAAAAAAGGCAACAGGGAGGCACTTTTATTTTTAGATACCTGTATCAAAAATAGTTCTGAGTGACTGATTTCCTTCCTTTTTCAATGTCTGCTGAACTTCTGCTGAAAACAGAGATTCAGCAGAATGAAAGGAGTGAACATGGGAGGAAAGACTGATAATTAAAAATAAACACCTGTGCCAAAGACACAAGCTGGCAAAGACTTTAGGGCTGAACTAAAAGTGACTTTTTCTCACAAGGCTTTTTCTCCAATTTGCCTTTTACACACTATCCTCGCGTCAGAGACAGGGCAGCAGGATGTGAAGATGCCTGTAGAGAAGGGCACATCTGTGCTCCTGAGGGAGCTGAACTTGTAACCTCCAGAGCAAGAATGTGTTAGAAAAATCTGTGCTATCAAGATGCTGTGTGGCAATCTCATCACTGCGTCACACATTCTTCAAATCTTTATGTGAGAGCAAAATGTTGTTCCCTCCTCACCGGAAATCTGACAGATTAAACAGACCTATACAATGTCCTGATTGTTGACTCGATTACACATAAATCTTCCTGTGAGAGTCTGGGGCCAAAAGATGTAGAAACAGGTTTCAGGGATATGTAGACAGTGTTAACAGTATACTGCAGCAAAAAGTCCATCATTGGTCCATGCTCTGTCTGGTTGCTCTCTGTTGTTTTAAATTTGACCAGGGCTTAAATTTACAGATGGTCTGTGCACTGACCACTTTGGTTGAAGTAGTACTGCACAGTCTTATCTCAGCTGTGGTTCTTGTTACTTCAGTTTAATTTGGGTAAGTCGTAGCAGGTCATAAAGGCTTCCTGAGGAATAAGACATCCGAAATAACCCCTTTGTATCTGACTTTTTGACTGCTGTACAAGCCAAACAGATCATGTTTGAGCAAAACCATAACAGATGAAGTTTTATGAGACTAAATATCAGCATGCTGTGACTGCTGAAGACACTAATGTTCCTGAATGCTTCTTGTCCAATCAAAATTTTGCTCCGAACTCTCACTACTATTAGACAAGAAACAGTCCTGACCTACAGGTGCAAAAAAAGAAAGAGGTGATCTTTTAACATTTTAATTTCATCGTTCAGTTTCTCTGATCTTAAGTTGCATTTTCTGTTTTTTCATGGGTGACTGCTGCCATTAGTCTACCTGCGGGACTCTGGCATAGCTGACCCACCCAATGGGCCCCATGTGGTGGGGGCTGTCGGAGCACTGCTGCCTGCTGGCAGGAAAGAGTGGACAGGTTTTCTGTGTGTAGCCCCCTCCTGCCATCCTGGAGGCATCAGCCCAGAAAAATGTGACCCAAGGATTTCTTTTTAGAGTTACAGTCAGTGGAGTAGTCTCACATTCACCAAATATAGACTGAATATAAAAACTATGTTGATATTCATATTTCTTACAGTTTCGAAAGCATTATTCATTTAGTGTTGTCTTGGAGTTCACCTATTAAAAAAAAAACAAAAAAAAAACCTTCAATTATGTTCAGTTATTATTTTCAGAGAGAGTTTGTTGCTCTTTTTTAAGTTGTCTTGTGCTCTCAGTTAAGTTGTGTTCACTGGTTTTTTAAATGTATATATTTTTTTCTCCAAAAGCTGCCTCACAAAGAAAAAAAAGGATCCATGTGATTAAACCAAAACTAAAATGAGCCAACCTTAAAGTTACAGGAAAACTAAAACAGATCTGCTAATAAAGGGATATTTCACCCAAAAATCACATCAGTCTTATTAAGCAAAATGCTGAATAGACCAACAGTCAGGTTTTAGGAGGTTAGAGATAACATTATCTCACAAAATTTTAACAAATGTTTGTAAAATAAAGATCAAATTGTCTGAATGAGGAGGATCCAAAACTGACTTTAATTATCTTGCTCTTTAAATGCTTTAATAGTATCCTCTGACCAAAATAAATAAATAAATCAATCATCCTTCTGACTTTCATTTACAATAAAAGGACATCTGTATGAATTTGAGTCTGATCCATTAACACCAAAAACTCTTCATATTAAAATCAGATATCCATCAGATTTGAACTCCAGTTTTTAAGGTGATCCCTCTCACCTTACTTTTGACCTTGATTCTACCTTGAGTTCCTTATTTCTGTGCCTCAAACCTCATGTAGAGCTAGACCGAACAGATTATCTCTCATTTCAAATTTTAGTATAAAACCATGACAAGAGGCACAGGTGTCGCTGAGAAGTTTAAGATATTCCTGGAAATGCCTCACAGGTTTGAACACCCTGGGGTCCTACACACTGAGGTTCAGAGGGCTGATACTGTGGGTGGAGCTTATGTGACACCACTTGAGGGAGAGGAGAGATATAAGAGAGTGACAGAGCTCACTCACCTGCAGAAAAACAGCACCAGCACATTGAAAACACAGGAGGCGCTTTAACTGTGAGGATTATAATCTCTCTGCAGACTCTCAGACATTTATTATTAACTATGTCCCCAGACGCCAGCTTGTTTCTCCTCATCACTTTCTGGGCTTCAGTACATGATGGTGAGTTGATTTTTTTTTTTTTGTAATCTCTTAAAAGATACACATAAAAATAACCTTTTAACAGGATGTGCATGACAGTACATGTACCTATGTACCTACAAAGACTGAAAAACAGCAGGAAATAGAATTTAAGAACGCACGCTTCCTTTTATTTTCTGTTCAAAGAGCTGTGAAGTGTGTGGATCACTTGCTGTTTGCATGGTGACTGGGATATCAGTAACCCTGTGCATGAGAAAATAATAGCCTTCACTGTACAGTATGTTGGTGCACATACATGTTTTGGCATGCACAGGACACATAAAAGGATTCATTTATCAAAGCTGCTAGATGTTACCTTTTTCTTTATAATGGCAGTTGTTTTTGTTGGTTTTCCATGGAAGAGTTTGACTAAAAGACGATTAAAGAAAAAGGAGATTGTTTGTGAGCCGTTTTGATTGATTTTGTTTGACTAGTTTTGAACTTGGCACAAAAAAATGAAGACATTCCTGCAGCCCTGTCCAGTAAATAAGACTGTTTGCTCACTGTTTTAAGAGAAAGTTGATGAGCTTTTTCATGTCCGCACTTGTATTTTCTAAAAAGAATAAACTGGTGATGCAACACATCCGTAAAAAACAGTCTGAGACAAACAGTATGGAGCCTGGCTGAAGAGTGTGTCTTTGTCTCACCCCAGGTTTTGGTCTTCCGGTGATGAAACAGCAGGATGTGGAGACCAGTGAAAACGTCCCAACACAGAGGGTGAGGACAAAACGCTGTGCCTGCAGCAGCCAGATGGACTCAGAGTGCCACTACTTCTGCCACCTGGACATCATCTGGATCAACACACCAAGGTGAGCTGGAGGACACACTAAACAAGATTTAACTTACATAGCATGCACACTTCTACAGTCACTCTTAGGATCTTCAACATGATCTCTACAAATAGAGCACAGTTTGTGCACTTCCAGCCCAGTATCCATGGATTAAAGATATGCTACCTTAATCATTTTATGATTTCATTATCATGATATGATTACATTACAGCAAGGAGCAAAGTCTGCAGATTGCTTCTATCATTTGCATGTCTCCTCTCTGCAGCAAGACAACAGTTTATGGTCTTGGAAACTCTCTGTCCCGGCGCAGGAGGTCCACAAGTCGCTGCACATGTGCGAACCCCGGTGATCAAACCTGCACCAACTTCTGCAATCCCAGGTAAGTCTGAGTCCTGTGCAGCTCTTTAGCATCACCCAGTGAGATCCTAGTCAACTTAATTTGTAAAGGAAGGTTTCATTTCCCTTTGTGGGAGAGAAGGAGTGGTGCAGAGGGAGGGAACTCCCCCTGTCAATGCAGTGCTATAAATAACCTGACTGAGTTCAATAACTCCTGTTAGTCGCGGGTGTGATCAAAACAAAACAGCTGAGGCCTGAGGGAGTATATTATCTCAGGCTCGTGCTTGAAGCTTGTCTTTCAGTGGCCCTGAGGACAGGGGAGTGAAATGAAAGCAATTAAAAGTGATGTAAAGAATTCATGTTTCCTGGAAAAACCAAACAAATCATGTAAGCACCTGGAAACAGCAGAGGCAGCATGAGGTGTCATGTAAGGTCAGCCAGGCCTCCTGTTTACGGTGGCTGGTGGCATAAAAGCTTAAGTAAACCTGTAAAGATAAGAGTTTTCTAGGTTACAGAGAGTGTAAAAAACATGAATGTTTTGCTGTTCTTATTCAAGAGAGCAACATCTATAAAGTCATTTCCGTGACGAAGTCATTTATGTCAAGGGTGCTGTTCCTATGAAATGACTTGGCTGTTTTCTTTTGTGCAGCTCTGAAAGCATCTTATCAAAAAGATCCACGGAAAAACACCAGCTTGACATACTCAGCATCCTAAGGTGAGCTTTGAATGGAGGGAAAATATATTCTAGCAAGTCCATTGGCATTTTGAGCATGTTCATAATCATGTGATCGATTTTTTCTCTCTCTCTCTCTCTCTCTTTTTTAGAGCATCAGCCATCAGATCCAAGCAAGTTCTGGATCCACCTGATTCAGACAGACTCTCTGAGGCTCAGAGGAAGAACACCCGCTAAACATGTGGCTGTTAAGGCAACAAAAGAGGGAAGAGGAGAGCAGCGAGCACCTGAACAAATGACCCTCCTTTGATCGAGAGAGGGGAAACAAAGGGCTGCTGAAAGATCCGACTCAGGAAGGCTGATGTGCCGCACAAAGACAAGGGTGGAAAATGTGCTAGATATGCAAACAGAAAGAGACGTGGACATTCAGCACTGAGAGAGGAGCCACTATCATGACTAGTGACATGTCTTACGCTGATCTGTAAAAGCCAGAGCAGCTGTGACTCTTGACTGTCCGGCACTGACATAAACAGATGTAAGAGAGGAAAAGAAACATGCATACTGTACATACATGTGCAGGAATGCCTCACATATACGACATGTTTTCACTAATCTTTTGAGACAAGCCATAAATCTTGTCAGCAATTTTTTTTTTTTTTTTTTTTTTTTTTTAATGGCATGAGAGATTGAATTCTCGGTCATGTAAAAACTCTTAACATGAGACTTTATTAAAACAATATATTAAAAATGCTCAATTTACTTTTTTGTTTCATTTTTCCTTTAGTATGTCAAAAGTTTTGAAATGTAAAACACAAATCAAGACCCAAAATAAAAGAGAAGTTACCCTTATTTCATTTCTTTCTCGTCTCTGCTTGCTTCCGCTGTGTAAATAGAGTTATAAAAGCAACAGGTGAAGAATAATTTGTTGGAAAAGCGGCATGTGTGATTCAATTGTTTGACAGGCAAACACATTTCAGAGTTGAAAAGGAGGCCTGAGATGGATGAATGGTCCAGGAATTCACGGCTCACATTAATAAGTTCACCTGCTATTCAAAGGCTGCAAGGCGGCTGTTATCATAAGGATCTGTGGAAAGAATGCAGCGTTTTGTAACTTAGCTGAGGGGGTGAGAGAGAGGTACAAAATGCTCTGTCACCCCGTGTTCCTCTCCGCTTGTGCTGAACATACTGTCCACGGACACCTGAGTATGCAGGGAGACAATAGAGGGATAGAGCCAGAGACAATGATGCAGCTGTCTCCCTGTGCATAAACTGATAGACAACTGACTTGTTTTGAAGACCAATTAGGTTTGTGTTTATGTGGTGCTATAATTTCAGATGTAGGTCTCATTTCATTCCTGTCATACTTCTTCTCCAGCTTTTCCTCGAGAGACACCCTGCAGCCATCTTTCCAAGACAGGCCTGAGCAAATCAGCAGCCTGGTTTCAAACAAGCTACCAGTTACCACAGCTGTGTTATGATGGATTCATCAAGCCCACTTATCCACTCCTCATTCTCTGTCTTTAGACAAGGGTGTGTGCTGAATGAACCAATGCCCATCACTGCTGCCTGTCATGTAATTTTAGTACTGGCACTTGAAAATCTTTTCTTTGTTTCCAGGATCACAACATGTTGTCAAAATGCTGACACAGTCAAATGTGTTACTGATGTAACAACCCCACCTGTTTTTTATTGTCTGTCTTGTGAAGCTTGAAGTTCAGACAACTTGATGCTATCATGTTGGTTTTAAGCCAAAAGTGATCATAATTGGACAAGAGGGTGGTGCAGGAAACACGGCTGTTAAACTTTTGAAACTCACTGTTTTTCTGACCAGAGTAGTTGGTTTAATAGGGTATAAAATATAGGTAACTAGCCACACATCTCTCCATGTCTCTATTTAAAAGAATAATGGGTGCACAACTCTAACCAACTACAATGTGACGACTAACAAATAAATGTATGAAAACCACTGACTGAGCCAACAAGGCGGTTATTCTTGCTCATTTAGTTCAATACACAGCTACAGTATCTTTGTCTGGAGAAAAAAGACAAGAATGAAAAAAAAGTCCAGAATAAGTTGTGTTGACATCTATGATATCCACCTGTTTTATTTTTTTAATACTTTTATTTATTCCACAATGAGTCAGAAGATTCATCTTAAAAAACAACAATACATAAGTGATTTTTTTTTTCCGCCCCGCCCCTCCAGTCACCCCCCCCAAAAAAAAGAAAAAAATTCTCAACAAATACATACCAGAAAAAAAAACAAACAAAAAAAAAACAAAAACAAAGAGGTGAACTGCGCAAAAAGTAAATAATGATGATAATGTGTAACCACCTGTTTTATTTACATAAAACTTAAAGTCTATAAAAAAATTTAGTTAAAGCTTGAGTTACGGTACAGTGACCAGTGAAATAACCAGCACAGACCAAAATACATCAGCTTCAAACTGTAAACATGTTTGATACCGCTGTGCAGTTGAACATTTTAAAATGGGGTCCAATAAGCATTGACTACAGTGGCCACTTTGCGTCGCTTTTGCATTGGCTTCGTTTCTCTACCATATACAGTTGTGGCTTGAAGTTGCCTGGCTTCAGACCTCACTCTGAACCAAAATTTTTTAATTCTTTTTTCTTCTTCTTTTTTTTTGTTTTATGTGGAATCTGTTTAAGTTTGCTTTGGGATTACTGTCATAATTGCCACATATTTCAAACAATAAACCATTATTTAATCCCTAAAGTTATTATTTCCATTTTTCGCAAAACTCTTCGTGTATTACGCCAAGGGAAAAAAAATGCAACTCATGCTGGTCCATAAAAGGGCGACAGGAAGAAGACACAAGCCATTCTCAGGTCAACCACAGGGTATCACATGTGGTCAAATGGGTTGGAAATATGATGACTCATTTAAACAAAAGGGTCCAAGAGACTGTAAAGAAATAAACATCAAATGAAAACTCAGAAATGCTAATTAATGATTAACTCATGTGAGGTAATGAGAAAACCTTTTCTCTGTGTCAGCAGGGTTTTTGAAAACGAAGAGCTGCTTTAGAGACAAACTCTGTCCATGGTGCTGGAACGACAGGGACTCTTGATAACAACACCACAGCTGCAAGCACCGGTACAAACCACTGGTTTACAACAAAGCATACATGTAATTTATTGATGACCAACCAGGAGACTTGAACAGAACAACGTCAGAAGATGAAGAAAAACTTCCTTTTATCAGAGGAAGAAAATCCCCTTTGATAAAGGTGATTCATCTTTACTGCTGAGTATCGTAATTCCATCTTTGAACTGTTGTACAGCCGACTTCACGGGGTTGTCCCTATGATCTAACTTTAGAACCTACATCCTCTTGGTCGACCTGTTTTCTCCTTCCCTTTTTGTTTTTGTTACTTTCTTTGAAATCCTGTCAGAATGGACCTCTTATGTTGCCCAACATGAAGTTGTGATTTCTTGCTCCTGGAGATACCAAAGTAATTGTACTAAAAAACTAAACAAACACTGATCAGAAAAAAAAGGCTTTGGTTAGTTCTGACTTTGAAATTATTGACAAGATAAAAACATGAAACCAAACTGACATATGAACCAGGAAGTACGCAGTGATAAAAAGGCACACTTAAACGCCCCTGCAGTGAAACTCGCTGTGGACTGTGTCCTATAGCTCGACAGAAAATGCAATCATTGCATTGTATAAGTAAAACATCAATATCTCAACAACAAATAGTCCCGCAGGTGCATGCTGCTGCATTGGTTTGACATGGTCTTGTCTGGTTTCGCAGCATGTACTTTTTTATGTACATATAGTATAACCTTCCCAAAATCAGTCCTGGTACTGAGCTGTTGCAAATTGACTGAGACAGTAGATGGATGTTCCTCCACATGTTATTTTAGTATCAATCAAATGTTGGAAATGAGTTGCTGGCATCTAATTTAAAATGAGCATTGATGCATTTTTCATCACTCAGTGAATTTTGACAGATTTTTATGTCTTTGAACTGTTTTCAGTCAAATATGGGGCTAAAAACATGTTCTTACTTTTTACTCTGCATCATAACTTTTCAGTACATGGGATTTGATTTGAAGGCTTAATTAATTTGCTCTGGATTTTTTTTATCATCAATTTTTTCTATTGAGATGCCTAAAAAGCTTTTAAAAGTGTTCATTTCTTCAAGATGGTATTTCATGGCTGTAAATCGGATGTCATTCAGATAAGTAGGTTTGGGAGGAATCATTTGGGTCATTTTGGAAAACATTAACTGCAAACTTCATAAAAATATGAGACGTTGGCTAACATGCCATTTTCTCAACCATGATCTTTTTTTAAATCTAAATGTCTAAATAAACAATTCCAAAGCATATATTGTGATTGCTAAATCATAACTTCCACTTAACTTCCACTTAATGTTTCTTAACCCCAAACTATTCAGCTTCAAAATGTAATAATCAAAGACTTGGATGACTTTATTATTTAATGTGAGAGGCTTGTGTTTTTATGCCCTGCACATGAGGAAACATTCAGTTATCACTGACTTAAATGTGCTACACTCCTGGGAAAAAGTCATCCTCTTCAGGTACAGGTGAGAAAAAATACTTTGTTGAGTTTGACTGAAGGCTCTTTACTTCCAGGTATTTTAGTTCATGTTGACAGTGTGACATTTCATCTTGCGACACTCCAAATAGAAGTTACATAACAGATACAGATGTATACATTGGTGCCTGAAGTGCATGGGACTTTTTTGGTAGAGCACTGCTAATCCAAAAATATAATCCCTGCATGTATACTTTTTCACTGTGGGGAAGTCACCATGGTCCACTTGGCACCACTGACCCAAATTTTCAGCAGTGTGGGGCTGTTTTCTTATGCCTAATCTCACAGCTGAACTGATGGCACTGAATCCTCTGTATGATTCCTATACAGTACCAGCTCTGTCTGGACCCTGTTGTAAATGTAGTGTCAAATAATCACACCACATCAGAACCTGCACTGATTTAACACACTCAGTAAACATTCCTTACATTCTTTGGAGAGCTGTGATTTGAGGGACTGAAAAGGGCTTGCGTGTGTGTGTGTGTGTGTGTGTGTGTGTGTGTGTGTGTGTGTGTGTGTGTGTGTGTGTGTGTGTGTGTGTGTGTCTTGCAAAGTGTGTGTCTTGCAAACTGGCATTGGTAACAGAATGTTCCTACTCTTGTTATTGACTTACCTACATATTATTCAGGTTTGAGATGAGTTATCCGAGTAAAAAAGTTCAGCGATAAATCATTATAATGGCGTTTTAAAGTTTCTAAAAAGTCTTCATCATAAATCAAAGCATGCAAGTGCTTAAGCACTTCTGACTGTTACTCTAAAAAAGGAGTATGTTTTTAGGAAGTTTCTGCAAAGCTTCACTATTGCCTCAAAGACCTAGAAATTCTGAAGTTAGTCTGAGACATAGATCTGCTCTTTAGCTCCTGTAGGTGTTAACAGCTAGAATTACAACAAACTAAAATTTATATTTTTTTCCTTTTTATGGCCCGTAAAAGTATGACAGACCAAAAGCAATAAAACTATTGACTATTTTATTGGCTATTTTGATATGAGGTTGCCAACAGGGATTGCCAAAACTGACACAAATCAAAGGTTCTTTGCAGCAAGTTTAAGCTGGTGGTTCAATATCTCATATTTGTTTCTTAAGCATGGACTCCTCTGTACAATGTGCAGTGTTTTCCTAAAAGGCTTGAACTGTCATACAAAGACAAGCCCATCCCACAGTCAAAAACATAAACTAAGTCTTACAGGGGAACATTGTACCCTCTACTGTACATTGCAGTGATTCTTTACCACCAGGGCAAAGGATCAGATTTCCTTCAACAGGCCAAGACAGCTGCCTGTCCTGTTTTTGTCAACATCCAGAGAACTGAACCCCTACAGGAACAATCCATACTGTGCAGCTCTGTGTGTTACCTCAGTATTTGCAGCCTTGGCAGGAAAGGAGTGACTAGGCAAAGGGCAAAGTGTAAAGGCTTGCTCTGATGGAGGAAATAATATAAATTCTGACAGTGAGGGACTATCCCTACAGTCAGTCCTTTGACAAAGTGCCAGGGAAAGACTTAAATTAGGTTCATGTTGTCAGCAGCTGTTTGAAAGAAAGAGCTTTATTTCTTTATTGTTGATCAGTTAATTATATATTAATCACTGATGGAACATAAACGTGTCATAAAAGACAAAAATAGGCCCAAGGAAGAACAGCCACAACATCCGATGCACATGTGAGCTCTCATGTGATCCAAAGCTCTGCCCTAAACCACTTCCACAAATGTATCAGTATTCAGCTTGAAGGACATTTTAAGATATATTTCACATTCTTTTGATCTTGTTCTTTTTCATCAACTTATCATCAGCTGTGGAAAACAATTTCATATCATAAATGTTGTTCTGCTTCATTCATCATAAAACTGAAAACAAAAACAAACAGATGATAAAATCTGCCTCTCAAGATAAATGGAGATTAACAGTTTCTCACTTAGTGCCAATGTCTTATCAGAGTCTCGTTTTTATCTCAAACACTGAGGAAACTAAGATAAGTGATGGAGTTAACATTTGAACATGGGTGACTCTTGATATGAAGCACAAATGTATTGTTCATTCAAGCAGTTCAATTTTGTCACAGAAATGCTTGAAATGGAAACAAAAAAAATCTTTGTTAGTTACAACCTCTGGAAAAAAAACATTCCCACTCAAACTGACAACCAGAAGGGACTGTATGATCTGCCGACATCCCATGGCTGAGGCTTGTTCTTACTTTAAATGACCAGCAGATGGCCTCTAGCTACCATTAACACAGACTAGGAAATACCTTTAACAATGCACATGAACTTAGTGCTGATATCCCTCCAACAAAATCCACAACTTTCAGGTCGTTTGAGTAAAACATGAACGATTTACATCATCAATGCATCACATGATTCTCTAATTCACCTGAGACATGGATGTTAGATGCGATCACTAATGTCAAAAGTTAATGGAATAATAACTGGTTGTTTAGTTTGATTTTATTCTCTATGTACTTTATTACCACCTACAGATTGATGACTTTTACAAAACAGTACACAAACAACGATTTCAAAACTTTGGATTCTTGGGTGATAGACTTTAGTGTGAATACATTAACACTGAGATGTTACCTCAGCTACCTCATGCTTGTTGGATGATTGTCGGGTTGAGTTCAGGTACAGCAGAAGTTTGTATTGTATTCATTTTTTCAACACTCAAATGGATGTCTTTAAGATAAGTCAGCCTACGTACTCAAAGAACTGCAAGAAAACATGTAATAATGTAATACTCAACTCATAATGTCATAAATTGTTACATTATTACATTATGTGCAGTTATTACGTTATGCCCTCATGATTTTATTAAATCATATGCTGATTATTACATTATGAACTTTTATAACAATTTGATCTACTACAGGCCCTAAAACTGCTCCTTTAATAAAGAAAAACAACAACAAGAAAGAGGGAATTACACATGCAGCAGTTGAATTGTTGTGTTTAATTTCACTCAGTAAAAGCACATATAAATATGCATTTAAAGGTTTGATTCTTTACCTTGATTTCTTTTTTTTCAGAAATGGCTGTTTGTAATATAATGTAGATAAAGTTGGACTATTTCTTGGATTATGCTCAGCTCATTATACCCTAACTGTTAAAGGTGAAACCTACTCAGACATTTTATGAATTTGTGTGAAATGAAATGATTCAACACTTGCATTAAAAAAAAAACTCAAAATAAATGAGATGACTACTTTCAATCAAGTAATCCCTGTCAAATTGAAGATATTATGGATAAGTAAAGCAGACTACTATTTTAATTTATATATAACCTGAAGGAATATAACCATAACCACAAAGAACAACTAAAGCCCAATGGGTAACACTTTAACAGTTTGGTTTGTTTGAAACACTATCCAATAAGTTTCACGTTGGATGTCACGTAGAAAGAGAAATTTCATGAAGCCTGGCACAAGAGTTGAATAAGGACGTATTTTTTATGGCTTTGCGTTACAGTTTAAATTGGTCTGTATGTAGCTAGGCGTAGGCTATAACGCTGACCCATGTTTGATATAAATGAAGAGGTTGATGTCAGCAGGCTCTCCTTCAAGCCCCAAAACTGGAGAAATGATTATTCACACTGTGGAAAGGCCGGGAGCCTCCAGTTTGTAGTGTTGCATTGGGAGGCTCGATAACATAACGGAATGCTTCTCCGACCCCCTTCTCACCTCATATCAATGCGGCGCAATGCAGGCCGGGAAATGAAGTCTTCGCGAAACAAAGAATAGCCGTGCTCGCTACGCCCACCGAGCATCTGCAGTTTCCATTGAGAACTACCGGTACCGAGATGCCCAGCTCGGGATGGTTTCCGGTAAATGTGTAAAATGTTTGGACCGAGTGCTTGAAGAGGGGGAAAGTGTGAGGTGAGGAAATGACCGGGCTGCTGTATTTACACCGATTTCAGTGCGGGAGGCGCAGGAGGGTGAGTCCGGAGAGAGTCCCTGTGATGCCGGGGTCCTCGGAGAACAAATCAGCCAGAGTTGGAAGAGCGGATTTTAGCGTAGACAATAACCGAAGTTGCGCTCAAACTTAGCCCCTTCAAAACACGCCGGTATCACGAGCAGACTGCACGACTGGACTGCACCATTGCGTTAAAATTGCACCGTTTCGTCCAATTCTGTTTGCCGTGGGATGCAAGTATTTTCGTTGCATTTCCACTTGAAATCTCTGCCACAGTTTCGCCACCTGCAACTCCATTTTCCATTGCACAGCCGTCCATGCACAACAAAGGATGGTGGGATGTAGATAGTGTGAGTCGATTGTTGGAGTGGGATGTCTCTGTCAGTGGGATGCAGCGAAAAGGTCCGTATGGCGTTTTTTCCATTACGTTGCGTCACGCAGTGGAAAAATACATTTGTAGGGTTTAAATAACGATGATGTTACCATGACCAAAAAGAAGGATGCTACATGAATCTCTGAACTGATACGTTTATTTAACGGTGGTAAAACTGGTGCTTAATTTTAAAGGTGTTTTTATTTTACAGTTCATTAACGATGGAAAGCCACCATTTACAAAGTAATAATTGGTTAATGTAATGAAGAAGATTGTGACGAATCTTCGTGTGGGCATATGCGTGTAAAGCGACACTTGAAATTAAACCCTTTATAAAATTAACTTTCAAAAATGTACCTTATTTGTCTTAATATGTATAAACGTCGCATGATGCGTTAATAATTTTTGCTTTTATTGTGAAATATACTGCCGGAAACCATCGTAACCGTTACGGCTAGTTTGACGTCTTCACTCATTAGCATCTTGACTGTACTGGCGCGAGATCCGCTCGCGGTGAAGGGACGCAGGTCGGTGTCGAAATCCTACACTCACGGCTCCGTTTTATCCTTCTGCCGGGACCAGCTGCTCCTCTTAATTTGATGTTTTTTCACACGATAGACTGAGTCAACTTCTCAGGTAATTTAAATTGTGTCTCAGGATGCAAAACTGTTAATTAATAGTAACGATAATCTCGACGATACAATTAAAAATCAGCGCTCCATTTAGATCTAATTAGGACATGACTGAACGGGCGAAGATGGAAGACGTGATACACTGGCCTGTTTATCTCCATGGTGACACCGCGCGTGCATGGCCATGATGTTAAGGTGTTATATAGGTGGTGAAAGCAAACCAGATTCACATGTTTTACTCACTGGTTGTGATATTGAAATGAAGAGTGAGTTTTCCCTTCAAGGGCATAATCAGATACGAATGTTCTTTAAAGCACTGTATCATCTCAAGAGTGAGAGCGCTTTAATTCATCTTTGCAAGAAAACTAACTGGTGGGAGCTCTGTTTGTTCTCAAAACGCATGAAACTTGTGTTTATAAGGTCAGAGTTATTACACAACTCCTTCTTTTGTGTTCATCTCAACAACTTGTAACATTATATGTCAAAATATTCAGCATGAAACCTCAAAAATAATTGTAAAGCTTGGTCTGGTCAAGTGTCTCCTCTCCATCTTGAACATCTACTCCTAAAGTGTCACCTCGGTTTTCTTTTGTATTAACAAAACAATGTGTATTAGCTCCAGAAGTTAATATGGTCATTCAAAGGAAAAAAAAGCTGGCTCATGTTTTGTGTTGTAGCTCTTTCCACTTCCCACTGGAAGTGCACCCCCCACCCACCCACCCACTTTAATAGACCATTAAGAGGCAACCAGGATGGTTAAGCTGTCAGCTGGGCCTGATTGATTCGGTTAGACCACAGATGAGACCGATCTGTGCTCAAGATTCCTCTGGAGCTCTGGGCTGAAAGTCTCCCCTCCCAGCCCCAGGCAAGAGAGCATTGGTGGATGTCCCTGAGTTCAGGCAGGGGATGCTGAGTGCAAAGAGAGAAGAGATATCACAAACAGTAACCCTGGTTGTTGTGAAGATGCAACGTGGTGAGTTATGGCACATTCCTTTCAGGTGCAGTCCTCAACCAGGTGGTGGGACACTGACGGAGAAAAGTTTAGCAAAGGCGAGGAGTGTTTTGGACTTCTTGTAAAAAAAAAAAAATAGGCCACTGGTCCCTGCGGTAAGCTACGCTTTTCTGGGGCAGGCTCTGTGATGACGCCTACCTGGCCCGGTTTGGGAACAGACACCATGGTCCATCCTTTTTGGAGATGGGTGCAGAAACTGTCCTGTTCGGATACACTCTACTGAGAGGACCAAACTGAGATACCTTGGGTCTGACTCTTCTTTCTGAACAGTTGGCAGTCTTTTCAGTTGACTTTTTCTGGAGCAAAACTGTAAGTACGCTTCAGCTAACACCCCCACCCCCCTCCCGACTCAGGACCTCCTGCTTAGATCTGTTAAATCAGTTATTCAGTAAGTACTTATTAGAAAGTCTGTTTTCTTCTGTGTTGGCGATTTCTTTTCTCTCTCTAATTTGGCTTCTTTTTGTTCCCAAAACCCAAGTGAGAAGTGCAATGCTATTTAAAGATGGCATCACTCAGCCAGCTGCGGCTGTTTCTGCTCCCATCGTAATTGAATCAGCACTAGTAGAGTGCGCCAGCGTGAGAGCGTCTGTGCTCCACACAAGATTATACAGTGGAGTCTAGGCATTCAGTAACTTCCACTTTCTCATACCTGATTGGTGGCTCCTATTCTTGGTGAATGTGTTAGTGGGACGGAAGTGGGAAGTGGACCGCGTCCCTGCTTGTATCCAAGGAGTGGATGTGGGTTTGTAATGGGCAGTTTTAAACAAGGTGATTCATCCTGAAGATATAGAGTTTCAGACAAGACTACGGCACAAAGAGTGATAGATGAGGTGGGCATGCAACTTTTTGACTCATCCGGTCAGAAAGATAAATCTTCAGTTGATTATCTGTGCCTCTAGTTTCTTTCGAGTGTCATGTCCCTTTTATCTGTTTGTACAACATCGTGAGGCAACTTCAACAGCTGTCAGAAGCTATAGAGAAAATGTCCGTCACAACAATAAGTTTTTGACAGACCCATTACCTTTGAAATGACATGTCCCGTATGGCAGGGAGAGGGTTAAGAACTCAAAAGGGAACTAGGCCATCAACATCCTTTTTTTATGGGCACATTCAGAGACTGGGAGTGTGTGAGTGTGACTGAAAAAGCAACATTTGAAGGTGGAATGTATCGTCTAAGGCCTGTGGATCATTTGTGCTGTGCTTAACATGCAGTTTATTCAAGTGCACACACAACATATAAGGCTGTGGTGTTGGAAAAATTCTCTGTTTGTAGCTCTACCCCTCCACTGTCTCAAATCCGCGCTCACTTTCAGACACCAAAGATATTTTCTCCTTCCCAGGATAGAGAGAAACGCTCACCACTCAGCTCGATTATTTTGAGTCATCTAGCCAAGGCTGTGGCGCTGGGCGGGAGTGTAAAAAAATTCATCGCCAACCGCGGATACATCTGCCTCCTCTCAGCAGTGTGAGGGTTCTCCTCCACTTTGTTTGTGTGACTCCCAAAACTGTAATAGTAAAAGCCCACTCCAGGTGGTTGAAGGCAAAATGAATGGCCTGTTCGTTGTACATCTGAATGCTCTAACTCAGGCTTCTTCTTTTCATAGGGAAGTTTAACCTAGCCTGTAAATTTTACCGGGAAGAGGAACAAAAAAGGCCAAAATACAGAATTGAATTCTAACTGTATCTGATTTGTTTACCACAACACTTAGGTACACCTTGTGCCCTGACCGTTGTACGAACTAAGCTTCACGGAAGAACACAGATTGGTAACCTTTTATCAAGAGCCAGACAAAACATGTTCGCTAAGCTGATATGAATGAGTCAACATAGGTCCAACACAGGTATTCCTCATTAAATTTTGGTAAAGGTTGGTTATCTACCACAGCAACCTCTGTCCTAAAGCCAAACTTTAATCCTCACTGGCCACCTGGTCTAACAGTTAGAGCCGCTCGATCATGTCAAAAATTGAAATCATGATAAATTTTATTTGATCCTGTAAGTGGAAAAAAATATTCTTTCCTTGTTTACGAAGGAACTGTCTGTCTAACTGGACAATATTAATTTTAAAAAGCAAATGCTCTATGACAGTGTTTAAAGGGTCCATGCATCAATTCTTAACTTCACTAAGAGTTTTGACTTCATTTTGATGATGAGGATGCTCTCCAAACTATTCAGCCTTTTCAAACCTGCGTCTTTATAACATCACCAATTAGGTTATGTTTTATCGTTATATGGAGGGCGCTTGTTCATACTCATGATCTCTACAGCCACTCTGCCGTCATGCGTACGCTGTTCCTTAGCTTTTACGGACACACACACACACACACACACACACACACACACACACACACACACACACACACACACACACACACACACACACACACACAGACGCATATGCAGACTTCTGCCTCCTCTCACTCCTCCCTGCTCTCCTCTCTCCGTCTGTGGCTGCAGGATAGTTTGTACTGCTGCGGCGGGTGGCTGTCTGACATAAGTCGGGTCCTGCTCAAGGTTCCTGCCCGCTAAAGTGAAGTTTTTCCTCGCCACAGTCACTCGTGTTGGATGGGATGGGTCAAATCTTTCCCATTTTAAGGTTCGGTCTTTGTAAAACATCAAACAATGAACGTAGTCTACACCTGCTCTTTTGGAAAGCATCTCGGGTACAGACTGTTATGATTTGGCAATATATAAACAAAAATTAATACATGATTGGTTGATTACCTCCGCCAAGGAGGTTATGTTTTCGGTAGCGTTGGTTGGTTTGTCTGTTAGCAACTTTATGGAGAAAGTAACAGACGGATTGACCTGAAATTTTCACCAGAGGTGCGCCTCAGCCCCAGGAGGATCCCATTAAATTTTGGTGGTGATCCGGACAAAATTCTGGATACTGTGATCCAGAACACACAAAAATAAGGGTGTCGTTGGAATTTTCAATGCTGAAAGATAACCAATGGGTGGCACAGTGGTGTAGTGGTTAGCACTGTCGCCTCACAACCAGAAGGTCCTGGGTTTGAATCCTGGTCAAGGCATTTCTTGTTTAAGGGGGGACATGAGCTGCTTGGCGGAGGTCTGCGCTCTCCGAGTGCTTTTCTAGTTGTAGTATACAATACGTTGAAGATACAGAATCAAATCGGTCACTTCCTCATGCTCTCAAACTGAACTCAGTTGGACCTTCAGTAAGGTTACTCACTCATGAAATTCATCTGGAGCATTTGTGAGAAATTGAATGCATTTTTTTGGTCTGGTTTAAAGTTGAAGTTTGGGTTGTATGCAATTCAACCTCAGTAATCACAAAAGCCAGATTTTTTCTCTCCTATCATTTGCATTTTGGTTTTGTGTGCAAGTCGGCTGTCTGGACAAAGCCTTTGCAATTGGCCCTAAAGATGTGGTTTTCATAGTTCTTGGGCTGTTTTCTCTGCAGCTGAGGAATAACAGAACAATCAAATCTTCACATTGAGGTTGGAATTATCATCAAATATTTTGCAAGTTTGCTTGAAGACATATCATTTGTGAAATTATTAATCACTCATTACAAGCATTTTCCTACAACAAATAATAGATCACTGTTATTTCTCTTAAGTCCCTCAAATTAATAATCCATAACCGTTTTTACTGTGTTTGCTGTGTGAGATTAACTAACTTTAGGCAAAGAAAAAAAGTCATTACTAAATTGTTCTCCTCATGTACTTGGTGGGATCATAGAGAGGTTGTAAAGTGGTTCACCTGGCCCAGAAGAGTGTTTAATTACATGACTGAAGTGTTGCTATGAGAGCATTTCAACTCTTTACTCGTGAGTCGCTTGAACACTGCCCATTTGGAACAAAAGGTCTGACTGTATGCCAGGGAACTGTTCTCCCACAAAACTTCAACAGCATTGTAGACACCACAAGCTTATTCACACCTCAGTTGTCAAAGTTTGGGCATCACTGCCTGATTTTAGATGGCCAAAGCAGTGTTCCAATCAAGTCCATGAGGTTCAAGTTTTAGCAGACTGAGTGTTCAAAGATGTCCTTTCACATTTCTCTTTTTTTCTGTGGGCGTTAAACTTTGTTTCCTGTGTCTGTTTATCCACTCTTGCATAAATACATCTCTTTGGTCTATCTTTTATACTTAACAACACCAATAAAAAGAAGAAGCAAACATTTTTGTTCTCGAGGTTAATGTTGACCATCTGGATGCTTAAGGCTCCTTATATTAGATATAAGGTTATGAGCTCTCAGGCCTATTCTGGTCAACAAATTTTTGTACTGATGAAACATGCATCATCACTGCTGTACTGTACTTTCTTTTCATGACTAATTCTGATGTAATCCTTTATGTTTTTTTAATTAGAGGGCTTAAGATGGGTGAAGCGGCCGCCTTTTTCATGCTGGAGACCTGAAATCTACTGCTCTGCTGCTGCTTGGGACCTCTACCACCTCCACCCCACCCATGACTTTCTACAGTGTATGTCTCTACTTTTTCATATTCACACGTATTTACTATTAACCATGCCATTTATCAAGATTAACGTGTCAACTTTAAATTCAAACAGGATTTCGAATTAGATGCTAATTTGCTGTAAAATTTGAAGTGGGAAATGTTAAGTAAAGACTAGACGATCCAATATTGATATATTGGTCCAAAATCAGCAAAAAAAAACAAGTATCGGCTTATCTCGGCCTGCATCTAAAATCTCCAATACCAGCACTCCGATACATGCAGTCCAGGGTTTCCCCTACATGCTATTGATCGTGGCGCACTGCTAAATGAAAGCGGCCTTAAAATGAGGTGTTTTCTTACATGGCTCTACCTTGAACCAATATGTATCCAAACGTATCCAAACGTGTGGCGCACCACAGAGCATGCGCGCCGAGTATTAGCATAAGTGAGTTATTGTCGGCCATTACAGCAGATTACTAAGGTACTAACAAAGGAGCAAGGAGTAGACTGTGTTGCAGAATTTTTTGTTTAAGTCCGAAAAAGACTTTGCAGCTGAGTGCACTTGTCATGCACAATTTTGTGCCAATATCCGATCAATATCTGTATCGGCCAATACTGAAGGTTTTAATATTGGTATCATATCGGAAGTATAAAGTTTTATCGGGACACCCCTAGTAAAGAGACGTTCCTCTCAGTTTTACAATATTGGCCTTTTATCAGCTCATATTACTGTATCTCATAATACAATATGATAGAAATGGATGCTGAAGTCTAAACATCTCTAAACTCAGTGAGTAATTTGATGTCTAATGTTTGATTTTAAATTTGGCTTCAGATTATTGGGTTTATTTTCCCCCAGATAACTGACTTAGATGCTTCAGATACTCTCAACATTAAAAGATTAATTATGGCTTCAAGGGAATTCAGTGAAAACATTTAAGTCTAAATATTCAATGAATCTTGAACCACAGTGTTGATATTTCTCACTGCATCAGTTGCCAAAAAGAGGTTTCAGGGTTAAAACCAAAATGCTGCTTCTTCTACGCTGGTTTACCTCTTTGTGTTTCTCATCTCACAGCTTAAAGTGGTGTTGACGCTAAAAACTGTTGTTTTTCAGAACCCGCTGACCAGTGTGCCTCAAACTCTGTAATGGAAAATCGTGGTGAGTACCATACTGCCTGCTGTGGTTTTGTTAAATGCAGTGTTAATGCTGTTGAAAGAGCTGTAGATCCACTCATCCACTGTGTTTATGGAGGCCTGTCTAGTCTTCTGTGCGTTTTATGAGCCACTTAGGAACCAAGCCATACATCTTCTGTCCTCAAAGCTCGGTCATGCACTGTTTATCTGGGAGGAATATGTGTTTGCAGATCTGTTGTGTCATTTTTACCTTTCTTGTCCATATTTGACTTGGAGATGAAATGTCTGCTGGGCAGGAGAAGGAAGTGTGACCTCGATTAAGTGTAGTGATTTTCTTTTTCAGTCACTCTCAACTCAAGTTTCCTAGTTAATAAGTTCCTTTTTGTAAAACCATTTAGCCTAGAAACATAGGACTTCCTGAGGCCACTTCACAATAAAAGCCATTCGTCAGCAACATGTTAGACTGAATTAAAATGTAAAAAATAGAGCTATCGAAGGATTCATTTCTTTAATCCTACATAATCACAATTTCCAAAGTTAACCCACGATAAATCACAAATCAGTCACTCATTTTTATCTGTTGTGAATATACTGTCAAGTGTTTTTAACTCCTAGCAACATAGGCATGGGCGTGCCTGCTTTATGCAAACATATGGTTATCGTTGCAACAATCCAAAACACTGACAGACACTATTCAGAAAATCCCCGGAATAACCTCAAAGGTACTAAATACTTAAATGTGACTTTGTAGTGTCCAACTGTACACTTCTAAAGGTTAACAAGGCACCCTCAGTTTTTCAAGCAGCTCATCACAACACAAACAGACCTTATGCACTAGCACACACATTGTACAGCAAGTGCATTGGTGGGTTGCATTTTCCTTCCCCCAAAGATCATTCTCTGGATCCTTGTGATTGCATCTTAGCTCCACAGGGGAAAATATACTGTAGGCCATTTTGGATAGTTTGCAATGGAGACTCCTGCACAACTTTTGCAAGGGGAAGGAGGGCTCTCTGTATCACCTGCGTGCTTGGCCAGCAAGTGGTGTTAGGAACATACTTCAGCGGTTACTCAGTTCACATTAACAGGAAATGCAAATAACTCCAGTCTTGTTGACAGAAGCATCCAGCAGGGCTCTGAAGCTGGGCCTGTCATTTAAAAGACCTGTTTCTTTAGCCATTCCTGTTTAAGGAGTTCTGTTTTTGCTTCTCTTGAACAACTTCTATATCACTATTTAGCTGTTAGCAAAAAGCCCAGGACAGCAGGTTAACATCGAAGAGTTACAGACAACAGGGTGGATATTTCCACATGGTCTATTTTAGCGCCCAACCGATTTATTGGCGAGCCGATTAAATCGGCCAATTGTAGCCCGTTTGAGACTAATCGGTAATCGGCCAAAACTTGCCGATTGTTGCCTATATTTTCAGAAATAAAATGCGGAGAATAAGATTTGATTTCACTTCGAAAATGTTCCACCATTTGAAAAGATCCCCCACTTATCCTGTAGATGGCGCAGCAACCTCATGACAATCTTCATCCACTGACTACCTCACAGCACAGCAGAGTGACGGATCTGAATTAGTCAGCTCAGAGACACACGGAGGAGAGTGGTCTGCCTCAACAGTAAATAAACCAGTTTGTGAAATAATACACAATAAGTCAACAAGTTTCAGTTCAACCCACTTCATGATGTTCCCCGTGGTGCTGGTCTCGGTCACGCCGAGTTAACGGTGAAGCACCATGTACTATGCGAGCTAAAGTTAGAGTTAGCCACCTGCTATTAGCCTTGCTACACTGTTAGCCATGTCAGTAACGGTAGATTAAACAACAGTACACATTACATGATCGAGCTACTTCTCTTACTGAGGCAGCTGCATGTCTCCAGAACGTGAGTTAAATCGCTGAGGCACCGATTGGCGCGGGGGGGTTGAAAACGCTTTTCTGGTCTGAGTTTGATTCATGATAAATATGTGGAATATTACTGAGGTTAATGTTACTGAGAAGTGTTTGAAAGGCTCAGAAGCAGCCATTTGTTAAAAAATTAGTAAATACGTTGATATATTACTTAAATTAACAAAATTTTGAAACTTCATTAAAAAATTAAACAATCGGCTGATTAATCAGTAATCGAATTTTTTCCTCCCTAATAATCGGTATCGGCATCGGCCCCTAGAAATCCATATCGGTCGGGCCCTAGTCTGTTCTGCAGAATGTATTACTGACCATCAAATTCCAGGTCTCCACCGTGTAAAACTCACAAATCACACATGACAGTTAGAATTCAGGCACAACCTGCACTGTCTCGTCATTGATGAGAGTTCTCCCTTTGTTTGAGCATAACAACATTAAGACTTACAAGAACTAAGCAGAAAGACACCTCCTGTGGCACTATTTGGTACTGCAGTCATATCACATCTTACAGACCTTGCTACAGCAGGCCGCTGTTACAAAGACTGTATACATCTGTAAAAATTAGAACAGCATTTTGTGGGATTTGCTTAAATGTGTTATTAAGATGTGAATTCTGACAGACCCAGAAGAAAAACAATTGTTGTCTTGTAGTTTTCAAACTATCCCTTTTCAGCTCGAGGACTCTTCCTGCGTTAACCTTGGCGCCCCCTGTGGACAAAGCTGTCATTGTCTCCCTTGTCTTTTACATGGTCAAGTAGTGTCTTTGTACAAGAATTCTCGTCCTTCTGAAGTTTGACAGTTAAAGATGTATTTGTGTTTATTGTGAATATTTGTAAAAATGATAAAAACATAGCTGTTCTTTTTGGCTGGTCATACTGGTTTCAGGGATTAAGAATTAATTGAAAAAAAAAAATTGTTAAAAAAAAACAGAAACGTTATATATTTTTATCAATCTTATCGCTGATGGTCTTGCTTTTTTTGTTTATCTTAAAAAGGCATCAATATAAACACAAGAGCCATAACTTTCGTTGAAGGGTAATGCTTCCTAGTCACCAGAGGGCAGCCAGGAGTCATTTTGGCAGCGGTTACAGGTGTTTAAAGTTCAGTGATTATTGTATCAATGATGCTGCTGGGTGAGGAAACAGTTTTTGACTGTGCTCTGATTTACGATTATGGTTGTATTTTGTGGTTCATGTTTATTGTTGTCAACATCTGTTTCATAGAAGGGATGAACTATAAAACGAAATTGCGAAAATAAAATAACACGCATCTTAGAGATAAAAAGACAGGGCTTCATTATTTTTTGAGTACATGTCCAAACAATAGGCCCATTAATGGCCAGTAGTGGCTTTAGTATAGAACTTGTCACTAAGATATATCTCAATGTGTTTCATAAATATTGAAAAACTCCTCACAGGAGTCTGGTCCTCATATGGGCTAAGCTAACCAGCTGTGTTAAGCTAGCTGTTTTTCCGTCTGGTACTAAGCTAACTAACTTTTTAACTCCTTTTTGTCACTGTTACGACATGAAAGAAGTTCTGATCTCAGCAAGAAAGCCATCTGTGGTGTGCTGCGAGACAGCAAACAAACATTTGGAAAAAAATTCTGCTGTAAATGACCATTTTTACCCTTCAGCCACTCAAATATTTATATCAATCAGCTGTTTGAAACTAGACTCTCCTGAGACTCATGTTCAGTCATGAATGAGACTGGAGCAGTGATACACAGCGTTGTAGCACCTTCCACTCGGCCTGCTCTGTACTTGTTCACTTCAAACAGGGCCTTGTGTGTACACTTATGTGTGTACCTGCCCCCATCTGCTTGCCTGCTGAAGGGGCCTGGCCCAGTCTGTTATCCAGGTCAGGCCAACAGGTTCTGGGCTCGTGCAGATTGGCTCAGCTCTCTCTGGAAACGGGCCCGTTGTGGAGTCTTTATGTGGAGCACAGCGAGAGAAAAGGAACGCAGCCGAACACACTAGCTCTCCATCTTTAGAAACAAGTGGAGATGCAGCCAAACATTCAAAAAGCTCTGATCTACTGGGCGTAATGACACAGGTCAATGCTCTGGATTTCTCTGTAGAGCAGTTGGACAGAGTTATCTGAAGACAGACAAACCTCAAAAGGAATCAAAGCGCCAATTCACCAGTCCAGCTCTGACTCACTTGTTTATCTAGTTAAAGAAACAACTCTCGTTTTCTCTCCTGCACTGCAATTCATGCACCGAACAGGGCAGCTCATCCGTGCTAGCATGTTTCAAAGCCTTGCTAATGCCTTCAGCAGTGTTAAGAGACCTGAAGATGTGCATATTATTGTGTCTGGGGAGGCATTAAGAGAGGTGAGCAAAAGAACAAACACTCTGTCAGCTCTTAATGGCCAAAGTGTTATATTTGTGTGCATACAGGCTATGAGAACAGCAGCATATGTCTGAGTAACACCTCTTCCTGTATGTCACTCAGACCTGTGATCCCTCTTGCCTCAGTTAGTCGAGTGTTAAACAGCTGTTAATCCGCTAAGGATCTTGTCTATTGTTGATGTATAAGTGCTACAAAATTGACCCTCACACAGCTACTATTTATCTTGTGTAACATTGTCATGACTAAAGGTGTTGATAGAGTCCTCCGCCATTTCTCTGCACCCCATTTTCTACTGTAAAACTAAACTTTGGTGTTTGTTTGCCGAGCTGGGTGCAGTAAACCTATCCAGGCTTATCCAGAGACTGCTTGTATCTCTGTCTTCTGTTCTTGATATTTTTTTTTGTTGTGTGGAAGGCAAGAAAATACTGATACAAGTGAGTGCAGCAGGTTATTACGCTGGCATGCAATGTGATCTGAGCTCTGAGGTTTTAAATTTGTCTCCTGCTTCAATGTTTTGATTGTTGTGTGCAGCCTGTTTCAGACTGTTTAGATCGAACACTTCATTGTTCTCTCAAAAACCACGGCGCCACAAAGCATACATTTCATAGCACATACATTGTTGGATGCATACATCACTCTGCGTACTGCCGCACACACATCAAATTAAAAACATAACTCGTCCTCCTCCCAGGAATGGTAGGCATCTTTGAGTGAATGCTGACCTGTGCTGTGAGCCAAGGAGGGAGGGTCAGCAAGCAAGAGGGAGAGGGAGAGGGAGAGGGAGTCCAGCTCCTGGAGGGAGGGAGCGTCTTAAGGAGATTGGGAGAGGGAGAAACAAGGGAAGGACTGAGCTTTAATGCGTAGAGGAAGAGTTGATGAAAGAAACACAGAAGAAGAAAAGACACATAAGGACCGGGGAGTGCGTTGAAGAAGAAGAAGGGTGGCAGGTGCAACGGCTGATCCGACCGCCGTGAAGCACACATTCCTGGTTGCAGGACAGGTAGAGGCCCCTCGGGGGCTGGATCATGGGACAGATCCTTCGTGTGGAATCCCAAGCTCAGGACCCACAACAACAGCAACAACAAGAACAACACAATGGCGGTGAGTTTCTAGACTCACTCATGCACTCTCTGTATACTTGATACAGTTGTGCATTCCTCACCGGCAACAGACCGAGCACGATTAGTCGACTATTTTTCCATTTTTTTCAGAAGATCAAAACAACCAGGAGATATGAGCATTTCAGACTGTATGTGCTGCTCTATGAACGCAGCACTGTGCCCCCCCCCACTTTACTGTTAGCTCACAAAGAATGTTGAATCATTGGGATCACGTGGATGAATCTCAGCTACATGTTCACACACTCATGCCTCTGTTTCATATTAACTTTGTATGTTGGAGTAACTACCTCAGCCAAGTAGATGTTTAAAAACATTTGAGTGATTGAAGATCAAAAGTTTGTTGGACTTGGGGAAGTTGAACAGAGTCAGTCATTTAAAGACTGAAAGACTGCTGTTTTAAAGGAGCGCTCTCTGTCGTGGTGTTGATTTGGTGTGCCATAACTACGCTTTTGTCAGAATGGTTAGCACAAAACACTTTCCACTAATGCAAGTTTTCGTAATTATAAAGTCTTTTTCTGTTGCCAGTTCACTGGATTAGGATTTATAAACTGGCCTGGCAAGGGTAAGGTTTGTAATGAGGTTGGAGGTATTTCCAAACCACTGCACATAAGTGATCCAGTCAGCTGGGTCCTTAAAAACAACAATCTCCTTTAACCACATGTTCACCTGACCGGGCCTGCCATGACTCATTGAATCATGAGGTTAGTGGGAAATCTGGCCCCTGTGGGACAGGCCTGTAAGAGGGTGTGTGAGGGTACGTCAACAGGACACACACACATAAAGCCCCCCCAATGTTTCCTGACTGGTATGCGTTATCTCTGTGTAGCCCCTGATTACAGCAGGGTTCTGGTTTTGTTCAGACTAACAGGATGTTGGTATTGATCTGGAAATTCAGTCAGATTTATAAATTTCACTCGTTAGTGACAATTCTGTCTCTTGGCCCTGCAGCTCAGTACTTCCATGGTACAGTGCAGTCTGTTTAGAGTGTGAGGGGAAGAGGTTGTCTTTGTTCTAGGTCACAGAATCAGGGTGGAGTGTCGTTTCCTCCCTGTGTTTCCAGGCTGCCCCCCCCCGCTCCATAACTCATGTACTTTTTCTCTCTTTGTCGTCCTCTTTTCCCCTTTACTCCCGTTCCCAGACCCTCAGTCACACTCAGCTGTGGTGCCACCGCATATCGGACATCTGAAACAGTAACACAGTATTAGAGACTTGTGTTTCAGTGCTCACGAAGAATAACTTTGAGGGGACCCAGCTCTCTTGAATGATATATTCATGTTGGATGTACTGTGCTGTTTGTAATTTCTTCGGATTTTGGGGCTGTTGGATTGCCACCTTTTGAAACCAGGCATCTCTGGCTAATGTACAAGCCTTCGAAGGATCTGTGCCGTCATCTTGTTCAAATAGATGCCTGCTGTATGGGCTGAGCCCTGTGCTATCATCATCTCTGCAGTGCTCTGGAGTGTGCGGGCCTGGCACAGGCAGCTCTTATCCTGCTTCACTGGCTTCAGCTGAGCCACTGTGTCAGCGGCTGCTGTGACAGAGCAGTCTGTCGTGTGAGAACCTCAGTTCTGGTTCACAGGGAAGCTGCCTGGAGCAACTCTTAATCTGGATGTTATGGCAGCTGGTTTGAATCCTCAGATTTCTACTTTGGCAAGATAAGCTGGATTTTTATGGTGTGGACATGTTGCTTGAACCTGGACCCTCTCTGCTGTAGATTTGAGCTTTCAAGACTTATCTGTTGGAATCATAAAGGATTGTTGATTTTGGCTTTTCTGAATGCTCCCTGCCTCCCTATGGCATGCTGCTTCAAATCCCATCACCATGGAAGCTGGACCCTTAACACGCCTCTCTCAGGTAGAGAAATGTGTGTTTTTTAAAAAGGCTTTAAAAAAATCGAACCCTTCAGAAAGTCATAAATTCCCATTTTTGAACCAGACACAAAGTTTGAGTTTAAGAGCATGAGTTCTGCTCAGGGCTGTTTTGGACGTTTCAGCAAAAGTTGGGCTTTTTGAACACAATGTGCACTCAGTTCAAATTTTACCCCACCAGCAGTACTGACTGAGGTAGCATCAGTTCAAGACTCTGCCCTTCAGCTGCAAAACTGGGTTTGAATCCTGTGTCAGCAACCGTCCACTATGCTAAAATGTCCCTTAGCTAGAAACTGAAACCTTGCCAGCTCCAGGGGCACTGGTCCTCAGCTTACTCTAAAGCCCTGAAAGTTCATTTCTGTCCAGGAATTATATTATTGTTATCATAATCATGCTACTTACTGTATCGCACTTTCTGCGTGTCACATCAGAACTGTAGGTATTGTGTGGGGGCATATTGTTGTGGGACTCAAACTGCGAGGCATTGTTGCTGTCAAAACTTCCTGTTTTTCTCTGAAACGGAATGTTTCAAATTGGAGCCCATTCTTCCTCAACTTTGTAAATATTATGTCTGCAGAATTCAGCAGCTGCAGTTTAAGAGAGTCAATGTTTGAAACTCTCTCTGAGCTCAGCACCCAGTCAGGTGACCTGTCATTCAGGTACACGCTGAATTTGTTACCCTGAATGCCACTGAATGGAGTACTATAAGCCTTAATAGAATCCCACAATGACATGTGTTATTTCCTCCATGATTGTTAGCAGTACATGTGACAGCTGAAAGTTTTTCCTTCCACTGCGCCTCCATCTATGCGTGAGCCTGTGCTCTCTATAGAGGCATTGAGGGCTGAAAGGCTGATAAGGCACTACTCTCCATCCAGCCAAGGAATGTGAGCACTTGACAGCGAGAAATCCTGGCCGAACGCCAGCATCAGACCTCTTCTGTTAACTGTGGATTTGTGGAGGAGTCCATGAGCTCTCAGCATCACCCTGCCAAAGCACACTGAGTCCCCGAGAACCAACAGCTAAAGATAATAACGGCTCTAATGAGCACGGGCCTGTCTTAACAAAGATCTTCACACAGAGTATTGAGACCACGGATGGATCCATACTGAGGAGCTTTTAAAATATCTACCTTGTTCAAAATTGTGTAGCATCGTGCAGATATGAAAAAACTAAACAGATATTCTCTGTTATTGTAAACATTAGCACTGTACAAGATCTGAGAATAGTGACACATAAGGTGTTGCCAGTCCTGGTGCCAGGAGGAAGTACCTGACCAGACCTGGTTTTAGCTTATTTACTGTGTACTTCAATGAATGAGTCTGAATGAATGAATGAATGAACGGCATAATGACTCAGCTTAACTCAGCTCACTGTTAATTATCATTCATTTAATGAGCCTGCATACAACTAAACAAAATGACATCAGTGCAGGTAAATAACTATCAGGCGGATAACACAAAAGCAACAAGACAAACATAACAACACAACACAGGACAAGACTGTCAGGTGGTTTTATGGTGCAAACATGCAACCCACAACCACGCCTCTTAGACAAACTCTGATCTGTTTTCATGGTTAAAAGAAAGTTAGTGTGGGAGCACCCAGTTTGTAACTCGTGTTCTTGTGAAGTTTTAAGAGGGATTCAAAATAGAGTCCTCTAGTTACGAAAAGAAATAATGCAAAAAACATCAATGTTGGGACTGTCTGTCCACTTAATTACCTCCGCCAAGGAGGTTATGTTTTCGGTAGCGTTGGTTTGATTGTTTGTTTGTCTGTTAGCAACTTTACGGAGAAAGTTACAGACGGATTGACCTGAAATTTTCACCAGAGGTGCATCTCAGCCCCAGGAGGATCCCATTAAATTTTGGTGGTGATCCAGACAAAATTCTGGATGCTGTGATCCAGAGCACACAAAAATAAGGGCGTCGTTGGAATTTTCAGTGCTGAAAGATAACCAATGGGCGGCACAGCAGTGTGGATAGGTGGCACAGTGGTGTAGTGGTTAGCACTGTTGCCTCACAATCAGAAGGTCCTGGGTTTGAATCCCGGTCAGGGCGTTTCTTGTTCAAGGGGGGACATGAGCTGCTTGGCGGAGGTCTGCGCTCTCCGAGTGCTTTTCTAGTTGTTACTATGAAGATTAGTTTTGTTATCGGCGATTATTTTACTGCTCTAGATATTATAAATGTTTAATGATAGGCATGTTAGAACACCTTGAGGCAGCCGTAATGAACCTGCAAGCTTTTGAAATAGTTTAATATTGGCTTCATAAAACAATAATTTGACTGTATAATATGAGCTTTTTTAAACTGATAGCTCCCTTTGTCTCCCCTTGTCTAGAGGGGAACAGCCCAATCTTTCCACAGTTGGAGCGCCTGCATCATGGGTTAGGATATCCATGTAATTCTTGACTTTATCACTGTTTTTATTTTAGATGATGACGCTGAGCAGCGCCACAGCACAATGGTGGGAGAGGGGGGCAGTACAGGGGACAGCACCCCAAAGCGCAAGGGCAAGTTCTCGACCCTCGGCAAGATCTTCAAGCCGTGGAAGTGGCGGAAGAAGAAAAGCAGCGAGAAGTTTAAGGAGACCTCAGAAGGTTTGTAGTGTGAAGAGCAAGTGAACCCCCTCTTTTTCTCACTAGTCATACTGAAAGTATTAAGCTTTCATCAGGAATTCTCAATGTATGCATTCCTGCTACAAACTGCAATGGTTCTTAATACTCTCCTCTAAGGTTTAGTGCAAGCTTTAAACCAAATATCCTCAGCTCTTAGCTTGAAGCTTTGCATGTAGAGCATGAGATCACATGCTAAATGAACCCATTTATACATGATTTTTTTCCCCTTTTGGAGCGTTTAAAAAAAATAAACAACTACTACAACAATTCCTGTGCAAACTTCTTTTCTGTTTATTTTTGGCAGAATTGGAGAGGAAGATGTCAACGAGGCGTACGCGACAGGAGCTCATAGAACAGGGAGTGCTGAAAGAGGTCCCGGACAACGGTAAGGATGTGTCTGCAGTTCATCTGATCTCTCTGCACAGCAGCGTCTGTATCCGACAGCAGAGGCCCCAAGGCCATCACACCCACACAGGCAGCACAGTGAAGTCATCAGTACATTACAGCAGGAACACTGTCCTCCTAACCAGCAGGTGTCAGAGACATATTTAAAAAGGCAAATTTACTTTCACCTTGCTGTGTTTCAAATAATATCTTGCTAAAATGGCACGCCACTCTCTGGAGCTCGGGGAAAGTGGAACAAATCGTGCCCTGCAGTGAAATGGCTCTGAGAGAGAGGTGTGCAAGTGTAGTGCTGGCCCTGATGTTGCAGCAGCCCATGTGTACCTGCAAGTGTTCACATAAACAAGACTGTCCACTGGGATTAGTTAGAGGCTATCTTTTACGAATAAAACGTTGTATTTATAAGCGCCTTTCTATGGCAGGGTGTTAGGGCCACATTAAGAAAAAAATTAAGACTTTGAGATTAATTTACAAGAATAAAGTCATTACTAATGGGAATAAAGTCGTAATAAGGTAATATTTATAAGAATGAGGTCGTAATAAAATCATTACTTGCAAGAATGAAGTTGTGTTTACATTGTTACTTAAGAGAATGAAGTCGTAGTAAAGTAATCACTTAAGAGAGGAAAGTCAGAATTAAGTCCTTATATTCTAACCTGTTGTTTAAGATGACAGGAGTTGAAATGAGAGCCATAGAGCATTTCCTGAAAATGTACTTCAATATAGGTTTCTCAAAGAAGGATCTTTTGGCACATCAGCACCACATTATCAACAGTATCATAATGATTCTACTACGACTTTTATTCTCGTAAGTAATTACTTGATTACTACTTTATTCTTTTAAGTAATGATTTTAGTATGACTTTATTCTCGTTAGTGATGACATTATTCTCGTAAATTAACAACTTTAATCTCAAAGTCTAATTTTTTTTTTTTTCTAAATGTTGCCCTAATACTCCTAATACTCCGTCATACCTTTCTGAGCACTCAAGGTCATAGAAATAAAAATAGGAGCATAAACAGTTTACAATAGTTACAATAAAGATAGCTCTCGTTGTTAAATAATCTGTTTTACATACTTTTGTGTAAAAACAATCCAGTATTTATTACCTCCGCCAAGGAGGTTATGTTTTCGGTAGCGTTGGTTTGTTTGTTTGTGAGTTTGTTTGTCTTTTAGCAACTTAACGGAGAAAGTAACAGACGGATTGACCTGAAATTTTCACCAGAGGTGCGTCTCAGCCCCAGGAGGATCACATTACATTTTGGTGGTGATTCGGACAAAATTCTGGATACTGTGATCCAGAACACACAAAAATAAGGGTGTCGTTGGAATTTTCAATGCTGAAAGATAACCAATGGGCGGCACAGTGGTGTAGTGGTTAGCACTGTCCTGGGTTCGAATCTACGTCAGGGCATTTCTTGTTTTAGGAACATTATGAACAGTGAACATACCAGTTTAAACACAAATAAACATTAATAAAAGAAACGTAACAGTAAAAGTTTTGGTGTGAATCACAGTATAAGGGGGGACATGAGCTGCTTGGCGAAGGTCTGCGCGCTCCAAGTGCTTTTCTAGTTTAATATGCAATGAGTCCAAAAATGATCAAAAAGTTCTTAAAAATGTGCTCAATGCAGCTTCCTGCCTTTTGAAAGATTCATCAACTAATTGTAGGGCTGCAGTAATCCGATATGTCAATCAAGTATCCTCTTGATTATTATGGAAATTAGTAATCTGAGAAAGCAGTTTTTTAAAATCTTTTTTACTATGTACCTTTGCCATCACTGCTGTAACAACAAAAATTTCTCTGTGGCAGTAAGAGTACAGTAAACGCTAATTACCTGTGAGAGCACACATATCCCAGCCATCCCTAACTATGTCGATGGCACAGTTTTACCACCCCTGCCAAAAAGTCTGGACATGCCCCTGCAGAGCAGCACAGAGGAAACATCTGGGATCAAGTTTGCCCTAAAAGGCTGCAGGAAAACACTCCCTATTGATTGTTAAAGAATGAGAGGAAACATAAGCAAACTTCATCTCTGTCTGAGAAAGACAGTAAAAAGGTGACTCCCGTACTTAGAAGATGATTAACAGCCAGCTGATGCAGAATACAGGAGTGACACCAAACCGCAGCATGCATGCATGATTTAAGAGGAGAATAATGAGGAAAACAAACGTGTCTTCTCTGTCACTAAAGGAGTATTTACAGTATGATCATTTTGTTTCCTTGCTGGTAAGTGCTGATCATGAGGCATGTAAGGCTGTTCATAGTTGTTATACAGCCAGAGTCACATGCACAGTGTACAAAAAACAGCGAGTTGTATAGTCTGGATTTAAACAAAGGCTTGAGGTAAATAATTTGCCCAAAGGCTTTTTTAAAATGGAGTAACTCGACTTATTCAAGGGATCGTTTCAGCCTTAATGGTTTCATAACTTATTTAGATCATCCTTGTTCAAGTGGAAAGAGACAAAAAAGACTTAAGTGTTCTTCAAAACCAAACAAAGACACCGTCAGTTCAAAAGACTGAATAATTTAGGTTGAATAAATATTTAGTATGCTCTCACAGTGGTGGTGCTTTATGAATCAGAAAACCGCTGTATCTGAATCGCATTTCTACTGTCTACTTTTTCAGATGCAGACACACCGACCTCAAAGCAGCCCTACGTGAAGAATGGCCACACTCTGCCAGTGAGCGCTGGAGTAGGTGGAGGTATAAGTGGTGGCAGGAGCCCCAGCAGCCAGGGCAAACTTCCCTCTGAGTCGGAATATAGGATGAACCTGACTTGGCTTACCCAACCAGATGATCGAAGGGGTCGTGCTCCCTCGGACATAGACCGCCGGATAGCTCCAGGCTCCAGAGGCACAGGACTGCATGACGATGGGTGGAGAGGGGGAGGGGGAGGGTCACGTGCACATGTTGAGGGTGAGTGGAAACCTAACATGGTCTGGCAGGGCCAGAATTATGGCCAGATGGAGGACTGCAGACGTGGGGGGAGACTTCACCCAGAGGATGGGCAGAAGAGGCCAGGGCTGCAGAAGGCCCCATCAGAGGATGGCAGAAGGAGTCGACCTGCAGAAGCAGACTGGAAACCAACTTTACCCCGACATGCATCCGCTGAGGAGGGAAGGGCCCGCAGAGGTGAGTAAATCTCCATTTTTCTCTCCTGAGGTTTGACATCCTGTAGTCATGAGACCTCTGTGTTTTCTGTCGCTCTCTCATTTGGAGTGTCAAAGAAGAAGTGTTCATTTGACGACATGACCTTGTTCACACATGTTGATGGTAATCAGCCATTCTTAAGGCTATGTCAAATTTTCATACCTCCTTGCTGCCACTTCCCTGCCTCTGTGCTGTTCTCCTGATATAGACAGGCTGCTGGTGGCTCCCAGGGGCCCTGCTCCAGCTACCAGCTTCTTATTCAGGAACGTAAGGGAATAAGTTGTCCTCCCTTCTCCTCTCCTAATTACTGTGCTGTGATCACTATGCCCATTATTGCCCTTGGATGCTATCACTGTCAACTCAGTGATAATTGGTGAAGAGACAAAGCAGAGTAATTCTGCTGCAATGTTAGTTGTTGTTGAACATCCGTGTTGGATTTTATTTGACACATGAACGTCTTCAATTCTTTTACTGCTCTACTGAACCAAAGAGTGTGAGTAGGGCCAAAGGAAAGTGTTGTGATTAGGCCTGCACGATATATCGTTTGAACATCGTCATTGCGATGTACGTGTGTGCGATAGTCACATCGCAGAGCCTGCGATGTTGGCGGTGAATGAACTCAGTTATTCAAGGGTAGCTGACTGAGATACACTGCATGTGACTCTGCATGTGCTGTGCAGCGATCCACCAATCACCTTCGTCCTTTACTCAGTTGCCAATCAGATTACCCTGCCAGCTGTCAATCAAAATCAGAGAGGAGGAAACCCACCCCTGCACATGTTCTGCACATGGAGTTAGTCGCTGGCTGCTGGTGTTGAGCCGAGAAACGCGTGTCCGCTGAGAATTACTTTCGGAACTTTACTCATGACTGTTAAGCCCAACAAATAAGAACTGTATGGGTTTTAGAATGTATATTTCCGTGGACCACTCTACTATAAGCGGTGCGAGTTTTGCGAGGTGCATGCAATTCTCGGAGGACATGCGTTTCTCGGCACAACACCAGTAACAACAACAACAACGATTGCAAACTGAGAAACACTCAGAGAAAACCACAGAAGATGAAGACTTGTTGCCAAAAAGAAAAGGAAAGTCAGTTATCTGGAATTATTTCGGTAAAAAGAAGGATGATGGCGACCAAAATACGTGTTCTGTGTTCATCTGTCGCCACAATAACCCAGCACAATAAAAGCTAAAAATATCTCTGAGACAGACAGAAGCCGTTCTACTAACATTCACAAAAAGAGGTAAGATCAGAGCAGGTTAACTGTCCTCAAGATTTCAGCAGTGCAGCATAACATTAAGTGCTATTCAGGTCATCTGGTTAAAATTCCTGTGTTTTTAATATCACAATATATATCACAGGGTTGAAAAAAATCGCAATATTATTTTTTTCCAATATCGTGGAGCCTTAGTCTGCACCTGGTCTGAGTTCCACCTTCGAGCGTTTAGTGCATGTGATCTCCGTTCTCATGACGTTTTCTGGCTTTCTCCAGCTGTCAAAGGACACCCCATCGGCTGCCACTCCTACTTTTGACCAACAAACTTGCAGATGAATTGAGATTTTCTCTCATTTTCCCATAATGTGTCTCTGCTCAACTGCTTTCTCTGTCCCACATCACATTTTCCTTTTTCATTCTTGCTCTAAAACTGCATTTCACTCTCCCTCTCCCTCTCCGTCTCCCACTCTCTTTCTATCTTTATCACATCCCCAGCTCACTCTGTTCTACATTTCACTTCCTCCTTTCCTCCAGATTATTTCCTCTTTGGCTGTGTGATGTCACGGCGATAAGAGCCCGTCGGTAAATAAATAACCCTGGGCTTCAGAGCAGCAAGTTTGAGGAATGGCGTGGGAGTTGGGAGCAGCAGTGTGGGAGGATGTTGTGTGGGCAGAAGGATGTAGGTTTTGGTGGTAATTGCAGCCGCCTACTCAGTTTATCTTCACAGCTGATCCCGAGATAATGCAGTTCTCAAACAAGTGCTATCACAGAGAGTGCTAGGAGTGGTGAGGCAGCAGAAAATGGCTCGCTGCTCAGTCCCTGAACTGAAACATTTATAGCCATGTGGAGAGGTATTTCAAAGTGAGATATAATGAGATCACTAATTCAATAATGAAGAAGATAAAAGTGCTTCAACATCTGCCAAGTAGAATATTTTGTTAGTCACACAGCTGGATATGCGTTTAAAAGCACTTCTGGCATTTTTGTTCAACGTTTCTCTGAGTCAGTCCTCGTTTCTTTTGCGGTTTTGTTGGGATGAGCTTAAATGATTTGACTTATTCTCATGATACTTTGGTTCCACAGAGCCAGAGAGCCATTTCATCTCTGACCCAGAAGCCCTACGGGACACCCTGCGTGAACCTCTGCCGCCTAAACAGTCCGTCATGCCTCCGAAATGGCTGATGACCTCACCCGCTGAGCCAGGAAGCAAAGGTCCGCCTCGCACGCCCTCCAACCACCCCACTATCCAGTACTCCTCTCCCTCTGCCACCTCCAAACCTGTTCGATCCGTCTCCTCTGCTGGTGCGTCCACCCAGCAGACTTCATCCTTAGCCCCGACCTCCACCTCTCAGGGCACCAAGCAGCCCCCTCTGCCTCCACCCAAGCCTGTGAACCGGGGCAACGCCCCCATGCTGGGTAAGCTCTGCTGCATAATGTGTTTGCCTCTGGTAACAGGTGATGAACGCTGTCAGCGTGATCAGACGCAGCTCACATCAGCAGTCACAAATGTGCATTATGAACACTCAGATGTCTGCTCAGTTAGCGTGTAGTTCTCCCACTGCTGGAAACAATATGTACATTTATGAGTCAGAGCACAACTGATGGCAAAGAGAATTCACACACACACACACACACACACACACAGATACACACTGCCGTCCTGGTAATGATGTTATGTGAACAGCTTGAGCAGCCTCTCCCCTGCTAATTCCTTATTACGCCTGGACTATTTTAGCTGCAACTTTTCCTCTGCATTTTACACTCTGGAGTTAAGTGGGACTGCTGTGGTTCTGGATGCTGCTCTCACAGACACAGTGCAGTGGTTGCTCTTGTTGTTGTTTATTGTGGGTTTGTCTGATCTGGGCTCTTGCTGTTATTCCCACTTGGACAGAACTGTCTACTTTGATTCATTTTAATCTCATTAGACATTTGATGATTTTTTTTTTTTTCTATTCACTCTAGGTACGCTCTCCTTTTTTCATGCAGAGAGTCGTTTCTGTATGACTGAACCATTAGCATTTCAAAATGTCCTGTTTTTTCTTTACCTTGAGACCCATGTTGGTTACCTTAAACTAGAGATGCACCGATCCGTTTTTTCCGATCCAATCCGATACCTGGCTGAGCGTATCGGCCGATGTGCGATACCGATCCTATACTGCTGTTGAATGAATGAACTGTATACCTCGCCCTGTGAGTGAAGGCATCAGGCTTGACATTAGCTTTGTTAAGAAAAAGGTTACAAATTCACACAGATACAAATTTACTTAATATTATTTATTAACAAATAACAAATTGCACATTAGCGCACAGCAAAAAGAAGTAAGACTTCCATGTAAACATTTAGTGCAAAAGAATAGGCAGACGTAGAATATAGAGCAAACAGAATCACTGTGTTGCTGTGTATGATAATAATTAAAAGAAAAAAAGACTGGAATCTGTCATTCATCAGATACCCGATCCAGTTAATTTGTCAATATCGGAGCCGATCCAAATATCTGATCGGTGCATCCCTACCTTTAAACAGAACCAAATGTAGCCAATTGATGAACAAGAGCAATTTTTTTCAAAACTAAGAGCATGTCTAGCAGATGTCAAACGGAGACAACAAGAATCTTCTCTTGTAGTTTTTGACAGTCTATGGATAAAGCTTGGACTAACCTGTTAAACTAACCGGTGAGAGAAATTGGACTCATGCTGATAGTCAGTTTCTTGCTCACAGTCAGTTAAAAATCAATCAGGCTGATATGGTTCAGAGAAATATGACGCCACATTTTATTCCAGTCAGGTAGGCAGGGTTTGTTACCATTCAATAAAGCCACACTAGCTTTTCCAACTGTTGACAAGAACATCTGTCTGACTTCAGACAATACTGAATGATCTCTTTAAGGGTGGAGATGAATAGAGGACAGAAGATAAGATAAGAAGAACTTTATTTGTCCCCGGAGGAAAATTCAATTCAAAGGGGTGATGTTAGATTTGATTCGGATTTAGGTGAACATCAGCCCCCCCCCCTAATAGTGAATAAAAATAGCAAAACAGTGCTACCTTGTACCTGCTCTGATTAAACACACCAGCTGAAAGCCTCCATCTCCTCCCTGTTAGTCTCCGCCCTGCAGGGGGGAGAGAACGCTCAGCTTCCGCTCTACTGGTCCTGCTGGAAGCGAGAATGTGACTACGATGTCTACCTGTCCCTACCTGTCTACCTGTGCCGGCGGGCTGGAGGCCTGCGCTCAGGTAAAAGGATACCTCCTGGTATCTGTGTGGCCAGGGTGCCAGTGTCTGGAATGCCTCCTTCCCCCTCCTCCAGCTCTCCAGAGTCTACATTCTCCATCATGTCGCCTCCTTTCTAGCTGCTGACATATTTCCCCTAATGCCTATAGCTTGCTGACTGGCTGTGTTTGCTTTTCCTTGTTGTATATAAGAGCCGCATGCACTAAGCTGATAATAAGTGGTCTGTTTGTAAATATATAAGAATAAGAGACAGCAATGATAGTGAGCTTTAATGCTGAGCTCTCTTACTTGGCATATGAATAAGGGGGAAGCCCTCAGCAGGATCCTGCTGTGTCCTGCAATGAATCAAGTGAGTTTATATCTCCTCAGCCTCTGCACAGTTCTCGGTTGGATGGATTAGGGGATGAATAAAAGGATGAAAGGTTCAAGAACCATGACATTAGTTGTTTTAGAAGAGAAAATATTTTCCATGTGAGTCGATGCTCCTGCATGTCTTCAGGCTGATAACACTGATCTGTTTTGATGCATATATTGCATAGCTGTGGCTTAACTTGACTTTCGAGCTGTTTTATAGAACGTTAAGATTTATTTGCCGATACACACGTGCATGCAAATGATTGAAGGGTTTGCATTCAAGTTTTTTTGTCTTGTTTCATTTGAAAGATGCTTTTAACACAGTTTGAGTGCAAGCTAAGTTTTTATCTCTGTATAGCATGTAGGGTGTATGTCTCTCCTTCCCCTCTTTGACCTGGACCACATGCTGCTCACTGGTTTATTAGGGCAATGTGTGCATTCATGTTAACATGGTCATGTGATCGAATATACTGTTCACACTGATGCTTAGCCACTCATGTAAGCCTGGTTATTATGTTTGGTCACATGTAACCCGTCATTTTTGGGTACATTATTCAACTGTATTTCCACGATAGTTGAGAGGCTGTGTAAAATACGGGAAAACGAGAGTTTGTGAATCATTTAAAGCCCTTATGTAATTCAAAATAGTGCAGAGCCAGCACGTTGAAACTGGAAAATTCTGAATTTGATGCCTGCAGCACGTTTAAAGAGTTGGGACAGGGACATATTTACCGCTGTGTTTCCTCACTTGTTCATTTAACAACACTTTGGACAGGAAATAAACAACAGTAATGTCTGGCTAGCATCATGTTGCTCCAAAAGCTGAATATATAGTTTAGCATTGATGCAGTCTTCCTGCAGAGGGACTCGCCCCCCTTTAAAATGCCCTTTTTTGCTCATTTCTGTGACCAACTTGTTCAAATTTAATGTAATTGGTTGGAAGATGTTTTTTATCATTCAGCAGTTTTATGTGAGAGTGTTTTGTGGTCCCTGCTTTAACTGCCTTGAAATGTGTTGCCGGCATCAAATCTAAAATGAGCATCGTTTTTTTTTTCATAAAACAATAAAAAAAATTTTGTTTGGATTTTATTTTAAATTGTACATTTTGAGTGATTTGCAAACCATCAATCTGTTCTTTTTTTCCGGTATTTTACTTATAGCATCTCAAATCTTATTAGAATGAAGTTGTACATGCAGAACTGCTGCACAGACATTGATGTCACATAGAAAATGAAACATTCACTAGGGTTTCGTATAGGTCATATTCATCACCTGTAAACTTAATGGTTTTGGTCATTTTCAGGTGACTTAACTCAAGGAGCAGCAAGTCTTGTGCCAGCCAAGCCGTCTCCACCGATGCCTCCAAAGAGGACTACTCCCGTCACCAAACGCAACACGGATGACCCCTCTGTTTCAAGTCATCCCATCAACCCCTCACCACTTTCCCTGGAAGACCACAGCAACCTCTCTGTCAGCTTCCAGCTGCCTCCCCCTCCCCCGTCCCCTCCCCTGCCGACGCACATACCCCCGTCTCCCCCACGCCAACACATACACACCCACCACCTCCACCATCAGCACTCCTACCCCCACCCTTTGCCTCAGCCCATACCCATGCTGTTTGACCCTCCAAGCCCGACCAATGAGTCTCCTCAGCGGCCGGCTCCTGTCCCGCTTCATATCATGATCCAGAGAGCTCTGTCCAGTCCCGGCCCCGCTCAGCCACATCCAGACGGGTCACAGCGAGCGCACACACTGCTTTTTGAAACACCTCAAGAGTACCAAGGAGATCGAGGTCGTCCTCTGCCGGTCAGCATTCAGCCTCTGAAACTGTAAGTTCCTCATCTGAAAACGAATGAAAGGCTTGTTGTAAAACAAAGCTTTCATACCAGCAATAACAAGGCAGCTTGAAAAGAGGGCATGTTGCTGAAATATGTGAATGATTTCACCCATTCAACTACTGATTCATCTTTTTATGTGTCTATGATCAGCCTCCACAGTAACTCATTTAGCCTTGTACACTTTGTACTCACGGCTGGTGTAAATCTTCCCAGGTCAAAAGATTTCAGATAAAAGCAGAAAGGTGATGGTTGGATTTAAATCCTAGCAAGGCTAACACATGTTAATTGAAGTGTGGATGTATTTTCATTTGATGAATTTGAAACATGTCAGTCTTGTTTTGATTAAAATGTACCTAAAAGTGATCTATGTTGACGATCAATCTGTTTATTTTCCCAATCTGTTAGATCTGAGGATGACTATTCAGAGGAAGAAGAAGAAGAGGAGGAAGATGACGAGGAAGAGGACGCATATGACGGGGAGATTCCGCAGCCAGAGCTGGAGCCTCGGAGTCGCAGATGCTTGGTGGGGGACGCAGGTGTTTGTGTTATCCCAGGGGGAAACAGCAGTGAGGAGGAGGAGGAAGATGAGGACGATGAGGAAAGAGAGCATGACATGCACGGGGACGACAGCGACTCAGAGGGTCCTGTGCTTTACAAAGATGAAGACTCAGATGAAGATGAAGAGGACGAGCCCCCTCCAAGTAAGTATACTCATATTTATGTAAACACAGACGTGGTCTCTTTTTTGTTTGGTTTATCTTTTTTAATTTTCGCTCCTTCACACCTGATCATATCCTTTTTTTTTGGCTGTTATCCAGGTGCTCTGGCCAGCAGGGTCAAGAGGAAGGACACCTTGGCTCTGAAACTGAGTAGCCGTCCCATGGCCCCAGACAGGGACAGGTTTACCCAGGAGAGGAGCAGCAGGGACGACCAGCCCCCAGGACAGACCGGCCTTACCTGGCAGAGCAGGGAGCAGTGGGAAGCTATCCGCACACAAATTGGCACGGCACTCACAAGGTAAAAGCAGCATTGAACAAAGTACACAGCTTCATTACTTTGGTCAAAGTCGTACACATGGAAGAACATCCTGCTTATCTTTATTTTTAGAAAACACTGTTAAAAGTACCTGAACTTCCATGCCATGAACTTCCAAATTTAACAACAAAAGGAACAAACAAAATCAGCTGGAAAAAAGTCAGCCAGGCTTTACTCAGCGAATGGCCGTTCTAGTTTCTTTAACAGCCATTCCAGTATTTGCCGGTGTTGGTTAACAGGACAAAAACTTAGATCAACACGACTCAAAAGCTTCACATGTAGCTCTTAGATATGGCTATGGATGCCTGTTTAAGCTATCACTTCTACTATCATGTACAGGCACAAAAACACAGTTTAAACATCCCCATGCAGAACTACTCAAATACAATTTATTGTCTCCCAGATCTGAATGTAAAGAGGAAATGTCATCACCTGTCCTCTGAGCAAAAGTAACGAGAAAGTTTATAGGAGTATGGCTGGGTCATACAGCACAGTATTTGGGTTTCAGATCTAATGGAGTAAAAGTGATGAATTTTCTCAAAAATAAAACTCGAAGTACAGGCACTCAAAAAATTTACTTACGTACCATACTGACATTTGGTACTCAAGTGACTTTGTTGCTTCCCACCACTGAAAAACAGATATCACTGTGTATAAGTGCGTATTCTAATTCCTCGTACACTCTTTTAACGACAGTCGTCTGTGCAGTTCTTAAAGAAATCAGATCTTTTCTTAGATCCTTGTCCTACTTAATGCCTGAACGACAAAGTGATGAAGCTGTGTAAAAATAGTCCCACTCCCTGTTTTCTTCTCCTTTTTTCCAATTCAGGCGACTTAGCCAGAGACCCACTGTTGAAGAGCTGGAGCAAAGAAACATCCTCCAGCGTGAGTATCAAGTCCCCTTTTCCTTTTCACCATTGTTATCACTGAGCTCACTACTGTCTTCAGTGAAGGTAGATGTTGTTTTTTAATCTTCAACTATTTTTTGGGCTAAAATTAGAAGAGAATTAGCCTATAAATTGTCTATGATATATTAATAATAACATGTTTTACATTCTTCAACCAGGCATTCACAATAGATAATGTGTTAGAGGAGCATATTTGCATGCATAAATATAGCTAGACCTCACACTTACACTAAGACAGTTTGAATCCTGGATTACAGCTCAGCTGTCTAATTTTGGAAACTGCTTTTACTCTACCTTTGGTGAACATCAATCGCAGCTTTCATGCAGCTCCTAAAAAAAGCTGTTTTTTCTCTCCCTTTTTCCAGCCAAAAACCAGGCTGACAGACAAGCAGAGGTCAGGGAGATTAAGCGGCGGCTGACCCGGAAGGTGAGGCAACACATCCTTAGCAGACAACCTAGTGTAAAATGGAGTATGTGCTGGATGTTAAGCTGACATGAAATCTCTGTTTGTTGTAGCTAAGTCAAAGACCCACAGTTGCAGAACTACAGGCAAGAAAAATCCTGCGATTTCACGAATACGTGGAAGTCACGGATGCCCAAGACTACGATCGGAGAGCAGACAAGCCGTGGACTAAGCTGACTCCTGCTGACAAGGTACTCACTCAGTTTGCCATCTCCAGCGAGCACTCAGCAAACCCAGTGAATGTACCGAACACACCTCTTCACATGATATTAGCATCAAAAGTGATGTTAAGCACAGGGTTTCCATTAAGTGAAAATTTAATATGCAGCATCTGTTTCTTATAGGCGGCTATCAGGAAAGAGCTCAACGACTATAAGAGCACTGAAATGGAGGTTCATGAAGAGAGCAGAATCTACACGAGGTATTTCTGCATCAGTTTGACACTGACATTACAGTTCCTCAAATTTCAGTCTTTGTTGATCAGGTGACAGTAAGTGTTCAAAGGGTTGACAGTGTGTTTGAGTCAGTACTATAGCATTTACATGTTCAGTCTGTAGGAGCAACAGCTGTCTGTCCAACTTAATCAATGAACCCATCAATTTTTTAAACAGTGAAATCTTAATCTTATAATAATAAAAGCAAACCAGGATTAGTAGTTTGTTTAATTTCTGTTTTTTAAAGAGTTTAATTTTAGTTTAAAGAGTTTTAAAGTTCCATGAATGCATGTAACGCAGATTTCTGTTCATGATGAATAATCCTGACCTCCGCGAGCAGCCTTTAAATGTATTACTTTTCACTTTACGACTCACTTCTTGACTCCATTTGAAACACAAACCTGTGTGTTGTGGGTCTCACTGGTTAAACATACAGCAGTTAAGATGTCGCCCAGACCAGGCAATCTCATGAAAAATGGCAGCTGACAAACATAGACCACAAACAGCATGAAAAACAGTTTGATTGCATATGCCTCACAAGATATGTTTTTTCTTTTTATTATTCAGGTTTCATCGGCCTTAGACTCCTCCCTCTCCTCACAAAGTGAAGCACTTAAAAAATCTGTGAGTCAAAAAGCTGCTCCCTGTGCAGACAGACTTTTATCTTTCCAGAATGTAATTGTACAGATCATCAGGGGAAGCCTGAAACTAACTGAAAAAAGAGAATGCTTCTTGCTTACCCTCCATCGCCCTCTCGCTACATTGCTTACACTAAATTGAGGAGGTGGTGGATAAGGACCAGATGCAGTATTTCTCCCTGCCGACAGGAGGAACCACGTGCCAATGAAGAGGAGAAGAGGCAGAGAACCTACAGGGCTTACTCTCAGTCTGCTGTTCTGTGGTACCCCTCAGGGACTTGGATCTAGTTACAACCTTTAATGCGGCCTCATTCTGTGTTGCCTTTTTTCTTCTTTACTGTATATGGAAAAGCTCATTCATCTTGTTAATGTAACAACATACAACAATAATAGTAATAATAATAATAATAATGATGATGACTTATAATACTCCACACGGTAATAATAGATAAGAAACAAACAGGGAGAACAGACTGGAGGATGAAGACTGGGATATTCTGCTATAGGACTGGACATCTCTGGGATATTGTGTATGTTTTATAAAACTGTGTACAGACTGCTATTGTTATACTTAAGAATGACATTTGGGAAGATCTGATTACAAAATATTCTGTGATGCACAAGATATTTTATTGTAATTTTGATCACATGAGTAATGACAGATTTTATTTGAGCCTTTTTATGATTTGGCTTGCCTATATTTATGGTTGTGATGTGAGGTGGCCATTAAAGCATCATTTTAGATTTATAGGAGCACGACAGTCAGGAGGCTGTTGGTGAGGGTGGTTTTTTTGTGTGTGCCAACATACCTAATGCCTATAGGACTGGATGATACTGGTTTTGCATACCACTATTTTCTGCAATTCACTGCATGAGCCAATACAGAATTCCAAAGCCACAGGATCTGGATATTCTCTTAATTTATACTTTTTTATGAGTTTTTGTACTTCCCTTCAAAGATCAAACAATACAATACAACGCATTCTGTAGCCATCTAGAAGAAGGTCAAACGTGTTAGTTACATGCAAGTTTTTGTTGGTGTAGATCAGGAAATTGTCCAAAAAATCTGAAAATGTATAAATGGTGGACAGAGAGTCCTCTTGGCTGGAGTCTTTGGAAACTACAGAAGTGTTTTATCATCTATTGTTGTCTGGCCAGTAGCTTACAGGGTTCTCTCTTTATGATGTGTACAGGTTGATAAAGATGTAACTGATGCTTATGTATATCTTGTCTTCCTTTCATTTAAAAAGAAAATGTTAAATATGAAATTAATATAGGTTGCTATTTTTTTAAGCACAAAATATTAGTTAATTCAAATGCTACAAGAATGGGAATATGAAAGTGTACCTTTTCTGTAAAACTAAGCTCATTTTTAATTGAATGTGGAATTGTATGGACTGACTTTCCTTTTTATTTGTAAATAGTCACATCTGGATCTAATTAATTAAACTAATTACAGTTCCTTGAACTCTCAGTGCTAACACTGTGAACCCGCCTCTTTATTCAGTAATCCTGATTCATTTTTTTAACTTTAGTGTAGATTTGTGGGAACATTTCAACTGGAGCATCTGAAGTAAGAAATTGGTGCTGCAGTGCCACTCTGTGGCCAAGTGGGTTTTTGCAACACATTCAGTTATTTTTAAATAAAAATTACTTCTATTGCTAAGCCAGGTGTACGTGGATAATGAAGGAAAACACTCATCTGTGATCAAATGATGGGGTAGAGTGGATTGTTGAAGTTTGAGACTAAAAGATGATCAGGAGAAAATGTTTTAACCAAAATGCAAAGACAAAAAAAAGGTTCCCCCACATTTCCAAAGAGGTAGCGTTAAGAATAAGAATAACTTTATTGATCCCTGAAGGGTAATTCAGTTGTCTGTCGTCTCATTTGTCAAGTCTCTAAAAGTTATCTACTATTTACACAAGAGTTATAAAGTCTGAAGGCTGTGGGTACAAAAGATGTACTGAATCTTTCTGTCCTGCAGCAAAGACAGAGGAGCCGTCCACCACCATTGGCCCTTTGGTCCATCAAGGTGTTGTGAAGTGGGTGATCCATGTTCTTTAGAATAGACTCCACCTACCTCAGTGTACATCTCTCTACCACCTCCTCCACTGAGTCCAGCTTTCACCAGTTTGTTCAGACATCTTGCATCTTTGACCCCTCATCATTATAATTACTATATTTATAATGATAAATGGATTCAACAATCTTAGAAGGAGTGCTGGTAAAACTATGTTCCAATACTGATAAACAGTAAAGTCAGAGCTAATACTGGCCATATATTCAAATCTTAACTATATATTTTGTTAATTCATAGCTTTAAAATAATTATAAAAATGAGTGAGAATTGTTGATCTGGTATGATCAGTTCCACCATTTCATGAGAAACTTGAAGTTAATGGTCTGTGTAGGCCATGGCAAGCCTAAAAGAGTCTCATGCCTGGATATCTATCATAGATAGCCTGTCAGTAATTTAGTTTTCCCCAATCAAATAACAATTCTGACATCCACAATGATGGTCCTACTGAAACAAGTCCTCCTACTTCACTTTTACATTTCTTGTGCGGTGTGCTTTCAATTTTTACACAACAAAAACTTCATTCTACTGTTCTAAATTAAATATTTTAGATATTTGCTACAGAATTCTTCTTTCAAAAACTCATATTTCAGACAGCTGCAGTCCAAATATGAGTCATTATTTCATTAGCATATATCAAAAAGGCATGAAAAATATACTCCATTATGTAATTCTAAAAAAAATAGTCCTAACGTTTATCCATTGGGATTATGGTACAATTCAATTCTTGTCATAACTCAGAGCCATGACAATAATTCAGGAGCAGATAACCTCAAACATACAGGATGTACATAAATTGATGTAGATAAGAATCACTGACTGTCTGCAGTGATATTTTAGATATCAATATAACTTTTCTGCTCCTACTGATTTTATTCTTAGTTACCAGAGTTCAAAACAAAAAAATATAATGACAAGTGATTGTATTTAAAGACATCTAAAACTGTTTATCCTCATCAAGTTCAATAGAAAAAGTTTTAAATCCTTGCAAACAGCGAGGACAGAACAGCAGTCTTAAAGCCATTTCACATTTAATGACTGGATTTGATTTTTACTGTAGATATTTTTTCAAATCCTCCAAGCCATTTTTTATCCTCAGATATCCACAGTGACAGTTATACAATCCACAACTGTTCTTGCCATTGATCCAAATTTAGGATGTCCAAAATTGGCATTTGGATCCGAAAATGATATGGTAACAATCGGTAAAAATTTAACACCATTTAATTTAACAGTAGATATCCAGAAAATTAGTTTCCCCCTGTACCCTAGAACACTATTGCTGGGTGATTTTCATCCGACCAAACATGTATACACAATTTTCATTATGTTGTGTTTGTCTGAGTATCATGGGTCCCTGGGTAGCTTCAGCATTGCCTTTGACATCTTTGAACCCATATTTGTTTCCCTGATCCAAAACCTGCTTTTACCTACAGGCACATGTTTGGGCGATTTTCACCCGGCAATAGTGATAGAGGGTAAAGTAGGTTTGGGTGGATTTGATAGCTGCATGTAGGTGAATAAGGTCAGTAATAGTGGTCCTGGAATTGGCTTGCTATCTTAATTTAGTGCAGTGGTTATGAATATCTATCACAAAGTATTGATTTTAAAGGAAATTCATATGGTGATAAGAAATATTTTAGTCAGCTGGTCATTTTTTATTCACTCATAGTATGCAATATTTTGGTTCTCTCTCCTGGAGCTGTTATTGTGCCAAGGACCGTGAGGCTTCACCAGGGAAGACTCACATGCCCCAGGAATGGGTGGAAAAGAAACTAAGAAACTATCTCTCTCTCTCTCTCTCTCTCTCTCTCTCTATATATATATATATATACCGGCCATATATATATATATATATGCTAGTAACGGAAATTTTGACCTTTTTCCTCCTTTGACTGCCTCAATTCTTCGTGGCATAGTTAAAAATAAAAGAAAACTACTTTAATTTTTCAGATATTGGTCCATTTTGATATATTTTGGTGATCAAGTACACAGTTTCGGGTGTATTGTTTCGGGTATAAATCATATATATATATATATATATAAATATATACATATACATATATATATATAAATCAGCCATAGTGATGGTGTAATTTTAGCGATAGCGTTCTAGGACTAATTGTCATGTTCAAGAAACCAGTCTGAGATGATTCCAGCTTTATGACATGTCGCATTATCCTGCTGAAAGTAGCCATCAGAAGTTGGGTACATTGTGGTCATAAAGCGATGGACATGGTCAGCAACAATACTCAGGTAGGCTGTGGCGTTGCAACGATGCTCAATTGGTACCAAGGGGCCCAAAGAGTGCCAAGAAAATATTCCCCACACCATGACATCACCACCACCAGCCTGAACCGTTGATACAAGGCAGGATGGATCCATTCTTTCATGTTGTTGACGCCAAATTCTGACCCTACCATCCGAATGTCGCAGCAGAAATCGAGACTCATCAGACCAGGCAACGTTTTTCCAATCTTCTATTGTCCAATTTCGATGAGCTTGTGCAAATTGTAGCCTCAGTTTCCTGTTCTTAGCTGAAAGGAGTGGCACCCGGCGTGGTCTTCTGCTGCTGTAGCCCATCTGCCTCAAAGTTCGACGTACTGTGCGTTCAGAGATGCTCTTCTACCTACCTTGGTTGTAACGGGTGGTTATTTGAGTCACTGTTGCCTTTCTATCAGCTCGAACCAGTCTGGCCATTCTCCTCTGACCTGTGGCATCAACAAGGCATTTCCGCCCACAGAACTGCCGCTCACTGGATATTTTTTCTTTTTCGGACCATTCTCTGTAAACCCTAGAGATGGTTGTGCGTGAAAATCCCAGGAGATCAGCAGTTTCTGAAATACTCAGACCAGCCCTTCTGGCACCAACAACCATGCCACGTTCAAAGTCACTCAAATCACCTTTCTTCCCCATACTGATGCTCGGTTTGAACTGCAGGAGATTGTCTTGACCATGTCTACATGCCTAAATGCACTAAGTTGCCGTCATGTGATTGGCTGATTAGAAATTAAGTGTTAACGAGCAGTTGGACAGGTGTACCTAATAAAGTGGCCGGTGAGTGTATATATATATATATATATATATATATATATATATATATATATATATATATATATATATATGACATTTTTTGTTCATGAATGCCTATTTTTATATGGTCCCCTCATGGCACTTTTTTGCACCCTTTGGACATTGCACAGTTAAAAATAAAAGAAAACTACTTTAATTTTTCATATATTGTCCTATTTTGATATATTTTGGTGACAAGTACTTTTTCTTGGGTGTATTGTTTCGGGTATAAATCATATATATATATAAATATATACATATACATATATATATATATATAAATCAGCCATAGTGGTGGTGTAATTTTAGCGATAGCGTTCTAGGACTAGAAAAATTGCATTTCCTTGCAGAAAATGCGTGGAAATACTGAGTGCTGAAAGCTGAAAAAGCGATGCAAAGCTGCTAATATAAATAGAGGAAGGTATAAATGTAAAAGCTGTTTAAGGGGTGAAGAAATAGAAGTTGAATAATTGTGAAAATGGTTGAAGGACAAATAGAATGAATATGCTCCATAAATTGACATTTTATTCATGCTGAAAGAGGCCAGAAAAATGACTGAAATTGCACAAATTTTGAGTGAAGAAGTAAATTACCTTAAAAGACAGGTAAGTGAGAAGTAGCATAAGTTTAAGTTGTAGTTCTAGTGGTAGGATGATAAGTAGTCATTGTAGTGATATTAGTAGTCATGTAAGCAGTGAAAACAGTTTGAGAATGGAAGAAGAAGAACTCAGAGTAGTAGAGCTAGAGGTAGAAGTAGAAGTAACAGTAGAGAAAGTAGAAATAGTAGCAATAGTAGTTGAAGTAGAAGTCAAATGACTAGTTTAATTGATATTAGCAGTAGTTGTAGTAGTAGAAGTGGGATTTTGTTTAAGGGGTGAATAATGCATGAATATTAAAGCTACCGGGAAAATTTAATAATTAAAAATCCTCAAGTATTAGAAATGTGGCCACAACAGCGAGTTAAACAGGTCTGACCCTGAGTAATTATCAGGATTTTCTGGGAGAAAGACTACATTATGGTCAATAGGAGGCATGTCTGCCATTTTTGGACAGTTGGTCACCTGCTGGCCAAGGGGAATGATTTAATGATTTGAAACCTCTTTTGTGAGAAGCAGGACTTATTTTCCTCCTTTTCGATGTATTTTTTATGGCTGTGGAGTGAAATTTGTGGGCGTGGGAGCGATATATTCGAGCTAGGTTTTGTCGATCGAAAAGTCCTCTCCACTCTAGGCACTCTAGGCACTGTGCATCTCTGCTTTGTGTCTCTCCACTCCACTCCACTTCACTCAGAGTCCATTTTCAACAGTGCCTGAACTCAAAATGCCAAACTGGACAGAGAGAACCAACCGAGACAGGATCTCAAACTCAAAAACAAAATATCATTTGTGGAATCTTAACCATGCACAAGATCATCTAGACAAGATTGGTACTCATCGATGGTGGATATGTTGTTAATACAAAACAACCACATTGCCTGGCTATGATCCTTGTTGACAACAACAGGGCACACACATGTTGTTTTTAGGGGTAATTTCTATTAATTAACAAACCGCTAAAAAGTTGCCCCTCTAGTCTTTCTTTTGAGTTTCACAAATCTTAAAGTTTTTACAATCTTTGTGAACCAAGCAGCTGACTAACACAGGACAAGAAAACCCTCCTCTGTATAGTAAAACTACCTGTATGCAGTGAATCACATCAGCTATGGGAGGAGAAATGGCCAGAGGCTGTGTTATCGGTCATCATTTACACCTGAACTGTGTATCTCTCTACTGCTTTTGCGATATTGTGTTTAAATTTTGAGCTGATCATCATCATGACTTCATGATGGTATTGCTTGAAAAAAAATCACTGACAGGCACTGGAATACTTCTCCCTGCCATGGTAGTGTGTCGGCAGTCCGTCAGCTCCAAGAAGCTTGACAGACCTAGCAACAGTAACTAAGGGACGTGGCTTCTAGATATGTCAATTATATTTTGAATAAGTTTTAAAAAAAAAAAAACAATCTCAAGCGTACATTCGAAGCGAACGTTACACAACCACACCCTTAAGATAGGGACATCACTGACATCACATCTGACATCACTGAGTCTGCAGGGTTGAGCTGAGGAACTGAAATCAGCAACATCAACTGGATACAGTGACTGTGACAGAGAGACTTCAGAGAAAGTTAACATTTCTACAAAGTCAACATTTACTGACAGCAGAGATGGAAAGCACAGCATCAAAGAGCTGGTACGATATGGTTGTGGAGGAAGAGGAGAATAAAGTCCAGGAGCTGATGGATGTCATATCAGCTCTAAACCAAAAGCTTGAAAAGGCTACAGGTGATTTGAAGACGGTGACAGAGGAGAAAAAGGCTCTTGCGAGGCAATTACAGAGCAGGTGGAAAATGCATCACGACAATGAAATGAAATGGTCTCGCAAAATGATGGCTTTAGATCAACAGCTGAAGCAAAGCCAGCAAATCAACCTGGAGCTGTCTTCCTCTTTAAAAAGACAGGAGGAAGACAACCAGAGGCTCCAGGTTGAGATCCTGGAGCTCCAAGAAGAGAAGGACCAACAAATACTGAAGGCTGACAACCTCCAGAAACAGCTAGAGGAGGTCAGACAGAGTATTTAGAGGCTTCAAACATAGAGCACATTCTAAAAGAAACCCTGTCAGAGAAAGACAGCCTGCTCAGAGAGAGAAAGATACAACTGGCGCAAGAGAGACTACAGCATTTGGAGGCTACCAGCAAGGAAAAGAAGCTAGTTGGATCCTTGAAAGAAGAAAATGAGGCTCTGACTAAAAAATTACGGAGCAGGTGCAAGATGTACCTAAAAATAAATAAACTGCTGAAAGAAACAGAAAGCAGTAACCTGGAGCTGTCCTCCAAGCTCACGTCTCAGGAGGAAGAAAACAAGAGACTCCAGGAAGAGGTCACAGAGCTTAGAGCTGAAAAAGACCACCAAAACCAACTAGTGGAAGTCAGTCGAAAGTATTTGGAGGCCTACAATGAAGGCCCAATAAAACATCTCCATAGGTCAAACGAAGAGACCAACACAGAGCCCTTCCTATCAGATGGTGAGAACGATGCTGCAGAAACACTCCAGACTGCAGAAGAACAGATGTCTCAATGGAGGAGATTAAAGCAATTTAGGACTCCAAAATATTGCTATCAGTCCAAGCAGCGACTGATGGACCAGGAGGCTCAATATGGACCAGGAGTGATTGCGCCAACCACCCAACCTACCTTCACACCTTAACCTACCTATCCTCCTCAGCCACCCTAACCAACCCAACCTCCCCAAGTAACTTAGAGCAGGCCCAAGAAGCATCAAAGGGGGGAAGAAAAATCACATCTTCTTGCAGGAAATAAGTCCTCCAAATTGAAGGCTGCCTTAGAGCAGGCCCAAAAAGACCATGAGATCCAGAGGCAGCAATGGGAGCAAGAAAAATCACATCTTCTCCCAGACAAAGAGGATTCATGCAAGTTGAAGGCTGCCCTGGAGCAGGCTGAAGAGGAGATGAAGACACAGAAGCAGAGGTGGCAGAAGGACAGGTCCTGTCTCCTAAGAGAGCACGAAGAGGCAATCATTCAGATGGAGGCTTCCCTAAAGAATGCCCAAGAAGAGCTGAAGAACAAGAGGTGCCAACAGGAGAAGGAGAGACAGCTTTTACTTACTGGGCACTAGCAAGTGGATCAGCTTAAACACCAGTGGGAGGAGCAAAAGATTTGTGTCCAGATAGCACACAAGAAGGAAATTAGCTTCCTGAGGGCAGTCCTTGGGCAGACTAAAGAGGACCTATCCAAACAGACACATCAAAGGGAAGAGTTAAGGTCACAGCTCCTTGCGGAACAGGAGAAATCTAGGCAGCTTCTCCAATACACACCCATTATAAAGCCTGAAAATTCGCTGAAAACCATGAGTTGCTAAAAGCTAAATTGTGGGAAAAGTGTAGGAGATAGCACAAATAAGTTAACACAACATATTTAGAGAAGATTTTGAATATTTTAAAGCAAAAATGAGGTTTGTAGGTGAATGTATGCTGAAGTTGTAAGGCTGAGAAGGTGGAAGTGTTAAATATAGAATTTGAAGATTTCCCCATTCATTTCAATAGGAAAAAAAATTGCACAAAAAGTAAAAACATCAAAAAGTATAAAGCGTAGAAAAGTGAAAAATACGTCCGCACTTGTCCTGAAGGAGAGGAATAGTTTAAAAGTTGAACAGTTGAAATAAGGAGTTAGGAGTTAGGGAAGGAGTTGAAAAGTTGCAAAAAAGGAACAGAATAATAATAATAATAATAATAATAATAATAATAATAATAATAATAATAATAATAATAATAATAATTAAGAAATAGGAAGACAACGATAAGTGGAGATGCGCATTTCCACTTAATAAGGAATAAATGTCTGAAATTACGTTTTAATCGGGAACAACGATATTTGGGGTCTGGTGTATGAAGGGTCTTGGTGTCTGTGCGCACCTCGTCTCAGCTGCAGATTGAGGTAGTACCATACAGTCTATGGGTAGTACTTTCTCTTTAAGGGGGCGGGGTTCCACAGAAAGTGACGTCTTGCGTACGTGCGTGACCTCAGTTTCTCAAGCAAGACCGGGAACAAGCAGTGCACGTTCACTTGTAGGCAAACCGAAACATCTTCATAATTACAGGTTTGTAAAGTATGAGCTCACAGAAGGTCCGACTTGAAGAGACAAACAAGAAACAAAAATGTGTATGAAACGTGTGCACAGATAATTCCACTATCGAAGTTTATGCGCTTCATTCATTTCCGAGTGCCACGCTAACACCGCTAGCTAGTCAGTGTTAGCGCTTGTTAGCAAACAACCCTGTGTGTGTGTTAGCGTCCAGAAAAACTAGATGTTATCTGAAAACACTTGAAACATGTGTTAAACAAGGATTAATGTGTTACGTCCTGAACTTGTTAATTTCTCGCGGTGTCATAGCTTTTTTGACCCGTTAACAAGCTCAGTCATGTGCGGCTCGCTATCTAAATGCTAGCAGGGACACATGGGTAGTGCCTGCGTTAGATCACGTTTCCTATTTTAAACTCCGGGAAAAGTATCATCCATGTTCAATGAGAAAGCTCTGACAGCATTCTCCAGAGACGTGTTGACCAAAGGTTAGAGTTCACCCTCTGCTGTACGGCTGTGATGTGGTATAAGTGTAACTTTACCGAGCTGTTGGGGACGTGTGTTTTTATGGGAGCAGAAGCAGATGAAGTCCAGCTGTCTGTGCTAACTAAGAAAGAAAGAGCTCATTGATCTGACAGACAGCTGCTGAAACTTTGCAGCTCCTGCTTCATGTTACGACCAGAATGAGGACTGACCAGTTGTTTTGAGATAGTAGTTTAGAGGGTAGTCAGATTTACTGTAAAGAAGCTATGGAGTAAGTTTTAATTTCTTTTTATGAGATAAATGCATGTTAGTGTGAAATCAGATAGAACTGAAAATGGCCCTACATAAAGGAATGAGTTTACTATTATAACTTTGAACTTCACCAGCTGTCCGAGTAGGATGTAGTATCTTGTTCAGTTCTTAGCTGAAGTATTGGTTGGTTGTGTAAATTAGTACTCACGTGGTACTGCCGGCTCGCGAGGCTTCGAACGTTATCGTATACGTCACCAACACAAGCTTCGATACGCGATTCACCGAAATTTTCCGGGATTACTCGACACACCCTCCGAAACCTTGTCACGAAAGGACATAACACTAGTGTAAATCTGTCTCCTCGTTTTTTTTTTCCTCACAGGGTTCAAGTGTTGCCATCATGCCTGGTAGAAAGACCACAAAGCGGAAGTCAGAGGCTCCAGTGGAGGATGATAAAGGACCCAAGAAAGTGAAAAGTAGGTTTATGACTCAACTGTCAGAGAACTGATAACAGACAGAACAACTTTGCAAGTAATTTTGGGAAGGTTTGTTGGCTGTCTAGTTTTGCTCTGTAAGTGAAGATGCCATATTTGTTGAACTTACAAAACAAGTTTGAAATTGCTACTAAACAAAACACACACTCAGTATGTGGCATGAGTCTATCTGGTAATCAAGCCGCACCCAACCGCCAAAATTCAGCGGTCAACAGTCACATTATACCAGGGTACTGGTGTGTCTGTGTGTGTGTGTGTTTGCCACAGTTTCCCACATGGTAAATAAGGTGGACAGGTTCTTGTACTGGACCAGGGTGGGAAACTGTAGTAAACGCACACACATCCATATCTTGGTATAATGTGACTGTTGCAAGTAAAAACAAGCACAAGAAGCCATTGGTGTAATTTTGGTGTTTGGGTGCGGCTTGCCAAACAACACACACGCACAGTTTGTGGCATGAGTAGCTGGTAGGCAAGCCGCACCCAACCACCAAAATTAAGCTGATAGCTTTTTGTGCAACACTCACATTACACCAAGATATTGATGTGTGTGTGTGTGTGTGTGTGTGTTTGTTACAGTTTCCCACAGGAGTCATGGTAAAGAAGCTGGTCAGGTTCTTGTACTGGGTCAGGGTGATGTCGGACAGCTGGGACTTGGCCAGGACATCATTGAGAGGAAGAAACCAGCCCTTGTGCCTCTGCCAGAGAAAGCTGTGCAAGTGTTTGCTGGAGGCATGCACACTGTGTGTCTCGGAGAAAGCGGCACTGTAAGCTAAATTCTGTTGTTGCGAAACTTGCTTTGTCAACGTCCCTTGCTATCATTTTAGATAAGGGTCTTGTATTTCACAAATAAACTCTTATATTGTACTCTTTTTCTTTTTAATAGGTCTACACATTTGGCTGTAATGATGAGGGGGCTCTTGGAAGAGACACATCAGAGGAGGGGTCTGAGATGGTTCCAGGAAAGGTGACACTGGAAGAGAAGGTGGTCCAGGTGTCAGCCGGGGACAGCCACACAGCCGCACTCACAGAGGATGGAACCGTGTACATCTGGGGCTCCTTCAGGGTGAGTGATCATCAGCCATTAAGACTAGAGTTTATCATGTGCGTGAGAACTTTCCCCAGTTTCTTCCTAACTTGTGTGTCTAATTATACGTATTTACAACAATTAGTGATGTTGTGTTCACAATCAAACCAACCAGTCAACACAGTACAGGCTGTTTTGGGTCAGTTTATTCAAGAGACATTTGATTTTGGGGGGGTAAGTCATTTATATAACACACAGGAGCAACAATCAGAGCATTAAAAGGAGGTGTGTGACAATGGTGGTATTCAGCATGGTGTTTTTTTTGTCGACTACAGTGAACAGGAGTGAAACGGCTGTAGTGACTATTATGCCTGTATGTAGGTTTGGGTGTGAATGTGCTTTTGTGGACAAGGCAAGGGTGGCCTGGTTACATGGCTGACTCCAGGCCTGAAAGAGTCTCCCAGTCCGGCCTTGTTGTCTGAGCACTAATGTTTGTTTCTCATTTCTCCCTTGTTGATTTCAACCTGCACATGGACTATTTGAGACACTCCCCTCAGGCAGGAGGCTACGGTCCATTCAGACCAGAACCGCCGTCCATAAGCGCAGTTTCTTCCCCTCTGCCGTTGGACTCATGAACACTTTATAACTCAGTCACTTTAACTCTGTCACTTTATCACTGGTCACTCTAGTTTAATGTACCTTGGTTTTTTGATTGCACTCCTCCCACTGCACTGCTGTTCTGTATTGCGTAGTTGTACATAGCCTGTTATACTTACTGTACATAGCCTTTTTATACTTTTATACTTAATATATGTCCTGCATGCTCTTATTGCATGCTAGTATTTTATATATTATTCTCCGTTTAATGTTGCACCATCACGCCGTAAAAAATTCCTAGTCTGTGAGACCTGTTCATTGACAATGGCAATAAAACCCCTGATTCTGAATAGTCACTTTGTCTTCTAGTACAATGAAAGGTATAGTCCATTTGCTGTTGTCAGCGCCTTTTATTATATGAGGACTAAACGGCTCCAGGTTGTGGAAGGAAAATAAGAGCCATTCAGATATACATTGATGATCCTTGGTAATGACATCCTTAATTGTTTTCGCCTCACAGTACTCATCCGTCCTGCTGGATTACTCCCTAATTATCATTATTAATACTCGACGGCACACTGGCAATTACATCTCTATTACTACTGCTTTCCTTCGGCATTCCCACTTGTGGTCGACAATACTGAGACTTTGCCTGAACATTGTTGAGACAAACTTGTTCTCGTCCCATCTCTTATCAAAGGAATTGTTTTCTATACTTGCATTTTATGTCACAGAGATCGTTTCAGTTTAGAGTAATTTTGAGAAATTAAATGTCTGTTATTTGTAAAGCCTGTAATCAAGAAACATGAATTTTATCTCTGTGTCTTCTATTCTGTGTGCCTCAGGTACCTTCTCAAAGGAGCCACGCTCTGTCGGCAACAGATTTCATTTGTTCATTTCCTGTCTGTTTATTGCACCTTTTTTAGATCTTGCTTGAATCCTTAACACTAAACTCTATTGAAGTCTCTGAGCGATCTTAAATCTGAACGCCTCCCTCCTTCCATTCAGATTTAACTATTGAAGAGAAATCTAGTACAGTGTCATATCAGAAAATGAAATTTACAAAAATCTAACAGAGAAGCAAAAAATGATGACAAATCAGGTCACTTTTAAGTGTTTTTGGGAACACAGGTGCCACGAATGTGCTTTTTATAACCAGAATACTGATCATTTGGTAAATCTAATTCGAACCCTTTCCCCCCGCAGGATAACAACGGCGTGATTGGTCTTTTGGAGCCCATGAAATCAAGTAACCTTCCAGTCAAAGTCCCCATCACAGAGACTGTTGTAAGAATTGCATCAGGTAGGAAGTTCTTTCTGGTTGTGTGTCTTATTTATGCTCAGTATGTTTACTGGTTAGAGTCATTTTAAAAATGATTTCCTCGTGTGTTGACTGCTCGGACAGGGAACGACCACCTGATCATGGTTACACTGGAGGGGAATCTTTACTCACAAGGCAACGCAGAGCAGGGGCAGCTGGGAAGAGTGCCGTCGTGTTTCTCAGACAGAGGAGGTAGAAGAGGCCTCAGTAAGTAACACAAGCCTGTCAGAACTCAAAGCACCAGCACACAATAACATCATGTGCTGCAGATTTTACAGAGCAACTGTTTTCTGTCTTTTGTGTCGTTCTGGCTAAGCGCGTGTCTTTGGTTTCAGATCATTTGCTGCAGCCGCAGATGGTTTACTTCAAGAGGAAAGTTGTCTTCAGTGATGTCTTCTGCGGGTCATACCACACCTTTGCTGTGTCAAATGAGAGCCATGTGTATGGATTTGGACTCTCAAATTACCACCAGCTGGGTTGGTAAAATATCAATCTTGATTTGAATGAATCCATTTCCTGCCATAACATTGTTTGTTGTTACGTCTGGCATTGCGTCCCAATTAGCTTTGAAATGTTTGCTTATTTCTCTAAGGTTTTGACATCGGACATCATGGCAGTGTTGTTTGTGTCCTCACTTTTTTTTTTTTATGAATCTCTGCAGGTACTAAGAGCACCAAACCGTGTTTCTTCCCAGTGAAACTGACGTGTTTCAGAAACTCCACCACCTCCTGGGTGGGCTTCCACGGAGGACAGCATCACTCGCTTTGCCTTGATGCTGAAGGTAAGCTCAAACAAAATACACTCCCAGGAAAGGTCTGTGCTTGACTAACACTGCATGGTTGTTAAAAACATACATCAGTGTCTTAACTGAGTGTCTGTTATGCCAGGACACGAGCCTGTCTGTACACAACAGGCTGAGATGTTTCAGTCAAAGCGCCAAGAGCAGCCAAACAAACACTCAGAGCACTCGGAGGAAGATGCTGGGTGCAGCCTCTCTCCAGAGAATCACAGGCTGCTGATTACACTCTTCACATTAGGAACAGCTTGAACTTGTGCAGCATGCAAGCTAACCGCAGATAATGCTGACAAGCTAGTATTTAAGGTCCTTTACAAACTGCTTTTAGCACATTCACTGACCTTAAACAAATGCCCATAGTACACTTATCTTCTCTTTGTGTTCCTGGGTTTGCTTCCAGCCCGTGGCTCCTTTTCCACATGTGACTTGCCCTGTTTCCTGTTCCATCTGAAATCTTATAAAAAACATCAGTCCTGTAACTTTCTTGTAAATACCTACTAAAGGCTGTGCTCTCTCTTTCAGGGCAGGTTTACAGCCTGGGGAGAGCTGAATATGGTCGTCTTGGTCTGGGCCCAGATGCTGAAGAGACGACTGAGCCAAAGCCTGTGATGGGGTTGGAGCCAGCCTGTGGGGTGACATGCGGGGCGTCTGTTAGCTACGCTGTCACCAGAGAAGGTAATTTAGCTTTCAAGGTGTGCTGTAGAGTAGGCCACGGCGATTTGGCAAAAAAAAACAAACAATCACAATATATTTTGTCATATCGTCCGGTCTCGATTATTATCACTTTTTAAAAAAAAATCTTTTTAAACTGCCAGTTTTAAAGCATCTGTACTAAAAACTGAAGAAACAAGAGATTAGTTCTACATTTTACTAACATACTAAGTAAATAACAAAGCAAATAAAATAAGATTAACAAAGAAAAATATAGAAAACATTTTTACTCAACAATACAACAAATATAGATAAATATTTAATCATATAATATCATAAAGTGACCTACTTTACAGTCCTGAGTGTTTTGCATGTATGCAAGACCCAAAATAAACAAATCACCCCCTCAGGGATAATGAAGACGCCTTAAAATGTAAAGTAATGTAAAAGTAGATGAAACAATTGATTGCTGCTTTGGTCTGTGGCTGCACCGCTAATTGTGGCTAAGCTGCTAATGCTACTTGTGCCGTACAGACTCAGCTCGCGTTTTCCTGCTTTCCGCATCATCATTCGGGAAGAACTTCTTCAAATCATTAAACAGATCTGTTGTGTTGCCGGTTTTTAAGGTCACTGCTCGACGTCACTTTGGTGATACCTGAACCACCGCCACACAACCAACACTGAATAACTTTTCTTCTCAACAATAACATCTTTGGAGGATGTCTTAAAGCCACGGCTTACATCTATTTTGCTGCCCTCAGCGCCGCGTTTAGCTCCACATTCGGTCATTCTGTTTATTTCTCCGGCAACTTGCAGAAGTGAGCAGGAAAAGCTCGACTCTGATTGGCTGTTGTGACGCACATTTTCGCCTTGTTTGATCAAGTAACTCACAGCTGATCACTGTGATCGAACTGAAATTTATCATGATCATTAATCTTGATCATATAATCACCCAGTCCTACAGTAGAGTGAACTGCAAAGTCTCTACTCCATTGGGACAGAATAAGTCGTGTATCTTGAAGCTTGAGTAGCATGACTGGAGTGGACACCCTCAAACAAAGCAGAGAACTGGACCGATGATCATTATTCTGCATTCAAATGCTAAAGACAAAAGTCAGGAAAACACAAGGCAGACAGGAACAATGTCGGTCCCACCTATAGCAGAGTCTGTATGATTTGGATTCGGTATTTTATGTCAGCTTTAATTCTCTGGTGTTGTGATGTGCCAAGAGGGTACGAAAGACGCTGACTCCACATTGTTGCCTGCGCTTCTCTAGGGTCTGCGTACGCCTGGGGCATGGGCACCAACATGCAGCTCGGCACTGGAGAGGAGGACGACGAGTGGAGCCCCGTCAAGATGACAGGCAAACAGCTGGAGAACCGTGTAGTACTGATGGCCTCCAGTGGAGGGCAGCACACGGTCCTTCTCGTCAAAGACAAGCAGGAGAGCTGATGGCCTTCTGAGAGTAATGGAAGATCTTTGGATCTGTTTTGAGGTGGCCTTGTTTACGGTGCCTAAGCCTGGGCAAGGATTTAACCTGTATGTGACTGTCTGAGCCATGGGTGGGGGGAGCGAGGTCTTGGTGAGGGGCTCAGGCCCTTTTGTGGGAACCATTTTCTTCCTGCTGTAGGGAAAATGTTTTTGGATGTTTGGTAGATCATGACAAATGAGACTATTTTTTTTTAATCTAGTGTTTGATGTTCCCTGTAATTTCGTTTTTCATTACAAGTCGTTGCTGTGACAGTCCAATGACATGTGATGTTGGTAAATGTGGCAGTTTGCATGTATGGAGAGGCGATGAGTGCAACCCTTTTAATGACTTTTCAGAACAATTGTCTTTTTAAAGTTTTTTTTCCTTCCTTTCAAAGCAGCATTTCTTTCAAGCCGGGTTCAGACAGGACAATTCTACACTATGAGTTTAATGTATGAGGCTACTGGTCATTCAGAGCAGACAAAATACTGTATCCTGCGTTTGGTTGCTTTGCCTGTCTGAAAATAAAGATACCATAGTAGGTTTTTAAGCCTTTTCATCTTCAGTTTCTGTTCATATTCACTCTTGGAAGTCCTCTGATTGGGGGTTATTTTGTCTCTCATTTTCTCATGACAATAAAAATATCCATGTAAACTATTACTTGAACAAAAAAAAAAGGTTTTAAATGTCCTGAGTGGCTTTTTTTAAGTGGACATTTTCAACTACTTACTGATTATAATAAAAAAAAGACTGATTAACTAAGTAGGACAGCTACAAAAAAAAAGTCAGCTGGAGGAATAATTCCATTTAAAATGGAAATTTATTAGAAAGTCTCTGAGGTTTGAGATTTTAAGTTAATGCAGTCTCAAAGCAAGTTAAAAGAAGAAGGGAAATCAAGCATTTTGCCTGAATTTGGGTACCTACTGTTGAAGACTGAAGGACACTTTCTTTACTGTGATTTCAATAGCATAAATAAAAAACTGATATAAAAATAACAGATCTAGTGTGTCCTGTCTCATGTTCATGCCTTGACTGCATACACATTATTTTTTCCTCTAAGCAGTGTGTTAACTAAATAAGTTTATTCTCCAGTATTTGAGCCGAGCTGTGCAGCAGTCACACCTTAGCAGTTTTAGTCGATTATTTATGCAGACAACACATTCCACATAAACAGAGTCATACATGTAAATCAAACACCTGAGAATGCAAATGATGCTACAAGTACTTACATCAAAGCTGCGGGCTTTTGTGTTTTATCTGGGGTGAAATGCGCGGGCTTCTTGCTCGTCTCATCTGGCTTTCATCTGACCAGAAAAGAAGACAAATGATGAAGTGAAAAACCCCTCGTGGCAAAAAGCTTCTCCTGCTTTGAAGTGTCTTTTGTAAGCGGTTAATTGATGAGAGTAAAGCTCGTCTTTAGTCAGTGTTTTCTACCACTGTTTGTCCTGTACCAAAGAATTTATGTCAGAAAATTTCTTTTTAAAGGTTTGCAGCTCCTAGAGTTTAAAGCTACCAGTCGCTACATCCAACAAAGTATGGGAGGAAGTAAGGAACTCAGTTTAATGAGCTGCAGCTTTATTAGCTGCTACAAAAACATGATGGACACAGTGATATGTGAAAAATACAAATACATATTATGAATTGGACCTTCCTGCTACCACATGGGTTTTGAGTGTACTTTGAATTAACAGAATGTAATAAAGAGGAGATACGTATACTTGAACAAAAAATGTAAAACAGCATTTTGGTGTGGTGAGTAAATAGGTTCTGAGGGGCTTTCTTTGTATGGGCAGAAAGTTAAACAGATGGTAACACTTGACAATAAGGTACACAGAATTACAAAACTGGTTATTGAGAAACTAATCAAGAACTAATGAGGAAGTAATGATTAGTTACTGAGGTACACAAACTTAGAGTATAGTTACTGGGGGACTAATTAAACTAATTAACTATTAGTTATCAGTCAGTTCTTCAGTAACCCCTGATCAAAAAACAGAGGAGTAGTCACTGAGGAACCGAGGTACACCCAATTAAAGTAGTTAATGAGGAATTAATGATTAACTTTTAGTTAATGGTCAGTTCTTCAGGAACTCCTGACCAAATTTCAGAGGAGTAGTTACTGAGGAACTAATGTGGAACTATTAATGGCCAGTTCTTCATTAACTCATGATCAAATTTCACAGATAATTAATCACAACTTAATGATTAGTGAAATACTTAATCAGTACAGAAACATTACTCAATAACCCGTCCATTAGTTAACCTTTTTATTTTCAAAAGAAAAGTGACACCCTAATGAGAGGTCATTCCATCATCATCTTTACAAATAGTTCCTTGAAAAAAATCACAGACAGTCTGATTCTTGAGAGGAGTTTTATTCATGAATTTCAGACCACATAAACATTCACATGACCAGTGGTTCTCAAGTCCAGTCCTCGAGGCCCACTGTCCTGCATGTTTTGGATGTTTCCCTGCTGCAGCACACCTGATTCAAATGATCAGCTCGTTATTGAGCCATTACAGAGCTTGATAACGAGCTGATCATTTGAATCAGGTGTGTTGGAGCAGGGAAACATCCAAAACATGCAGGACAGTGGGCCTCGAGGACTGGACTTGAGAACCACTGCACATGACCATCCATGATCAAAACGTTGTTCACAGTAAAGTTGTTTAAGGTGCACAAAATTTCGAGTAGTTAGTTACTATGAAACACATTTGTAATGAATGAGGAACTACCTTTTAATTAATGTAAAGTTCCTCAGTAACTACTCTAATTTTGTGTGTCTTGGTACCTCAGTAACTACTCAATAGTTCCTCATTGGTTGTTCATTCATTCCTCAGTAACTACTGTCCTTTTGTGTACCTTATTGTAAAGTGTTACCAAACAGACTTTGAGAGACAGCAGCTGAAACAGAACATTTCAAGACAGAGGCTGAAATAATGCTATTTTAATACGCCAGAGTGAGAAAAACAAAAGGCTTTTCTTGATCTAAAAATCACATGAAGCAACTAAAGAGGTATCAGAAAAGAAATCTAGAGTCTGAAAAGAAGCTATAATACCGCCTCTTTACAATTACACATGGATAGCAACATTCTCAGCCTGATGAGGTCTATTTGGCTCATGAATAGAGCACCACCTCCTCTTTTTTAACAGTGTTTTGCCATATTTTTCTCAGGATTTTCACAACTTGTTGACGGCTAGTTTATTTTTAGGCCCAATTATGTACTAAGTGACAGGCTGCCTTTTCAGCCACCCTGTGTTGAAGCTGCAACAGTGAGATTGAATCTGTTAGAACTTTCAAAAGAGAAACTCTATCAGCTTTCCTTTTCCTCAGACACAGAACACAATTTCCAGCTATATGGACTTATATGGAGCGCACCTCCTTAGCTCATTTTAAGATTTTGAGTAAAAAGATTTTTTTGGTTTGAATCCCTAGCAGTGACTGTTGTTTAATTCGACTCCTCGATCTTAAGTAGAAAAAATTATCTCAAATGATTCCTCAAAAGAAAAGAAATGTGGATTTGAACAAAACTCTTCTGTCACGTATAGATACAGCTCTGTCAGGTACACTGTTATTTGAAAGACTTCTCTGCTGTGAGAAACATGGTCCACTTTGACAGCGGCTCAACAGAAAAAGACCATTTGACATTTCACACTGGAGTGTTGCTGCAATTTTAGAAGCCTTCTCTGGCAGGTTGGAAGCTCAGTAATTTTCTGACCCCCCCCCTTAAATTGCTTTGGTTTAGCACTGACTACTGAGCACAGTGAAATGCTCACTCATTTGTCATGACACTGATTTATAGACTTTTGGATATTACTAATTTTCTTTTAGCTGGGCTACAGTTTCTGCATTTGTTTTGAACATTTTTTAAATAAATCTTTAAAGTACCCTGAACTCTTTTCGGCAGTGTTTCACTCTGTCCTTTCGTTTGCACTTAGAGGACTCTTGGACGTCCTAAACAGAAAAAGCCGAATTCCTTTCAAGACTGAAATAAAACACTCTTGGTGCAGATGCAGGTACACAGGTCTGTTTTTCAGCTGCAAGGGTGAAGAAAAGCCCGACAAGCAACCAGGTTTGACATCTGTTAAAGGCTTTCCACATGCTATGCTCCAAAATTGAACAAATCCTTGTCCCATGTTTCTCTGCACGAAGAGAAACATTTATACAGATTCAGCAATGACATCCCGTGATTAATCCCTTTCACTCTTCCAAAATGTAACAGGATTTCTCATAATGCAGGTGAGCTCTAATCTCTTTCTCTCTGTACACTAATCACAAAGGAGATTGAACTAGCTCAGGCACCTGCATCGCTACACATTCACTGTAATAACAGAGAAAAACAAATCAATGACAGAGCTGTACCTATATACAGCTTTTTGTACCCTTTCATACCGTATGTGTGTGGAAGAGAGAGACGGATAAACAAAAACAGGCTTGTACACAATGCGCTCAGATTCAACAGCATCCTGATATTAAAATAACGCCCATTTGCCATCATTTATTTTTCTCTTCATTGGGTGACAACCCTCTTGCTTATTAAGTGATCTTGTCTTTTTAAATCTTGTCAAGTGCTTTTTAATCGCATCTTAATCAAAAACAGAAAGTTTGTTACGGTTTGAATGCCTCCTGAGTGGCTGCGATCAGAGTCGTGTTCATCCAGTGGTCCATTATTGCCGGAAACCTGTTGAATGTGGAGCAGCAGGAATCTGTTGTCCACATGATTTTTCTTTGTCTCTCTCTCTCTTTTGTGCAGAATTGGACATAATTAGAAAATGTTTCACCAAATACTATGAGGACACTATGTAAAATTTATTGCTGAGTTAGCTTAAGTGAGTTGATTTTACTTAAACAACTGCTGGACCACTGACCTCTGTCTGGTGTATGTATTGTATGTGATGTATCCTTTATTACTTCCGCCAAGGAGGTTATGTTTTCGGTAGCGTTTGTTTGTTTGTCTGTTTGTTTGTTTGTCTGTTAGTAGCTTTAAGGAGAAAGTAACAGACAGATTGACCTGAAATTTTCACCAGAGGTGCGTCTCAGCCCCAGGAGGATCCCATTAAATTTTGGTGGTGATCTGGACAAAATTCTGGATACTGTGATCCAGAACACACAAAAATAAGGGTGTCATTGGAATTTTCAATGCTGAAAGATAAGGAATGGGCGGCACAGTGGTGTAGTGGTTAGCACTGTCTCCTCCCAACCAGAAGATTCCTGGGTTCGAATCTCAGTCAGGGCACATCTTGTTTAAGGGGGGACATGAGCTGCTTGGCGGAGGTCTGCGCTCTCCGAGTGCTTTTCTAGTGTTTGGTAATCTTATATGCATCTTGAAAATCAGGCTTTTACATCTCCAAACCATTGCCCTTTGCACCATGATTACTAGTATTATCGAAGTCTACACCAGCCATATAAATGTATGCCAAGTTTGACTCCTCCTACAGACAAGCAAGCTTGGTGTAGCTCATCATCTACATATTTCACTTGCGTCTTCAGACAAAAACCTCATCCTGCTGACTTTTGACATGCAAATGTGTCATTTATTCTGAATATTTTGAGTACAAAAGTTTAAAACATGGCTTTCCCCTCAGCTACTCGACTGTTACCTACCTCCTAACACTAGTTTCAGGCATAAAAAATATCACACAATATAAAAACTCTGAGTCTTGTCTTATTTGCATTTGTTTATCATACAAAAGTCCTCAATATAAATTTCAGTCTCTTTGTCAAACATAAAAAACTGTGATATGTTGTTTTTCATCTTCAGAATGTAAAGTCAAACAAAACCGTGCAGCCAGTTCACGCTCCTTGGTCTTCATAAAGACACTTTGTCCTTGACCTTATCACCCAGGCCCCAGCCATGCGAATAATACTGATACACCATGAAAAGAAACATGCAAAAGACAAGTAGAAAGAGATGGGTGTATGACTTGGTGTTCAGGCAGTAAGCTCTCACAGTCTGACACTAGTTTAAGGGCTGAGTATGGTCATCTTTTTTACGAATGTTGGTGCAAATAAATCCACAGAGCCCGCTTTGTCAAGTCTGAGCTTTCTACTTCCAAGATTATCCAAAAAGGGGTCCCATGTTTTATAAAATGCTGAATGATCTGTCTGCAAGCCAGTGGCTCATGACCTCCAATTGGTTGAGATCTATAATATTTTGTAGATGAGCTGGGGAGGTCTGTCAGAGGTCCACTAAAAAAAAACACACTTTCTAGCACAGAAAATGACATCAAGTACAGTTAACATGAGATTCAGACAGGGTATACACAAAGAATACAAGAAACTTCTTCAACATTAGGGTTTTTACCTAATATTCTGCACATTTTTGTAAGTATCTCCTAAATTTTGGGGTTCCCCTTACAACAGTTCCTCAACAAACACGCAAGATGGCCCATTTTGGGGCCATCTTGGTAGCTGCAGGACAGAAAGATTCAAAAGATCTTTTGTACCCACCGCCATCAGACAGTGTATGACTTATGACATAACACATGAGTCTACAGACAATTGACATTTCCTTGGGGGATCAATAAAGTTCTTCATCTTCTTCCTCTTTTGAAACGTTGCTTTTACAGTCAGAAAATACACCTTCAAAGAGCGAATCATTTATGTCTTCACTATTGCACATCTGTGTGCTAGAGTCTGAATAGATCTTATATAAAGCAAGGGCTGCTTTAGGTGATTTATAGTGGACAAGGTGGGCTGAGGAGTCAACTGTTGCCATGGCACGATTAATGTAGTTATGGCTCTTGTGGCTTCTCAGGGAGAAAAACATGTATTTCTGTGAGCGTGTGCATAGAAAATCAAATAGGGTATTATTACCAAATGAATACCCCTCTTGCTGTTAAGCTGCTGGTACTCCACGCCTGCCAATCATACTTAAATTACAGCAGATTGCCTCAGTAGATTGAACTCCTCATCTAGCGGCCTGAGGACCCCTCAGGAGTCCCACAGTTGAGGACCAACAGCAGGAGCTCTGAAGAAGGGCCAATCTGTTGTTGTGGAGCAGATGACAACAGGCAGCAAACCACATTAATGAGAGACTGTTGGTTGTGACTCATCCCGTTAATCCATTTTCTGGATATCCATTAGTGTCACATTAGTTTGGTGCTTATTATGAATACACCTCAGCGTTCTCTGTGATCAGATTAATCGTGTTTTTTCAGTTTATGAGGTCCGCTGTAGAAACTGGATTTAACTCAGGGGGACTAACTCTCAGATTTATTTGTCATTTGTACGTAGCCTGTGTGCCCAGTGACATATGAACACTGACTGGATTGTCTGAAACACAATTTCCTGTCGCTTCTGCTACCGGCTGTTGAACTTCAAAACTGTAGACACTGATTTAAAGAAATCATCAACATCACAAGATATTTATTGTATACTGAGAAAAAATTAAATACAAATCAGAAACAGGGAATAAAACACACTAAAAAATTAGGCTAAAATAACTGATCTCCTGTCCTTAATAACAAAACATACAATAAAAGATTAACTGTGCTCTGCAGTGTAGTTAATTTAATGAAATACATCTTGAATGTTTATAGAAATGTGAGAGTTTTGACCTTATCAAAGAGGCTGAGCAAATTAGTGGTTCTGATATAAACTTTTCTATTCGATGTACAAAGCATAAAGTAACAGTACCAGTCTAAAAAAAAGTCATAAAGACTTCATTACTGATGATACATTAATTCATGCATTGAATAATCATAAACCATACATTACTTTTACATTTAGATTTTCACCTTACAATGATCCCAGCAAAAAATAAAATAATGACAACAATATTGACCTAATACATGCATCCCAATACTAAATTATGAACACGTGGCTTTGGCAATATGACAAATACAGTAACGTGTTTGTGCTGACTCACATGTGCACATTTTATTTCATATGTAGATGGTCTGACTGCCCATTGAGTTATACTGTATTTGCCATATTTTCATAACGATATCTATAAAAATACTAGTTTCATTCTCTTCTTTCTAATAGTGAGCATGGAAAGGGTAAATGAATGCTTCTCAGTAGCCTGTGAGCAAACATCCATCATGCTATATAGTAAAAGTCAGCACCCCAGTTTGGCCAATCCAGCTCCACGAGTGTGGACACGCCTCTGCCTCCATTACCCATTATTTAAGACTTTCTCTGACAGTTTGGTGCCACTGATGCCAATTCAGCCAATAATTAGTGGTCCATGTAATAACCACAGTGAAAGGAGAATGTAAACAAAATCGGCTCTGGAAGATATTTCTGTCGCTTTGGGTGAATGTAACCCAACAGCAGAGGTTAAAACAGCTGTACAGAAAAGGTTAAACCATTAAGGGGGTTAAACCTTAAGGGGCTAAGGGCAGAGGTATTCAAGAGGAAGGTTCCAACTAAACATTTACAATATTTTAAAGAGGATTCAATTATCTAGGGGAGTAAAGGGTTTAGCCTCACCTCAGGTCTCCAGTTTTTTTTCCCAGAGTCTCTCATGATTCAGCTGGCAGATGGCACCCAGTTTGAATCTCAGTCTGTGCCCCCCAGCAGGAGCTGGAGCAAGTATTTGCTGCCTTTAAAACATTTAATCTATAGTTTGAGAGTTGTTTTTTTTTTTTTTTGCGAACACCTCACACAGCAAGGACTGTCTGATTGTATTGCAGCACAAAGCAGAAAACAAAACATTTAATCCATGGTCAAAATCTCCATCTAATCATCGCCTTAAAATCTCAGTTTGTTTGGGTACATTTTCCTTTGGTAGTCATGTGTTGTACAGTATGTTTATGAGTCAGCCCTGACAGGTTGTGAGCAGTCAGCGGGGATGCTGTGCTGTGTGAAAATCCTCACATACAGCATGTAGGTGTCCACTGTTGAGACGTCTGTATTATTGAGAGAATTTCAAGGTTCCAGTCTTGCAGTTTATATAACCCTGCTTTTACCCGAGCAGCCGACAAAGTTTTGTTTTTTTTCAGGAGAAAAAAAGTCTCTTTAGAAAGAAGTCACAAATTTGTCAGTCAGAAGAAGCAGAGAGAGAAAATCTGGCTTTATAACTAAAAAGATGCTTTGAGTTTTTCATGCTATAAATGAATACTCTCTTCTCAACACCAGCTCTTTCATGTTAATTCATTTCAGCACATGAACTTCAGCTGGCGAAGGTCACAAGATAAAAGTGTTTCATTATCTTCTTGTTTCAGTGGTCTAGAGTATCTCTCTGTGTGCAGTTAAATGTATCTGATGGAGAAGTAATAAAACAGAGACGCCTGTTGTATGTTCATTCGAGCTGAGGGAGACAGTCGCACAGATTTAAATAAGATCTGTTTTGTATGCAGAGCATTACTGTTACACTTGAGCTGCCAGACATGCCTTTAGATCTGTGAACCTCCGATAAAGCCTTCTGGTCGTGACACTTTGCAGGGCCAGCATGCAGTCTAGTCGAGCTAAGATCCAGCCTATAGTCTTTGGTTAAATTATTCATTTTGTTGCTTTTTCTTTTGGTGTGTACAAAGCAAGCATATAGGTCAATCTACAGTATGTATATTTCATGGGAAACACATACTATGTGCTCTGCTTTGAGGAAATCTCATCATAACCCATCTCTCACACATGTCACTGTCTAGCTGACCTGTCACTGGGAGCTCTATGAAGAACCCTTACGACATAAACAGTAAACTTCTCTTGTTCAAATCATCTGAGCCGCAGCCTTTGGCATCCACACAAAGAGAAACAAGAGCAACTATGTCCTTCTGCTTACTGTTTCTATTCTCCAGGACATCATCAGTCTCTGAGCAGGACATGAGTTCAGCCTCTTAATGTGCACAAGATACTCAATAAATTAATGCATAATCTATGGCCATGATGCAAAAGTAGCCAAGGGTTAATCAAAAATGAAAAGTGATTGTCTGGTTTCTGGGCTTTGGTCACTTTGAACTGTCAAAGAGTAGCATGTGAAAGTCTTTGTTAATACTATACTAAGACAAAAAAGGGAAACACAAGAAATCCTGATATGATTTTGAATTTCTCTACTGGGAAAAAAAAAAAAAACACTAAGTGTTGCACTTGGTGACTGTTTCTTTCATCAGATGGGTATTTTTTTTCATCTGGTCCAATTTACAGGAGAATTATTTTTATGAACGATGACATTTTCTAGGGAATTCACAACTGGCTCATGTCAGATTTTTTCGTTGCAGTTCCTGCATGTTACTTTTAACTTGACGCCCCCAGTGGATAAAGATGTTACCCATTCGAAATGGTGAATATGTCAATGAACAGCTTACTACCAATCATCATGACACCATTTGGCCTTAAAAATAACAGTAAAGGTTACTTTGAAAGGTCACACAGAGGCACCAGTATTTCATTCAGCCTGTTTCACAACAAGTTCAAAACTATTTACAGAAGCAGTATGTAATGTGATACATACTGTAAATGAGAAAAAAAATATGAACACAAGGTTTTTTATCTCTCTATTTGTTTGTTCATGTTGTTGGTTAGTTAGTTAGTTAGTTAGTTAGTTAGTTAGTTAGTTAGTTGGAAAACAAAAACTGGTGTAATTTTTTTTCAGATGTTTGATTAATCAATTAATATATTTATTAACTTACTTTTTTGATTTGGTTTGTTTGTTATTAAAAAAACATGAAAAATGTAATTCAATAACATCAGCCTCATTTTCTAAATGTTATCCATTCATTAACAAAGTTAGTTGGTAAGTTAACAACAACTGAAACACTGTATATTGTTTTGCCAATGTTTTTTTTTTTTACACATTACTTGATTTATTTATTTATTTTTACTTTATTTTTATACTTTTGTGAGTTTCTTTCACTCATTTATAGAAACACTATAACTACCTCAGTAATCACATGCCAAGAATTCACAATGTTATTTATTGATTTAGTTAGTTATTTAGTTTTTTTTTTTAAATGAGATCATTAGCCATCCTTATTTTCCCAATGTTGTTTATTCTATTTGTTTTCTTTTTTTTTAATTATTTAGTCTTATTTTCCCAATGGCAGCGATATGGTAACCACTTCTAAAGGGTTAATATAACAAAACCTTTGACAGAAAGATCGCAAGAAACAAAATGTTAGAATAAAATTGAAGCTTAATTACATGATCAAAAATATAAAGCACTAAGAGGACTCCACTGATGTTTTTTCACAACAGCTGTATTGAAGTGTCAAAAACCAAAACCAGACAGAACACCCGAGCAACATGAAACTTCAATGTACTTCATTAGCTGAAACACAAAATCCAAAAAGGTAAAGATCAAGCACAATTTACTTCTTGCAACTGGACTGAAACATACTGCTGAATAAGGCAACACGGTACATGTTTTCATTCAGCTGAACGCCCTGTCAACCTCACAGCACAGTAAATTTAAAAACATTTTTCTGCAGTGAAGGTGTTCAAAAAGCTACAAGATAGTTCGGAAATTAAACAGAAGCGATATATTTATGTATAATATATAATATATGTTTAAGATACAAAATAACATTTAGAGCACTTTGTGTAGATTAACTATAATAAGGTAAATACACTTGTTTTGACTAGTAAGTTACATGTGAAGATTAACAGCATCACAATAATACAAAATAAATAACATTACCACTTCATATGATGTTACAGATGAGTATCATCTTTACACCTGATATTTAGATGCTGTTTGAAGCAAAATGTCATTTAAAAAACAGATATAATTTTGAACGTTTCTTTACAATGTGCACAAATGTCTTTGCACTGCTGTATGTCCTCCACCGAAGGTCCCTGGAAATCCATCCTTTAGCTGTTCTCAGTGTACCAGAACTTCCTGTTGCTTGCTGATGCTTTTCATCTAATTTAGTTTGCTGTCTGTGCCAGTTTGAGGTCACTCTGTAACAACTTTGAAAAGAAACAGCGGTGCTACTTTCCCCTCTCACGCCTCAGTTTACCGTCAGCCCAGTGTTTGGTTGTGTAGAAAATTAAAATCCCAACAGCTCGAGGAGCGGAAACAATGAGTCAGTTGAACATTATCCTTCATGGTGTATATTCACCAGAGGCACCAGTCATCTCTGCTCATTCATAAATTCAGATCTACTAAAAACATCCTTCCAAGAGGTGTCAGGTGGAAAAAGGTCATTGAAACATGTCCCAATTATTCCATTGAATGTTGTATAATTTAAAATATTCTCAATAATGTGAGTGTTTCTTGTCTCTTATCAATTTCCTTCTTACAATTCCAGCAACAGGCATTAAATGGATTCTTCATGTAATGTTTCATTAAAGAGACAATAAAGTCTTGGCTGAACATTCACAATGAAAATCACAACGCCTTCCCACAGGGTGACAGAGTCACTCATAGTAACTATTACAGAAAATACTATAACTAATGCATACAGTATATACAGTGCTCCCAGCATATTGTGTGTTTGTCTCTTTTCAAAATATCAAGCACTTTTAGATTGGCTTGGACTGTTTGCTTTAGGCCAGTGATGCACTCAGGGGCTGAGCACTACAGCGACCAAATCAGAGATCAAGTGAGAGTTCATATTGAATGTATGCATATTTGTGCAGTAGCCATGATTACAACGTAAATTAATAAATGCAGAAGGTGTTAATGTAAAAGTTTGTTACCTGTTAAAAGGTGATAAGTTGTTAATATTAACACGTTTTCTGCTTGGATGGTCTGCAGACTCACTTGTTGTTATTACAGGGCACATTCACTGTATCTCTGTTGTGTATCAAGTGACTGACTCCACCAATCACACCTGACATAGAGGCTCCTCAGCAGGCTTGTGTTTTGTGTATAGGAAGGAACATTGTCCTTCTGGACAGTCTCACATTTGGATTGTGTGTATAAACAAAGATTACTCTATGAAGTCCTTATTGTTCTCCTTTTATGGATCTGAAAGATTAAAAAACCATTAAAGATAAGAATAAAAGCTGTCATAACAACAGAAACATATCGAAATACTGTGATTCTGAATTATTGAAAAGCCACATAAGGGAGGTTACAAGCAACAGCCGTAAGTACTATGTCCGTTTCTTTATATGAGGCCAGAAACTGTTTTATTTGTGCTCATCACTTTGTGTGGATGAGATGTAAAACTGATTCATGATGAGAACAAGGGTGCAATTTTCCCTGAGCAATTGTCTGTTCCTGTACAGGAGAGTTTCAGTAATTGTACTGTTATAGGGACAATGGCAGCTGCTCTGGTAGCAAAATTAGGTATAAATTCGCTCTTTCAGGAACATATTCACTTTCAACAAGTAAAGTGTGAAGATATTAATGTATGTGTGCTCGCTTTATCTTGTTCTTTGATTGTTTTATTTGTTTTTATGTGTCATTGTACAGCACTTTGGCTACCCTCGTGGTTCTTTTAAATGTGCTATAGAAATAAAGTTGATTATTTGATTGATTGATAACATGAAGTTTGGGGGCTTTCCTATCTGTCTTTCATACAGCTTTCGCAGCTGAACTGAACAGCGTGTGGTTTTCTTCATAAAGACTTTTGTTTGTTTGTTAACTCATAGGCAATATTGCAGCGACCACTAATACATTCAGATTTCTCTGCAAAGATCTCAGGGGTATCATAAAACACTGTAGTGTACTGAACCACATCAAATCTTACTGAATTGAGTCCTAATGTATCATACCATTACAAATCACATTGAATCATTGTCTTACTGTACATATAATCCTATCCTACTTGCTGTATTGTATCACTTGTATCCGGTAATTTCAAAGATTATGGTATCGCATCTCACCGAATCATATCACACTTCATAAACTTTTTAATTTATTGTGATGTTTTCAGATCACATCATGTGATAATCTTATGGAAATGGTTCCACTTTACTTATGTAAACTGGGATAAACTGATTGAGACCTGGCGTAGAACTTAAGATCAACTCAAAAATATGCTAACATGTAATTTTTATAGTACTTTGTTGCTTTATGTGTGTACTTAATTCACACTCATTGTACATTTGTATCCACTCTCTTAGATTTTGCACTCATGGGCATACACAAGCATGTTTGCGATCATACAGGAAAGAGATGTGTTTTTCAAACCTTTTAGGACATACCTTAAAAGTTTTGTTGCATGAAATCAAAACCACAATCTACCATTTACAATAAGAGGGAGGTTAACACGCAGCCTCAGACTCCTGTGGTAGAGAATTGTGTGATCTCAGTCTGGAGGTCATCCTGAACTGTCCTGCCCGCTAACTGACCCATATCTAGTCACGCCGGCGGTCTCTCTGTGGGTGCAGGGGCACAAACAGAGACAGGCTCCCTAATGCTGTTTCGTGCTCTGGAGAAGCTGTTCTGCTCCAGTCGAGAGCGGTAGGGGAGGCAGAAATCCCTGAAGCACCTCTTGAAGTTCTCATCCAGAAAGGCGTACAGCACCGGATTCAGACTGCTGTTTGTGTAACCGAGGGCAATACACAGATGCCAGCTGGCCACCACCAAGAGGTTCTTCTTGTCAATATTCACCATGGTCTTGACGATGATAAAGATGTGGATAGGAGTCCAACAGATAATAAAGGCAGCCACGACCACAAGGACCATCCGAGTGATCCGTCGCAGGTTACGATCCTTTTCTTTGGAGCCCGAGAGGAGGCGAACGCTCTTGAGCCGCAGTATCATGAGACCATAGCAGATGGTGATGACAAGGACTGGGACCACAAAGGCAATGATGAAGACACAGATTTTCATCACTATGTCCCAGTACCACCCAGGTTCAGGGAATCTCAGAGTGCAGGCAGTGTTTCCTGTGGAGTTGAAATAATTAGAAGTTTAATGGACGACCATGTGGTGAGGCTAATTCAAGTTAATAACCCAGCTCAAATGAATTCTCTTTAACACCATGATTACTCCATTACAAAAACACAAGCTTTTACACAATGATGATAATTCACTATATATATAGATATATATATACACACAGTAGACATTCTCCTCTCAAAACATGTGCATGTGGGGAACTCATATTTTAATGCTGTATTATTTCTCTTAAGGCTGTAAGTCTTCAAATGTAGCGTACCTGGAAATCTTGATCATTTGGCATTTATCGATAAATGAGGAAGCAGACAATAGACAAAGAACTAAACCAAAATCCCTTGGGGACGTTGGGCTTTGTTTAAGCCTGAATAGAAATATTATTCAACCCAAAACAGGTTAACCTTAACCCTCAGTACCAGTATGTTGGCTTTGAATTAAAATATGACTCCATTTCCCTTCAGATTACCACTGTTGTCTGGTTATACAGGAAACTTGAGACTGGCATTCAAGCTTCAGTGGAAAATAGCGGAAAAAGTAAACATGGGCGATTTCAGCTCTTTTTTTCCCCCTTGATAATAAAAGCCCCTTACCTTTCTCGGTCACCTTGGTAACAGCCATGATCATCACAGGGACTCCAACAGCAGAAGAGAGGATCCAGATGCATACGTTGATGAACTTGGCTTTAGCAGGTGTGCGGAAGTCAAGAGCCCTCACGGGATGACAAACCGCTACGTAGCGATCAACACTCATCATAGTGAGCGTGAAGATACTGGTGAACATGTTGTAGTAGTCAATGGCCATGACCACTTTACACAGCAGCTCCCCGAATGGCCATGTGCTCATCAGGTACTTGGCGCTCTGAAAGGGGAGGGTGCTTGTGGCAAGGGCATCAGCGAGAGCCAAGTTGAAGATGTAGATGTTGGTGGCAGTCTTCATCTTAGTGTACCTGTAAAAAAAAAGGATTGTTTGATTATTCCAACTCACATCCGACAAGAAGTGTTGTTAGTTTGAAATTTTCAAGGTCTGTCTACGTAACGTGTGGCAAAATAGACACTGTCTGTGACTGACTCACAATTTCCAATGAAACGTTTCAAGGCTCAAAACTGCTTCATGTTTCAATCTAACCCATTTCCTCCCTCAGACCAATGAGCTGCTATTTCCCTTAGAAAATATTGAACAACAAAAGAGCTTTTTAGATGTGTAATGTTTTGATGGCACTACACTGAATGCTTGAGAGCTTGAACACCCAAAGTGACTGTAAGCCTCCATTAAATTGCATTTTCATGCACTGAGTTCCTGAGAAACCTTTTAAAAGTCCTGCCTTTTTTTCCTGTTCGTGTAGGATTTGTCTGACTGCCAGATGAACAGTTGCCTGTCTAAGGATAGATTCCTCTACAAGTCCACAACATGACAGTGTTTGGTCATAATTACTAAAACTGCAGGCTCTAAAGGGATAAAGGAAGACAAAGGGATGTAAAGAGACTTAGCACACTTCACACCATGCTCTGATCTTTCTCTATAATTGCATTGGCAGGGAGAGAGTCTGCACAATGTCTCTTATTTTCACTTTGTTTTATTATTCTCAAACCAACTAAGCAAAGCACAGAGACTCATATTTTATCCTGCACACATTTCTGCTTATGACCTATCACTGCTTGCTCATTTTGTCTGCATTAGATCAACCACAAATCAACACGACAGGAAGAATCAGCTCAATCTTTGGTACATGAGTCTGGGGCACAGCTCTGTAGTAATTGCAGGTGAGGCGCTCGACATGTTTCTAATTTCCCATCATGCAAAATGAATCCTCTGAGTTGACAACATTAGTCCTGGGGGGGTGTAATTGCTGCAATGGAGTAATTTCTGCTCTTTGCTATAGCTCACCAATCTTCATCCCCCTTTTTATATAGGGGGTGTGTTTAAGTGTGTGGGAGGTTTGAGTGTTTTGGGAGATCTCTTACAACCTCTGAAAGTTTAATTTTATGTGAAGACCATCATTAATGAAATGATGGTCATAGCCTATCCTCATCAATCAACATTTAAGTAAAAGAAAAAATGTCGACCCCCCATCGGGATAAGCAGAAGAAAGTGGATAAATGGAATATTCCAAGAGGTCATTTTTACTTCACTCTTCACTCTTTAATGCCTTTTGTATCATATTTGATACATACTTTTAAATACTTATATCAAATCAATATAATCAACAAATTTCAAGAAAAAAAAAATGAATACAGTCCTATAAATAATAAAAATGTCCTCTTGTAGTTTATCAGTTTCCAAAAACATCTAATGTATCAAACAAGATAAATAAATCTATTTTTTAAATTTCAAGGACATTTTGATTTTTTTGGTTTTCAACAGTAAGTGAAAAAAACATTTCAGCTCCAAAAAAATGTGAATTTTCTGGCCATAATTTGTGGTTTCAGGTGTTAAAGGGCTACAGGTCTTATTCTTCGGTCTAATTTCTTTTACTTTTGGGCTATTTTGTAGACTATTGGCATGTCACAGTCACATTGTTTATTTTTCGCTTTTAAGTTTCTGATTTTTACGTGTATTTCTTACCTGACCACCCCGTACATTACAAGCACATTTCCCAGCAGCCCTACCACGCAAACCAGAGAGTAGAGCGCCGTGATACAAACGGCGATGATCAGACTTGTAGTGTCCCTGCTTGAAGCCCTGCTCGGCTCGCTGCTGTTTGAAGGCACACGCTGCAAATCCTCCGAGAGGGTAGAATTGACGGGACCTACGGAGACCGAGAAGCGCTCGTAAAAATCGCCAATAATTTCAGGAGGAAGAGTGGAAAACTCCATTTCTGAAGAGAAGGCAAGTGAGGTTACAGTGTGCGTTTTAGTCCGTTGATGTCAAAGCAGGTGCTTACGAAGCGTATGAAAACTGGACGGCAAAATAGTGATGAGGTGCCCAGAGGAGGTTTGCTCGCTCGCTCTCTCTCTCTCTCTCTCTCTCTCTCTCTCTCTCTCTCTCTCTCTCTCTCTCTCTCTCTCTCTCTCTCTCTCTCTCTCTCTCTCTCTCTCTCTCTCTCTCTCTCTCTCTCTCTCTCTCTCTCTCCCTCCCCTTGGCGAAGTGCACTGGAGCACAAAGAAGGATATGAGGAAACAGTTTTCCTACCCAATTCTCACAGCGCCTCAAGGAAAGCCATTCGTCAAAGTGCTTTTATTAACCAAAACCATATGAAAATCCTTTGTCACATGTTTTTTTTAATATCCTTATTTATTTGATATGTACCTCCTCAGCTCAATTAGCTTTTTGCTCCAGCTGCCACCCAGCACCTCATCACATGGTGTCGGTCAAACTTAATCTGAGCATCTCTCATTAGCACCACAGCTCAATTAGACTCGTCTGTATGGAGCCATTCTTCTTATTGCTGCCTGCCATCACCCTTCAGGTATTTCTCCTTCTGCCCCTGCTCTGCATGGCCTGTCATCTGTAGTAGCTCCATTAGAGGACTGACTGTTCCCAGCAGGCAGGCGTCTCCATAAAATTACCTGACTTAAACCACAGGAGAGAGTCGCTCACCAGGCACCAAGAAGGCTGATTGAATTATAAAGATGGTTTTGATACCTTCCAGCAACACTGTGGGGTCCGAAGATAATCCCACAAATGATCGAGTTAACCTTTTGTATGTGTAGCATATGTGTCTCTAGGGCTGGGCGATAAAATGATAACGATATATATCAAAAATTAACAATATAAAACATGGTCAATATGCTTTTCGATGGTCGGCATTCTGCCACGCTTTGGTAGACTATACGAATAGCCAACGAAAAGAAGACATTGACAACACTGGCATGAAGTCGTCAGTGGTGTGGAGGTATTTTGGTTTTTTGAGGTTGGACATGAAGCAGAGTAATGTGCACTGCAAATTATGTCGAGTACATGTTCTCGCAAAGTCGCAAAGGAATACCTCGAATCTTTTTCACCACCTGAAGCAGTGCCACGCGGCAGAGCACGAGCAATGAAAAAGGTTACAAACCCCGAGTGGAGCAAGGAGCCCATGGCGCCTGTGCAACCGGAACAACTGACCATTCAGTCTGCTTTCTCTAGCGCAACACCTCACTGATGCAGGAGCTTATTGTATTGCAAAAGACATGCTACCAATAAGCACTGTTAAATTTCATTTTTTACATTGTTAGATATATCGATATCGACTGATATGAAAAAAATATATTGTGATAAACTTTTTCCCATAATGCTCAGCCCTATATGTTTCAATAACATATGAGCAATCCGCAAACTCACATATGTGCATTAATTTGAGAGCTCTCCAGGTCAATGCAGTTAATACTTCACATGTTTGGCTGGTAGAAACAAAATTTTTCCTCTTTTTCTTACATCTGCAAGAATCCTACAGGGCTTAGCATTTACCAGGTCGTGAATATTTTACAGGTTTTTAAAATTTGATGAAGCATTTGGTGTTAAAATCATGCAATTTACTACACTTAACCTCTGCAGTTCACAGCATGACAAATAAATAAAAATTTGCATGGATGATTTTTTTATGCAATAATTATAAATTATAATTTATTAATCTTTAAATTATCTTTCCCCACAGGGAGTAGTTCCGGCTGCTGAACAGTAGAGTGAAAGGGCCAATTAAGCATATGCAAATAGGATTTAATTGTATGGTAAAGCCAAGCACTCACTAATTGGAGAGAACATACTCTAAGAAATAATCCTGGAAACAATAAGGAAAAGAGCTAAAACAATGTTTCTCTGTTTACAGTCATAATTAGTGAAAGGCGATCTTGACTAAAAACATAAACAATTGTCATTTTAATAATTTGTCCTGCTGATGCCGTAAATATGTTAAAATAAGTGAAGCTGCTGTTTGTTTCCAGCCCAATCCTGTCAACATTAGACACTAATAGAAACACAGAGCTGCAAGTGACAGTGTAGATGATGCTGAAACTGAATAACAATAGTGCAGGCTTGGAGTGTGTACAACAGAGTTTCTGGGGGGTAATTGTTTCATTTGACACATTAAAAGCCTCCCAAAGCAGTGTCTGTGCTCTTCATAACTGCAGCTGTCTTTTTGTACTCTGTAATGTGACCTTTACAGAACTCCGCCTTTGAGCAAGCACCATCAGTGCAACACAAAGCCAGGACAGTCAGAAGAATAGGGCCAGCTTGCTGAACAAACACTCTGATTCCTCCCTCTTTACTACTCCTTCTAAAGATAGATCACACATGTCCTCCTTATATGGAGGCCAGTAATTAAAACCATCTCGCTCATATGGGAGTTCACTGAGCCCATTTCCTTTGATTAATGGCGGATGTTTGTTTAAAGCCCCTAATAAGATTCCTGTGTAACCACAGGTATATAAAAAAAAGAAGAAATCCCTCACATAGAGAATGATGTGTCAAAATCATTTATTTGTACACTACCCCCAGAGTTGCAAAGGAAAAGTCATTATTCACCACAAACTGCAGTGGGAGATCCATGTAGACAATTTTACAGCAAGGTCATAACAAAAAATAAAAATAAAAAAAAACATGTTTGCACACTCTGCTTAAATTTTGTTAACAAAATGTGATGTATGAATCATCGGCTTGTGCCCATTATTCATTCGTACACTATGATACTTGAAATACATCACATGGTTTACAACGATAATGATAAGGATTCATATAGCTTAACATTTACATTTAAATGGACTGCAGTGAGAGGAGTATATAATTCAGACACAGCCTGAGCTGCAGCATTGCACTATATGGACAGTAGTGCCACCTCTTCACACTGTTGACTGTCCAGATGGTCCAACACTTGGATTACTATGACTTTTCAAAATGTATGAAATGTTTCCTTTGATGCACAGGATTTGCTCTGGTCAAGTTTGGTAAAAGTTTTCAGTCCTTCTATTAAATACAGAAATGAGCAAAGATAACAGAAAATTAACTTCTTTAACTATTAATCCATTAACAATCTGTTTATTTTACCAAATGAAAGGAGTAATCATCAAAGTCAATGTTAATACCTGTTAAAAGTATGACAGTCTGACCTCCATACTATGATGGACAGAGGGTCTCCATAACTCAAGTCAGTTACAGAGACATGTTAGAAGATGAAGACTTTGTCCTGGGAAGGCAGCTGGTCCAGATGCTGTGTGTCCAAGGCTGCTTAAAGACTGTGCTGCAGAACTGTGTCAACCTCTCCACAGGATCTTCAACCTGAGTCTACAGCTGGGGTGGGTACCCGCTCTGTGGAAAACATCCTCCATTGTGCCAGTACCAAAAACAAAATGTCCTGCTGAACTCAATGACTACAGACCAGTGGCCCTCACTTCACGCATCATGAAAACCCTGGAGCAGCTGATTCTACGCCCTCTGAGGTCTGAGGTCAAAGACAAACTGGACTCCCTGCAGTTTGCACACAAAGAACACATTGGAGTGGATGATGCTGTCCTCTACATGCTTCATCGTGTCCTGTCTCATCTGGAGGAACCTGGGGTTTATGTGAGGATCATGTTCTTTGGCTTTTCAAGTGCATTCAACACCATCCAACCCACCATACTCAAAAGACAAGCTCACAGAGATGGGAGTGGATCCTGCCTGTGTTTCCTGGATCACAGATTACCTGACAGGAAGGCCACAGTTTGTCAGGTTGAGAACTGTGTTTCTTGGACATTAATGAGCAGTACAGGGGCTCCACAAGGGACAGTGCAGGCGCCATTCCTGTTCACACTGTACACGTCAGACTTCAAATACAGTACTGAGTCCTGCCACATTCAGAGATACTCAAATGACACTGCTATAGTGGCGTGTATCAGAAATGGACAAGAAGCTGAATACAGAGATCTAATAAGAGCCTTCAGTGACTGGAGTCTCAAAAACTGCCTCCTCCTCAACACCTCAAAGACAAAGGAGATGGTCATAGACTTCTGTAAATCCAAACCCTTTCAGCCAGTGAACACCTGTGGAGTGGACATCGAAGTGGTGACATCATATAAATACCTAGGTGTACGTCTGGATAATAAGTTAGACTGGTCTAAAAATATAGACTACATCTACAGAAAGAGGCAGAGCCGCCTCTTTTGCCTGAGAAGACTCTGATCAATAGACATCTGTAGTAAGATGCTGCAGATGTTTTATCAGTCTGTGGTGTCTACAGTGTTCTGTTCTACGCTGCAGTCTGCTGGGGAGGAAGCATCAAACACAAAGATGCAAGACGTCTTAACAAACTGGTGAAAAAGGTTGGCTCTGTGGTAGGACTCAAGCTGGACTCAGTGGAGGATGTGGTGGAGAGATCTACACTGAGGAAGGTGAAGTCTATTCTTAAGAACATGGATCACCCACTTCACAACACCTTGATGGACCAAAGGGCCAATGGTGGTGGACGGCTCCTCTCTCTTCGCTGAAGGACAGAAAGATTCAGAAAATGTTTTGTACCAACAGCCATTAGACTTTATAACTCTTGTGTAAATAATAGATAACTTTTAGAGACATATTATGTGAGACAACAGACAATTGAATTTTCCTTCGGGGAAAGTTATTCTTATTCTTATGTTAGATCCAGAAAGATCCAAAACTCTAAAGGCTGTTGGCTCTTTCTAAAGTTGTCTGTGATCCATCTTACCATACAAAAACAAGGCTTTGATCCCACTTCTTCTTCCTATGTTTTTCAGTTTTCAATTTTGCCGTAATTGGCTAAGTGGAGAAGTAGGTGAGGACATGCAGCAAAAAGTCATGACTTGAACTCAAACAAGCTTCTTGGGTACGATTTGCTATTGGTGCTCCTATTGATGAGGGCTGCTGTTTTTCATGGTCTAGATCATTTGGCTCTGCAAGTATCTTT